GTGGATGAAGGTTATGTGATGGTGTGGATGAAGGTTATGTGAGGGTGTGGATGAAGGTATGTGATGGTGTGGATGAAGGTTATGTGAGGGTGTGGATGAAGGTTATGTGAGGGTGTGGATGAAGGTTATGTGATGGTGTGGATGAAGGTTATGTGAGGGTGTGGATGAAGGTTATGTGATGGTGTGGATGAAGGTTATGTGAGGGTGTGGATGAAGGTTATGTGATGGTGTGGATGAAGGTTATGTGAGGTGTGGATGAAGGTTATGTGAGGGTGTGGATGAAGGTTATGTGATGGTGTGGATGAAGGTTATGTGAGGGTGTGGATGAAGGTTATGTGAGGGTGTGGATGAAGGTTATGTGAGGGTGTGGATGAAGGTTATGTGATGGTGTGGATGAAGGTTATGTGAGGGTGTGGATGAAGGTTATGTGAGGGTGTGGATGAAGGTTATGTGAGGGTGTGGATGAAGGTTATGTGAGGGTGTGGATGAAGGTTATGTGAGGGTGTGGATGAAGGTTATGTGAGGGTGTGGATGAAGGTTATGTGAGGGTGTGGATGAAGGTTATGTGAGGGTGTGGATGAAGGTTATGTGAGGGTGTGGATGAAGGGTTAGTGTGATGGTGTGGAGAAGGTTATGTGAGGGTGTGGATGAAGGTTATGTGAGGTGTGGATGAAGGTTATGTGATGGTGTGGATGAAGGTTATGTGATGGTGTGGATGAAGGTTATGTGATGGTGTGGATGAAGGTTATGTGAGGGTGTGGATGAAGGTTATGTGAGGGTGTGGATGAAGGTTATGTGAGGGTGTGGATGAAGGTATGTGATGTTGTGGAAATGAAGGTTATGTGAGGGTGTGGATGAAGGTTATGTGAGGGTGTGGATGAAGGTTATGTGAGGGTGTGGATGAAGGTTATGTGAGGGTGTGGGATGAAGGTTATGTGAGGGTGTGGATGAAGGTTATGTGATGGTGTGGATGAAGGTTATGTGAGGGTGTGGATGAAGGTTATGTGATGGTGTGGATGAAGGTTATGTGATGGTGTGGATGAAGGTTATGTGAGGGTGTGGATGAAGGTTATGTGATGGTGTGGATGAAGGTTATGTGAGGGTGTGGGATGAAGGTTATGTGATGGTGTGGATGAAGGTTATGTGATGGTGTGGATGAAGGTTATGTGATGGTGTGGATGAAGGTTATGTGATGGTGTGGAATGAAGGTTATGTGATGGTGGGATGAAGGTTATGTGAGGGTGTGGATGAGGTTATGTGATGGTGTGGATGAAGGTTATGTGATGGTGTGGATGAAGGTATGTGAGGTGTGGATGAAGGTTATGTGAGGGTGTGGATGAAGGTTATGTGATGGTGTGGATGAAGGTTATGTGAGGGTGTGGATGAAGGTTATGTGATGGTGTGGATGAAGGTTATGTGATGGTGTGGATGAAGGTTATGTGAGGGTGTGGATGAAGGTTATGTGAGGGTGTGGATGAAGGTTATGTGATGGTGTGGATGAAGGTTATGTGATGGTGTGGATGAAGGTTATGTGAGGGTGTGGATGAAGGTTATGTGATGGTGTGGATGAAGGTATGTGAGGGTGTGGATGAAGGTTATGTGATGGTCGTGGATGAAGGTTATGTGATGGTGTGGATGAAGGTTATGTGAGGGTGTGGATGAAGGTTATGTGATGGTGTGGATGAAGGTTATGTGATGGTGTGGATGAAGGTTATGTGATGGTGTGGATGAAGGTTATGTGAGGGTGTGGATGAAGGTTATGTGATGGTGTGGATGAAGGTTATGTGAGGGTGTGGATGAAGGTTATGTGATGGTGTGGATGAAGGTTATGTGATGGTGTGGATGAAGGTTATGTGAGGGTGTGGATGAAGGTTATGTGAGGGTGTGGATGAAGGTTATGTGAGGGTGTGGATGAAGGTTATGTGAGGGTGTGGATGAAGGTTATGTGAGGGTGTGGATGAAGGTTATGTGAGGGTGTGGATGAAGGTTATGTGATGGTGTGGATGAAGGTTATGTGAGGGTGTGGATGAAGGTTATGTGAGGGTGTGGATGAAGGTTATGTGATGGTGTGGATGAAGGTTATGTGAGGGTGTGGATGAAGGTTATGTGAGGGTGTGGATGAAGGTTATGTGAGGGTGTGGATGAAGGTTATGTGAGGGTGTGGATGAAGGTTATGTGAGGGTGTGGATGAAGGTTATGTGATGGTGTGGATAAAGGTTATGTGATGGTGTGGATGAAGGTTATGTGAGGGTGTGGATGAAGGTTATGTGATGGTGTGGATGAAGGTTATGTGATGGTGTGGATGAAGGTTATGTGAGGGTGTGGATGAAGGTTATGTGATGGTGTGGATGAAGGTTATGTGAGGGTGTGGATGAAGGTTATTTGATGGTGTGGATGAAGGATATGTGAGGGTGTGGATGAAGGTTATGTGATGGTGTGGATGAAGGTTATGTGAGGGTGTGGATGAAGGTTATGTGATGGTGTGGATGAAGGTTATGTGATGGTGTGGATGAAGGTTATGTGATGGTGTGGATGAAGGTATGTGAGGGTGTGGATGAAGGTTATGTGATGGTGTGGATGAAGGTTATGTGATGGTGTGGATGAAGGTTATGTGAGGGTGTGGATGAAGTTATGTGAGGGTGTGGATGAAGGTTATGTGAGGGTGTGGATGAAGGTTATGTGAGGGTGTGGATGAAGGTTATGTGAGGGTGTGGATGAAGGTTATGTGAGGGTGTGGATGAAGGTTATGTGAGGGTGTGGATGAAGGTTATGTGAGGGTGTGGATGAAGGTTATGTGATGGTTGTGGATGAAGGTTATGTTGAGGGTGTGGATGAAGGTTATGTGATGGTGTGGATGAAGGTTATGTGATGGTGTGGATGAAGGTATGTGAGGTGTGGATGAAGGTTATGTGATGGTGTGGATGAAGGTTATGTGAGGGTGTGGATGAAGGTTATGTGAGGGTGTGGATGAAGGTTATGTGATGGTGTGGATGAAGGTTATGTGATGGTGTGGCTATGAAGGTTATGTGAGGGTGTGGATGAAGGTTATGTGAGGGTGTGGATGAAGGTTATGTGAGGGTGTGGATGAAGGTTATGTGATGGGTGGATGAAGGTTATGTGATGGTGTGGATGAAGGTTATGTGATGGTGTGGATGAAGGTTATGTGAGGGTGTGGATGAAGGTTATGTGAGGGTGTGGATGAAGGTTATGTGAGGGTGTGGATGAAGGTTATGTGATGGTGTGGATGAAGGTTATGTGAGGGTGTGGATGAAGGTTATGTGATGGTGTGGATGAAGGTTATGTGATGGTGTGGATGAAGGTTATGTGAGGGTGTGGATGAAGGTTATGTGATGGTGTGGATGAAGGTTATGTGATGGTGTGGATGAAGGTTATGTGATGGTGTGGATGAAGGTTATGTGAGGGTGTGGATGAAGGTTATGTGATGGTGTGGATGAAGGTTATGTGAGGGTGTGGATGAAGGTTATGTGATGGTGTGGATGAAGGTTATGTGATGGTGTGGATGAAGGTTATGTGATGGTGTGGATGATGGTTATGGAATCTAGTTTTCAGACGTCTCAAAGCGAGGTTATGGAACTCGAATCATTCATGATGATAACCTGTAGATCCTGTACAGTATGAATCTTGGCGAGTTTGCGTTTTTGTAGTGAAGCATATATTGACTGGAATGGACATAACGTATCCATGTTCACGTGTTTCTCTTTCCTCCCATGCAATCGACCTCTTGCCCCATCGTTTGGCCTGCTTCTATTGCAGCCCACCTGTGCTGTGTCACTTGTCTGTTTAAGATGCCTTCTTCTCCCTTTCTCTTGCCCTACTCTTCTTCCCTCCCTCCCTTCCTTTCCCTCCCCCATCAGTGGACTACCCGCAAATCGGCACTGATGCTTACGGTACGCGTGTATTAAAACTGTCCCCCATCAGTCAGTGGACTACCCCAATCGTCTGAGTTCCATTATATGGTTATTCCAGTTCAAGTTGTTACATGGTTTCATAGCTGCTGAGTCTGACCCACACACACGGTATTTATCTACATTTTTTCAGAAAGGCCTACTGATTTCGCTCACTATCTGCTCGTGAGTCCAATGGAGCCCCAGGTTGGAGCCATTTCTTTACGTGGCAGCGACTCGCTTAGTTAAAAAGTAGAAAGTTGTGTTTGCTTGTAACTCACTATCTGCTCGTGACTTCCCCCCTACCAGGATTTTACGTGTCGATAAACCAATTCTCGGAGAAGCTTGACGACTACTATGGTTCTTGCATATAGTGAGTGTTTTATTTCATGGTTTTTGGATTTAGTGAGTGTTTTATTTCATGGTTTTTCATATAGTGAGTGTTTTATTTCCTGGTTTTTGCGTATAGTGAGTTTTTTTATCTCATGGTTTTTGCATATAGTGAGTGGTTTGTCTCTCGAGCGCACCTCAAATCAAAGACAACATATATTTGCGGGCGGGCTATGAGTTGTCGCCCCTCTGCCCTTTGCCCACCATTGCTTACGCTCACAACAATCCCAACCCTTCCAAGTTCCAACCATGGTTCAGTCATGCATACACGTGAACATGCCTCCTCCCCTACTCCTCCCCTCCCCTTCCTCCCCTACCAGTGCAATCTCCAAGCCCCAGCTTCAAAGGCCAGAGAATGCCACCATTCTCCGCTTCGTCGTCCCTTACTCAGAGGCCCTAAGCAATCCAGCCTACACCATTTTCCCTCAGAAGGTCGCAGCTGATGGGGACTACGACTACCACCACGGCGGCACCATGTACTTCGGCTGGACACCAGTCAACTCTAACCCCGGCGCTCCAAACGAAACCGTGCTGGTTGCAAATTATACCATGATTGGCGCCTTTGCTATAACGGGTACAAGTGCTCTGGGCACACCGGAAGCGGAGCGCTTGGTGGAACCACACTGTGCTGCCGTCAACACTCCCCCATACTATAATCCTTTGCCCGTGACCCAGAAACCCGGGCCTGTTCCCACAGCTTGGAAGATGAACACCACAATTGCACCCATCGGCCCTTCGTTTGTAGATATGCGGGGCGTGGTGGTGAATCCGGGGAAGAGGCAGATGTGGGTGAGCTTTATGTCGGCCTTTGGCAAGGACATGAGTGCTTCTGCCGTGGTGGCGAGGCTTCGCTTGTCCTTGAGGCTCAAGCGCAAGTGGCGGCCGTTTCAAGTGTTTCTGGAGCGGTTCAAAGTGGTGGGGGTGGGCGGAGGGAACAGTCTCATTCAACCCACGATCGCTCTCAACAGGTGGGAGAGAGGGGGGACGGAAGGGGCGGATGGGAAAGAGGGGAGAGAGGGATCTGATAAAGCAGGGAAAGAGGAGAGGAGAGGAGAATGTTACCCTTACCGTGCCCTTACGGTGCCCTTACGGTGCCCTTACCGTGCCCTTACCGTGCCCTTACGGTGCCCTTACCGTCCTCTTTCCCTCCACACGCTCTCTTTTTGGCCAAACCGACACACACACACACTCTCTCTCTCTCTCCCTTCACTCCATTCCCCAGCCAAGGCAAGGGCATCATAGCAGCGTCACTAGCAGGGCGTTCCTTCTACCCCTCAGCTGCCTATGCCACTCTCAACGCCAATGTGGATGTCGGCCGCGTGGTCGTTACCGGCCCGGGGAAAGCGCCTCTCGACGACTTCACTGGTAAGTCCTCAGCCCTCGGGTGCTTGGCCCTCGGGTGCTTGGCCCTCGGGTGCTTGGCCCTCTGCTTGGGCCTCTGCTTGTTGTTTTTCTAGTGGACATGACAATACTGTCTTCCTGAGGAACGCCCTTTTGACGACTTTACTGGTGAGTCCTCTTACGCTGCTTGCTGGTTTCTTAGCGTCAAAGTAATCGCCGACGTTGGGCAGGTGGGCTGCGGAGGCCTTACTTCCATTAATAGCAGTTTTTTACGTCTAAGGAGAATCCTTGCCAGCCCACCGAAAGCTCCTTTTGATTACTACTCGTGTAGGGTACTCGTGGCAGCGACTTTACAGTCTATTGAATTGCCACCTTACCCCAGTCTCCTCTTGTAGGGTATATGTGACAGGGACTTTACAGTCATGAAGAATTGCAACTGGTAAGCCACCGCCACATGTGTCACACCCACACCCTCCCATCTCTCGCTCTCCCCCCCCGCAGGGTACCGCGGTGCAACGGAGATGCGGTATGGGGACTACATGACTGCGATGGTGGACGAGGAGGGGAGGGCACTTTTGATGCGACTCACGAGTCTTTCCCACCCCTTTCTCCCCTCAAGGGTACCGTGGTGCAACGGAGATGCGATATGGTGACTACATGACGGCAACGATGGACGAGGAGGGCAACGCGTGGGCGGCAGTGCAGTATGTGGCGGGGCAGCCGCGAACAAACTACAGCAACTGGGCTACCTTTGTGTTCAAAGTCGACCTGCAGGGGGGGGAGGGGGGGGGGGGAATGGGGATGGGGCGAACGGGGACGGAGGGAATGGGGACAGCGGGGGAAATGGGGATAACGGGGGGAGTGGTGATAGCGGGGGGAATGGGGACAATGGAGGAAATGGGGATCACGAGGGGAAGTAGGAAAACGGGAGAAATGGAGAGGTTGGGGGGAATGGGATACAGGGGGGACGGGTATAGCGGGGGGGATGGGGATAATGTGGGTGGAATAAGAGGGGGGGGGGGGGGGGGGGGGGGGGGGGGGGGTTGAGGAAGTGCGGGGAAGAGGAGAGTGGGAGAAAGGGGAATAAGGGCGTGTTCCTACGGCCCCTTATCAGGCGACCTCCTGTCAGAATTGTGCGGTTCATCGCGTTTCAGTGCGATCTAATGTTATTACGTGTGTTTCAGTGCGGTGCGACACGAATCTGACAAGAGGTTTGCCTGATAAGAGGTCGTTGGAACACGCCCTAAGGGCTAGAAGGGGATGATGTCTGTAGAGAAATTAGGAGAAGGGGGTGATATCAGCCCTACACGTGCAGGAGTGTTTCTCTCACACGCATGTGTGTGTTGCTCCCTCAGCAACACAAACTGTCTCCCTGCAACTCATGCGGGCAGAAACATCGCAGCGCATGACATCACATGCCATCTCACAAACATGTGTTGCTCCCTCAGCAGCACGGATGGCCCCCCTGCAATTCCTGCTAATCAGCCCACATGCCGGCGTGTGTTGCTCCCTCAGCAACACAGGATATCTCCCTGCAACTCATGCATGGCATCTCATCACTTGCCATGTCAAACATGTTCAAATGCTGTTTCATTTTCATATCTGCATCACTTCTTATCATTCAACGATGCCGTACCTGTTTGCTGCTCGTTGGTTTCGCTTTTGAGAATTCGCATGCAATCTACGGTATGCCGTACAAGTGGGAGAACTTCTCAGCTACGCCAATTAAAACCTACACCAACACTGAAGTGTTTGTACACGTATTGATGTTTCATGTGTGCTTTTGAGTCGACTCAAAAGCAAACTGCTACGCCAATTAAAACCTAGACGAGCACTGAAGTGTTTGTGCACGTATTCATGTTTCGTGCGATGCCTCATTTGTGCGCGGCCTCAGTAGTGGGCTAACAAGAGGTGTTTTAAAACGTGTACAACGCTGTTCTTACTATCTGATATAAGGTTGGCCTGATAAGGGGCCGTAGGAACACACCCTCAGACCCAATGTGAGAGCCTGGAACATAAGATATGGAATCAAGGCAGCCATATTGTCACCATCAGCATTGCACCAGTCACAGTTGGATCTTAAAAAGCAACGTGTCTTCCAGGTGCTCCCTCCCAGAAAATACTCCTTCTGAGGCACCTAAAAAAAGGGTGTATGCCGTACCCCAGTTGCTCCGATTGGTTCTCCTCGGTCCTCACGGGATATACAGCGCGGTACTGTAATCCAAATCAGAGGAACCTTGGCAATACAAGCACCCCAGTTGCTCTAGTGGGTCCTGTCCTGGGCCTCCCTTGCACGTACTGCACTGCTGCCCATGCGTTGCCCTCTTCGGCCCTCTGTCACAGTTGCGCCAGTGGGTCCTGTCCTTCCTGGGCCTCCCTACCACATACCGCACTGCTGCTGCCCATGCGTTGCCCTCTTCAGTCCTCTGTCACAGTTGCGCCAGTGGGTCCTGTCCTTCCTGGGCCTCCCTACCACATACCGCACTGCTGCTGCCCATGCGTTGCCCTCTTCGGCCCTCTGTCACAGTTGCGCCAGTGGGTCCTGTCCTTCCTGGGCCTCCCTACCACATACCGCACTGCTGCTGCCCATGCGTTGCCCTCTTCAGTCCTCTGTCACAGCTGCACAATGAAGATATAGGTAGCCCAGTTGCTCCAGTGGGTCCTGTCCTGGGCCTCCCCAGCACATACTGTACCGCACAGCACCGCTGATGGTACCATCCAAACCCGCCAAGAACGTTTACAGCTGCACCTTGAAGATATAAGTAGCCCAGTTGGTCCAGTGGGTTCTTGGTCTCCCCGGCACATACTGCACAGCGCCCCATGCGTTGCCCTCCTCGTCTATGCCTGCTGTCATGTAGTCGCCGTACCGCACTGCCGCAGCAAACCCCATGTACCCTGGGAGAGGGGAGGGCAGGTGGGGAGTGGGGGAAAGGCGGGATTAAGGGCATTGGGGCGGGGAGGGGAAAACGAAAAGGGGGGAATTGGAGGTCTGCATGCATTGCCCTGCCTCGTCCACGCCTGCTTCCATGTACCCTGTGGGAGAGCGGAGGGGAGGGGGAGGGTGGGGGAGGAGGAAAGGGGGGGTGGACGGTTGAAGGAGACGGGCCCCTTGCGTTGCCCTCCTCGTCCATTCCTGCTGTCACGTAGTCACCGTATCTCACTGCTTCAGCGAACCCCATGTACCCTGGGGAATCATGTTTCTCAGACTCGCTTCAGCGAAGCCAGCAGCAGCAAGCACCACACATTATCCACACACAGCAACACCTGGCACAGCATGGGCAGCAAGGGGGGAAAATCCTTTCTAACCCATCCTGATCAGGCCGCATGTCTCACTCACCCGAGTAATCATCCAGCGCTGCCCCGCCAGCTGCAGCAACCACCACGTCTCCCGCCTCTCCCTCCGTGTTCACAGTCGCATCCGCAGCAGAGGGGTAATACGACGGCCCTGCCAGCAATACCGCCATGATCCCATTTTAGAGTCGACTCAAAAGTTCACTCACCCGAGTAATCATCCAGCGCTGCCCCGCCAGCTGCAGCAACCACCACGTCTCCCGCCTCTCCCTCCGTGTTCACAGTCGCATCCGCAGCAGAGGGGTAATACGACGGCCCTGCCAGCGATACCGCCATGATCCCATTTTAGAGTCGACTCAAAAGTTCACTCACCCGAGTAATCATCCAGCGCTGCCCCGCCAGCTGCAGCAACCACCACGTCCCCCGCCGCTGTCTCTCCATTCACAGTCGCATACGCAGCAGAGGGGTAATACGACGGCCCTGCCAGCGATACCGCCATGATCCCATTTTAGAGTCGACTCAAAAGTTCACTCACCCGAGTAATCATCCAGCGCTGCCCCGCCAGCTGCAGCAACCACCACGTCCCCCGCCGCTGTCTCTCCATTCACAGTCGCATACGCAGCAGAGGGGTAATACGACGGCCCTGCCAGCGATACCGCCATGATCCCATTTTAGAGTCGACTCAAAAGTTCACTCACCCGAGTAATCATCCAGCGCTGCCCCGCCAGCTGCAGCAACCACCACGTCCCCCGCCGCTGTCTCTCCATTCACAGTCGCATACGCAGCAGAGGGGTAATACGACGGCCCTGCCAGCGATACCGCCATGATCCCATTTTAGAGTCGACTCAAAAGTTCACTCACCCGAGTAATCATCCAGCGCTGCCCCGCCAGCTGCAGCAACCACCACGTCCCCCGCCGCTGTCTCTCCATTCACAGTCGCATCCGCAGCAGAGGGGTAATACGACGGCCCTGCCAGCGATACCGCCATGATCCCATTTTAGAGTCGACTCAAAAGTTCACTCACCCGAGTAATCATCCAGCGCTGCCCCGCCAGCTGCAGCAACCACCACGTCCCCCGCCGCTGTCTCTCCATTCACAGTCGCATACGCAGCAGAGGGGTAATACGACGGCCCTGCCAGCGATACCGCCATGATCCCATTTTAGAGTCGACTCAAAAGTTCACTCACCCGAGTAATCATCCAGCGCTGCCCCGCCAGCTGCAGCAACCACCACGTCCCCCGCCGCTGTCTCTCCATTCACAGTCGCATACGCAGCAGAGGGGTAATACGACGGCCCTGCCAGCGATACCGCCATGATCCCATTTTAGAGTCGACTCAAAAGTTCACTCACCCGAGTAATCATCCAGCGCTGCCCCGCCAGCTGCAGCAACCACCACGTCCCCCGCCGCTGTCTCTCCATTCACAGTCGCATACGCAGCAGAGGGGTAATACGACGGCCCTGCCAGCGATACCGCCATGATCCCATTTTAGAGTCGACTCAAAAGTTCACTCACCCGAGTAATCATCCAGCGCTGCCCCGCCAGCTGCAGCAACCACCACGTCCCCCGCCGCTGTCTCTCCATTCACAGTCGCATACGCAGCAGAGGGGTAATACGACGGCCCTGCCAGCGATACCGCCATGATCCCATTTTAGAGTCGACTCAAAAGTTCACTCACCCGAGTAATCATCCAGCGCTGCCCCGCCAGCTGCAGCAACCACCACGTCCCCCGCCGCTGTCTCTCCATTCACAGTCGCATACGCAGCAGAGGGGTAATACGACGGCCCTGCCAGCGATACCGCCATGATCCCATTTTAGAGTCGACTCAAAAGTTCACTCACCCGAGTAATCATCCAGCGCTGCCCCGCCAGCTGCAGCAACCACCACGTCCCCCGCCGCTGTCTCTCCATTCACAGTCGCATCCGCAGCAGAGGGGTAATACGACGGCCCTGCCAGCGATACCGCCATGATCCCATTTTAGAGTCGACTCAAAAGTTCACTCACCCGAGTAATCATCCAGCGCTGCCCCGCCAGCTGCAGCAACCACCACGTCCCCCGCCGCTGTCTCTCCATTCACAGTCGCATACGCAGCAGAGGGGTAATACGACGGCCCTGCCAGCGATACCGCCATGATCCCATTTTAGAGTCGACTCAAAAGTTCACTCACCCGAGTAATCATCCAGCGCTGCCCCGCCAGCTGCAGCAACCACCACGTCCCCCGCCGCTGTCTCTCCATTCACAGTCGCATACGCAGCAGAGGGGTAATACGACGGCCCTGCCAGCGATACCGCCATGATCCCATTTTAGAGTCGACTCAAAAGTTCACTCACCCGAGTAATCATCCAGCGCTGCCCCGCCAGCTGCAGCAACCACCACGTCCCCCGCCGCTGTCTCTCCATTCACAGTCGCATACGCAGCAGAGGGGTAATACGACGGCCCTGCCAGCGATACCGCCATGATCCCATTTTAGAGTCGACTCAAAAGTTCACTCACCCGAGTAATCATCCAGCGCTGCCCCGCCAGCTGCAGCAACCACCACGTCCCCCGCCGCTGTCTCTCCATTCACAGTCGCATACGCAGCAGAGGGGTAATACGACGGCCCTGCCAGCGATACCGCCATGATCCCATTTTAGAGTCGACTCAAAAGTTCACTCACCCGAGTAATCATCCAGCGCTGCCCCGCCAGCTGCAGCAACCACCACGTCCCCCGCCGCTGTCTCTCCATTCACAGTCGCATACGCAGCAGAGGGGTAATACGACGGCCCTGCCAGCGATACCGCCATGATCCCATTTTAGAGTCGACTCAAAAGTTCACTCACCCGAGTAAACATCCAGCGCTGCCCCGCCAGCTGCAGCAACCACCACGTCCCCCGCCGCTGTCTCTCCATTCACAGTCGCATACGCAGCAGAGGGGTAATACGACGGCCCTGCCAGCGATACCGCCATGATCCCATTTTAGAGTCGACTCAAAAGTTCACTCACCCGAGTAATCATCCAGCGCTGCCCCGCCAGCTGCAGCAACCACCACGTCCCCCGCCGCTGTCTCTCCATTCACAGTCGCATACGCAGCAGAGGGGTAATACGACGGCCCTGCCAGCGATACCGCCATGATCCCATTTTAGAGTCGACTCAAAAGTTCACTCACCCGAGTAATCATCCAGCGCTGCCCCGCCAGCTGCAGCAACCACCACGTCCCCCGCCGCTGTCTCTCCATTCACAGTCGCATACGCAGCAGAGGGGTAATACGACGGCCCTGCCAGCGATACCGCCATGATCCCATTTTAGAGTCGACTCAAAAGTTCACTCACCCGAGTAATCATCCAGCGCTGCCCCGCCAGCTGCAGCAACCACCACGTCCCCCGCCGCTGTCTCTCCATTCACAGTCGCATACGCAGCAGAGGGGTAATACGACGGCCCTGCCAGCGATACCGCCATGATCCCATTTTAGAGTCGACTCAAAAGTTCACTCACCCGAGTAATCATCCAGCGCTGCCCCGCCATGCTGCAGCAACCACCACGTCCCCCGCCGCTGTCTCTCCATTCACAGTCGCATACGCAGCAGAGGGGTAATACGACGGCCCTGCCAGCGATACCGCCATGATCCCATTTTAGAGTCGACTCAAAAGTTCACTCACCCGAGTAATCATCCAGCGCTGCCCCGCCAGCTGCAGCAACCACCACGTCCCCCGCCGCTGTCTCTCCATTCACAGTCGCATACGCAGCAGAGGGGTAATACGACGGCCCTGCCAGCGATACCGCCATGATCCCATTTTAGAGTCGACTCAAAAGTTCACTCACCCGAGTAATCATCCAGTCGCTGCCCCGCCAGCTGCAGCAACCACCACGTCCCCCGCCGCTGTCTCTCCATTCACAGTCGCATACGCAGCAGAGGGGTAATACGACGGCCCTGCCAGCGATACCGCCATGATCCCATTTTAGAGTCGACTCAAAAGTCCACTCACCCGAGTAATCATCCAGCGCTGCCCCGCCAGCTGCAGCAACCACCACGTCCCCCGCCGCTGTCTCTCCATTCACAGTCGCATACGCAGCAGAGGGGTAATACGACGGCCCTGCCAGCGATACCGCCATGATCCCATTTTAGAGTCGACTCAAAAGTCCACTCACCCGAGTAATCATCCAGCGCTGCCCCGCCAGCTGCAGCAACCACCACGTCCCCCGCCGCTGTCTCTCCATTCACAGTCGCATACGCAGCAGAGGGGTAATACGACGGCCCTGCCAGCGATACCGCCATGATCCCATTTTAGAGTCGACTCAAAAGTTCACTCACCCGAGTAATCATCCAGCGCTGCCCCGCCAGCTGCAGCAACCACCACGTCCCCCGCCGCTGTCTCTCCATTCACAGTCGCATACGCAGCAGAGGGGTAATACGACGGCCCTGCCAGCGATACCGCCATGATCCCATTTTAGAGTCGACTCAAAAGTTCACTCACCCGAGTAATCATCCAGCGCTGCCCCGCCAGCTGCAGCAACCACCACGTCCCCCGCCGCTGTCTCTCCATTCACAGTCGCATACGCAGCAGAGGGGTAATACGACGGCCCTGCCAGCGATACCGCCATGATCCCATTTTAGAGTCGACTCAAAAGTTCACTCACCCGAGTAATCATCCAGCGCTGCCCCGCCAGCTGCAGCAACCACCACGTCCCCCGCCGCTGTCTCTCCATTCACAGTCGCATACGCAGCAGAGGGGTAATACGACGGCCCTGCCAGCGATACCGCCATGATCCCATTTTAGAGTCGACTCAAAAGTTCACTCACCCGAGTAATCATCCAGCGCTGCCCCGCCAGCTGCAGCAACCACCACGTCCCCCGCCGCTGTCTCTCCATTCACAGTCGCATACGCAGCAGAGGGGTAATACGACGGCCCTGCCAGCGATACCGCCATGATCCCATTTTAGAGTCGACTCAAAAGTTCACTCACCCGAGTAATCATCCAGCGCTGCCCCGCCAGCTGCAGCAACCACCACGTCCCCCGCCGCTGTCTCTCCATTCACAGTCGCATACGCAGCAGAGGGGTAATACGACGGCCCTGCCAGCGATACCGCCATGATCCCATTTTAGAGTCGACTCAAAAGTTCACTCACCCGAGTAATCATCCAGCGCTGCCCCGCCAGCTGCAGCAACCACCACGTCCCCCGCCGCTGTCTCTCCATTCACAGTCGCATACGCAGCAGAGGGGTAATACGACGGCCCTGCCAGCGATACCGCCATGATCCCATTTTAGAGTCGACTCAAAAGTTCACTCACCCGAGTAATCATCCAGCGCTGCCCCGCCAGCTGCAGCAACCACCACGTCCCCCGCCGCTGTCTCTCCATTCACAGTCGCATACGCAGCAGAGGGGTAATACGACGGCCCTGCCAGCGATACCGCCATGATCCCATTTTAGAGTCGACTCAAAAGTTCACTCACCCGAGTAATCATCCAGCGCTGCCCCGCCAGCTGCAGCAACCACCACGTCCCCCGCCGCTGTCTCTCCATTCACAGTCGCATACGCAGCAGAGGGGTAATACGACGGCCCTGCCAGCGATACCGCCATGATCCCATTTTAGAGTCGACTCAAAAGTTCACTCACCCGAGTAATCATCCAGCGCTGCCCCGCCAGCTGCAGCAACCACCACGTCCCCCGCCGCTGTCTCTCCATTCACAGTCGCATACGCAGCAGAGGGGTAATACGACGGCCCTGCCAGCGATACCGCCATGATCCCATTTTAGAGTCGACTCAAAAGTTCACTCACCCGAGTAATCATCCAGCGCTGCCCCGCCAGCTGCAGCAACCACCACGTCCCCCGCCGCTGTCTCTCCATTCACAGTCGCATACGCAGCAGAGGGGTAATACGACGGCCCTGCCAGCGATACCGCCATGATCCCATTTTAGAGTCGACTCAAAAGTTCACTCACCCGAGTAATCATCCAGCGCTGCCCCGCCAGCTGCAGCAACCACCACGTCCCCCGCCGCTGTCTCTCCATTCACAGTCGCATACGCAGCAGAGGGGTAATACGACGGCCCTGCCAGCGATACCGCCATGATCCCATTTTAGAGTCGACTCAAAAGTTCACTCACCCGAGTAATCATCCAGCGCTGCCCCGCCAGCTGCAGCAACCACCACGTCCCCCGCCGCTGTCTCTCCATTCACAGTCGCATACGCAGCAGAGGGGTAATACGACGGCCCTGCCAGCGATACCGCCATGATCCCATTTTAGAGTCGACTCAAAAGTTCACTCACCCGAGTAAACATCCAGCGCTGCCCCGCCAGCTGCAGCAACCACCACGTCCCCCGCCGCTGTCTCTCCATTCACAGTCGCATACGCAGCAGAGGGGTAATACGACGGCCCTGCCAGCGATACCGCCATGATCCCATTTTAGAGTCGACTCAAAAGTTCACTCACCCGAGTAATCATCCAGCGCTGCCCCGCCAGCTGCAGCAACCACCACGTCCCCCGCCGCTGTCTCTCCATTCACAGTCGCATACGCAGCAGAGGGGTAATACGACGGCCCTGCCAGCGATACCGCCATGATCCCATTTTAGAGTCGACTCAAAAGTTCACTCACCCGAGTAATCATCCAGCGCTGCCCCGCCAGCTGCAGCAACCACCACGTCCCCCGCCGCTGTCTCTCCATTCACAGTCGCATACGCAGCAGAGGGGTAATACGACGGCCCTGCCAGCGATACCGCCATGATCCCATTTTAGAGTCGACTCAAAAGTTCACTCACCCGAGTAATCATCCAGCGCTGCCCCGCCAGCTGCAGCAACCACCACGTCCCCCGCCGCTGTCTCTCCATTCACAGTCGCATACGCAGCAGAGGGGTAATACGACGGCCCTGCCAGCGATACCGCCATGATCCCATTTTAGAGTCGACTCAAAAGTTCACTCACCCGAGTAATCATCCAGCGCTGCCCCGCCAGCTGCAGCAACCACCACGTCCCCCGCCGCTGTCTCTCCATTCACAGTCGCATCCGCAGCAGAGGGGTAATACGACGGCCCTGCCAGCGATACCGCCATGATCCCATTTTAGAGTCGACTCAAAAGTTCACTCACCCGAGTAATCATCCAGTGCTGCCCCGCCAGCTGCAGCAACCACCACGTCCCCCGCCGCTGTCTCTCCATTCACAGTCGCATACGCAGCAGAGGGGTAATACGACGGCCCTGCCAGCGATACCGCCATGATCCCATTTTAGAGTCGACTCAAAAGTCCACTCACCCGAGTAATCATCCAGCGCTGCCCCGCCAGCTGCAGCAACCACCACGTCCCCCGCCGCTGTCTCTCCATTCACAGTCGCATACGCAGCAGAGGGGTAATACGACGGCCCTGCCAGCGATACCGCCATGATCCCATTTTAGAGTCGACTCAAAAGTCCACTCACCCGAGTAATCATCCAGCGCTGCCCCGCCAGCTGCAGCAACCACCACGTCCCCCGCCGCTGTCTCTCCATTCACAGTCGCATACGCAGCAGAGGGGTAATACGACGGCCCTGCCAGCGATACCGCCATGATCCCATTTTAGAGTCGACTCAAAAGTTCACTCACCCGAGTAATCATCCAGCGCTGCCCCGCCAGCTGCAGCAACCACCACGTCCCCCGCCGCTGTCTCTCCATTCACAGTCGCATACGCAGCAGAGGGGTAATACGACGGCCCTGCCAGCGATACCGCCATGATCCCATTTTAGAGTCGACTCAAAAGTTCACTCACCCGAGTAATCATCCAGCGCTGCCCCGCCAGCTGCAGCAACCACCACGTCCCCCGCCGCTGTCTCTCCATTCACAGTCGCATACGCAGCAGAGGGGTAATACGACGGCCCTGCCAGCGATACCGCCATGATCCCATTTTAGAGTCGACTCAAAAGTTCACTCACCCGAGTAATCATCCAGCGCTGCCCCGCCAGCTGCAGCAACCACCACGTCCCCCGCCGCTGTCTCTCCATTCACAGTCGCATACGCAGCAGAGGGGTAATACGACGGCCCTGCCAGCGATACCGCCATGATCCCATTTTAGAGTCGACTCAAAAGTTCACTCACCCGAGTAATCATCCAGCGCTGCCCCGCCAGCTGCAGCAACCACCACGTCCCCCGCCGCTGTCTCTCCATTCACAGTCGCATACGCAGCAGAGGGGTAATACGACGGCCCTGCCAGCGATACCGCCATGATCCCATTTTAGAGTCGACTCAAAAGTTCACTCACCCGAGTAATCATCCAGCGCTGCCCCGCCAGCTGCAGCAACCACCACGTCCCCCGCCGCTGTCTCTCCATTCACAGTCGCATACGCAGCAGAGGGGTAATACGACGGCCCTGCCAGCGATACCGCCATGATCCCATTTTAGAGTCGACTCAAAAGTTCACTCACCCGAGTAATCATCCAGCGCTGCCCCGCCAGCTGCAGCAACCACCACGTCCCCCGCCGCTGTCTCTCCATTCACAGTCGCATACGCAGCAGAGGGGTAATACGACGGCCCTGCCAGCGATACCGCCATGATCCCATTTTAGAGTCGACTCAAAAGTTCACTCACCCGAGTAATCATCCAGCGCTGCCCCGCCAGCTGCAGCAACCACCACGTCCCCCGCCGCTGTCTCTCCATTCACAGTCGCATACGCAGCAGAGGGGTAATACGACGGCCCTGCCAGCGATACCGCCATGATCCCATTTTAGAGTCGACTCAAAAGTTCACTCACCCGAGTAATCATCCAGCGCTGCCCCGCCAGCTGCAGCAACCACCACGTCCCCCGCCGCTGTCTCTCCATTCACAGTCGCATCCGCAGCAGAGGGGTAATACGACGGCCCTGCCAGCGATACCGCCATGATCCCATTTTAGAGTCGACTCAAAAGTTCACTCACCCGAGTAATCATCCAGCGCTGCCCCGCCAGCTGCAGCAACCACCACGTCCCCCGCCGCTGTCTCTCCATTCACAGTCGCATACGCAGCAGAGGGGTAATACGACGGCCCTGCCAGCGATACCGCCATGATCCCATTTTAGAGTCGACTCAAAAGTCCACTCACCCGAGTAATCATCCAGCGCTGCCCCGCCAGCTGCAGCAACCACCACGTCCCCCGCCGCTGTCTCTCCATTCACAGTCGCATACGCAGCAGAGGGGTAATACGACGGCCCTGCCAGCGATACCGCCATGATCCCATTTTAGAGTCGACTCAAAAGTTCACTCACCCGAGTAATCATCCAGCGCTGCCCCGCCAGCTGCAGCAACCACCACGTCCCCCGCCGCTGTCTCTCCATTCACAGTCGCATACGCAGCAGAGGGGTAATACGACGGCCCTGCCAGCGATACCGCCATGATCCCATTTTAGAGTCGACTCAAAAGTTCACTCACCCGAGTAATCATCCAGCGCTGCCCCGCCAGCTGCAGCAACCACCACGTCCCCCGCCGCTGTCTCTCCATTCACAGTCGCATACGCAGCAGAGGGGTAATACGACGGCCCTGCCAGCGATACCGCCATGATCCCATTTTAGAGTCGACTCAAAAGTTCACTCACCCGAGTAATCATCCAGCGCTGCCCCGCCAGCTGCAGCAACCACCACGTCCCCCGCCGCTGTCTCTCCATTCACAGTCGCATACGCAGCAGAGGGGTAATACGACGGCCCTGCCAGCGATACCGCCATGATCCCATTTTAGAGTCGACTCAAAAGTTCACTCACCCGAGTAATCATCCAGCGCTGCCCCGCCAGCTGCAGCAACCACCACGTCCCCCGCCGCTGTCTCTCCATTCACAGTCGCATACGCAGCAGAGGGGTAATACGACGGCCCTGCCAGCGATACCGCCATGATCCCATTTTAGAGTCGACTCAAAAGTTCACTCACCCGAGTAATCATCCAGCGCTGCCCCGCCAGCTGCAGCAACCACCACGTCCCCCGCCGCTGTCTCTCCATTCACAGTCGCATACGCAGCAGAGGGGTAATACGACGGCCCTGCCAGCGATACCGCCATGATCCCATTTTAGAGTCGACTCAAAAGTTCACTCACCCGAGTAATCATCCAGCGCTGCCCCGCCAGCTGCAGCAACCACCACGTCCCCCGCCGCTGTCTCTCCATTCACAGTCGCATACGCAGCAGAGGGGTAATACGACGGCCCTGCCAGCGATACCGCCATGATCCCATTTTAGAGTCGACTCAAAAGTTCACTCACCCGAGTAATCATCCAGCGCTGCCCCGCCAGCTGCAGCAACCACCACGTCCCCCGCCGCTGTCTCTCCATTCACAGTCGCATACGCAGCAGAGGGGTAATACGACGGCCCTGCCAGCGATACCGCCATGATCCCATTTTAGAGTCGACTCAAAAGTTCACTCACCCGAGTAATCATCCAGCGCTGCCCCGCCAGCTGCAGCAACCACCACGTCCCCCGCCGCTGTCTCTCCATTCACAGTCGCATACGCAGCAGAGGGGTAATACGACGGCCCTGCCAGCGATACCGCCATGATCCCATTTTAGAGTCGACTCAAAAGTTCACTCACCCGAGTAATCATCCAGCGCTGCCCCGCCAGCTGCAGCAACCACCACGTCCCCCGCCGCTGTCTCTCCATTCACAGTCGCATACGCAGCAGAGGGGTAATACGACGGCCCTGCCAGCGATACCGCCATGATCCCATTTTAGAGTCGACTCAAAAGTTCACTCACCCGAGTAATCATCCAGCGCTGCCCCGCCAGCTGCAGCAACCACCACGTCCCCCGCCGCTGTCTCTCCATTCACAGTCGCATACGCAGCAGAGGGGTAATACGACGGCCCTGCCAGCGATACCGCCATGATCCCATTTTAGAGTCGACTCAAAAGTTCACTCACCCGAGTAATCATCCAGCGCTGCCCCGCCAGCTGCAGCAACCACCACGTCCCCCGCCGCTGTCTCTCCATTCACAGTCGCATCCGCAGCAGAGGGGTAATACGACGGCCCTGCCAGCGATACCGCCATGATCCCATTTTAGAGTCGACTCAAAAGTTCACTCACCCGAGTAATCATCCAGCGCTGCCCCGCCAGCTGCAGCAACCACCACGTCCCCCGCCGCTGTCTCTCCATTCACAGTCGCATACGCAGCAGAGGGGTAATACGACGGCCCTGCCAGCGATACCGCCATGATCCCATTTTAGAGTCGACTCAAAAGTTCACTCACCCGAGTAATCATCCAGCGCTGCCCCGCCAGCTGCAGCAACCACCACGTCCCCCGCCGCTGTCTCTCCATTCACAGTCGCATACGCAGCAGAGGGGTAATACGACGGCCCTGCCAGCGATACCGCCATGATCCCATTTTAGAGTCGACTCAAAAGTTCACTCACCCGAGTAATCATCCAGCGCTGCCCCGCCAGCTGCAGCAACCACCACGTCCCCCGCCGCTGTCTCTCCATTCACAGTCGCATACGCAGCAGAGGGGTAATACGACGGCCCTGCCAGCGATACCGCCATGATCCCATTTTAGAGTCGACTCAAAAGTTCACTCACCCGAGTAATCATCCAGCGCTGCCCCGCCAGCTGCAGCAACCACCACGTCCCCCGCCGCTGTCTCTCCATTCACAGTCGCATACGCAGCAGAGGGGTAATACGACGGCCCTGCCAGCGATACCGCCATGATCCCATTTTAGAGTCGACTCAAAAGTTCACTCACCCGAGTAATCATCCAGCGCTGCCCCGCCAGCTGCAGCAACCACCACGTCCCCCGCCGCTGTCTCTCCATTCACAGTCGCATACGCAGCAGAGGGGTAATACGACGGCCCTGCCAGCGATACCGCCATGATCCCATTTTAGAGTCGACTCAAAAGTTCACTCACCCGAGTAATCATCCAGCGCTGCCCCGCCAGCTGCAGCAACCACCACGTCCCCCGCCGCTGTCTCTCCATTCACAGTCGCATACGCAGCAGAGGGGTAATACGACGGCCCTGCCAGCGATACCGCCATGATCCCATTTTAGAGTCGACTCAAAAGTTCACTCACCCGAGTAATCATCCAGCGCTGCCCCGCCAGCTGCAGCAACCACCACGTCCCCCGCCGCTGTCTCTCCATTCACAGTCGCATACGCAGCAGAGGGGTAATACGACGGCCCTGCCAGCGATACCGCCATGATCCCATTTTAGAGTCGACTCAAAAGTTCACTCACCCGAGTAATCATCCAGCGCTGCCCCGCCAGCTGCAGCAACCACCACGTCCCCCGCCGCTGTCTCTCCATTCACAGTCGCATACGCAGCAGAGGGGTAATACGACGGCCCTGCCAGCGATACCGCCATGATCCCATTTTAGAGTCGACTCAAAAGTTCACTCACCCGAGTAATCATCCAGCGCTGCCCCGCCAGCTGCAGCAACCACCACGTCCCCCGCCGCTGTCTCTCCATTCACAGTCGCATACGCAGCAGAGGGGTAATACGACGGCCCTGCCAGCGATACCGCCATGATCCCATTTTAGAGTCGACTCAAAAGTTCACTCACCCGAGTAATCATCCAGCGCTGCCCCGCCAGCTGCAGCAACCACCACGTCCCCCGCCGCTGTCTCTCCATTCACAGTCGCATACGCAGCAGAGGGGTAATACGACGGCCCTGCCAGCGATACCGCCATGATCCCATTTTAGAGTCGACTCAAAAGTTCACTCACCCGAGTAATCATCCAGCGCTGCCCCGCCAGCTGCAGCAACCACCACGTCCCCCGCCGCTGTCTCTCCATTCACAGTCGCATACGCAGCAGAGGGGTAATACGACGGCCCTGCCAGCGATACCGCCATGATCCCATTTTAGAGTCGACTCAAAAGTTCACTCACCCGAGTAATCATCCAGCGCTGCCCCGCCAGCTGCAGCAACCACCACGTCCCCCGCCGCTGTCTCTCCATTCACAGTCGCATACGCAGCAGAGGGGTAATACGACGGCCCTGCCAGCGATACCGCCATGATCCCATTTTAGAGTCGACTCAAAAGTTCACTCACCCGAGTAATCATCCAGCGCTGCCCCGCCAGCTGCAGCAACCACCACGTCCCCCGCCGCTGTCTCTCCATTCACAGTCGCATACGCAGCAGAGGGGTAATACGACGGCCCTGCCAGCGATACCGCCATGATCCCATTTTAGAGTCGACTCAAAAGTTCACTCACCCGAGTAATCATCCAGCGCTGCCCCGCCAGCTGCAGCAACCACCACGTCCCCCGCCGCTGTCTCTCCATTCACAGTCGCATACGCAGCAGAGGGGTAATACGACGGCCCTGCCAGCGATACCGCCATGATCCCATTTTAGAGTCGACTCAAAAGTTCACTCACCCGAGTAATCATCCAGCGCTGCCCCGCCAGCTGCAGCAACCACCACGTCCCCCGCCGCTGTCTCTCCATTCACAGTCGCATACGCAGCAGAGGGGTAATACGACGGCCCTGCCAGCGATACCGCCATGATCCCATTTTAGAGTCGACTCAAAAGTTCACTCACCCGAGTAATCATCCAGCGCTGCCCCGCCAGCTGCAGCAACCACCACGTCCCCCGCCGCTGTCTCTCCATTCACAGTCGCATACGCAGCAGAGGGGTAATACGACGGCCCTGCCAGCGATACCGCCATGATCCCATTTTAGAGTCGACTCAAAAGTTCACTCACCCGAGTAATCATCCAGCGCTGCCCCGCCAGCTGCAGCAACCACCACGTCCCCCGCCGCTGTCTCTCCATTCACAGTCGCATACGCAGCAGAGGGGTAATACGACGGCCCTGCCAGCGATACCGCCATGATCCCATTTTAGAGTCGACTCAAAAGTTCACTCACCCGAGTAATCATCCAGCGCTGCCCCGCCAGCTGCAGCAACCACCACGTCCCCCGCCGCTGTCTCTCCATTCACAGTCGCATACGCAGCAGAGGGGTAATACGACGGCCCTGCCAGCGATACCGCCATGATCCCATTTTAGAGTCGACTCAAAAGTTCACTCACCCGAGTAATCATCCAGCGCTGCCCCGCCAGCTGCAGCAACCACCACGTCCCCCGCCGCTGTCTCTCCATTCACAGTCGCATACGCAGCAGAGGGGTAATACGACGGCCCTGCCAGCGATACCGCCATGATCCCATTTTAGAGTCGACTCAAAAGTTCACTCACCCGAGTAATCATCCAGCGCTGCCCCGCCAGCTGCAGCAACCACCACGTCCCCCGCCGCTGTCTCTCCATTCACAGTCGCATACGCAGCAGAGGGGTAATACGACGGCCCTGCCAGCGATACCGCCATGATCCCATTTTAGAGTCGACTCAAAAGTTCACTCACCCGAGTAATCATCCAGCGCTGCCCCGCCAGCTGCAGCAACCACCACGTCCCCCGCCGCTGTCTCTCCATTCACAGTCGCATACGCAGCAGAGGGGTAATACGACGGCCCTGCCAGCGATACCGCCATGATCCCATTTTAGAGTCGACTCAAAAGTTCACTCACCCGAGTAATCATCCAGCGCTGCCCCGCCAGCTGCAGCAACCACCACGTCCCCCGCCGCTGTCTCTCCATTCACAGTCGCATACGCAGCAGAGGGGTAATACGACGGCCCTGCCAGCGATACCGCCATGATCCCATTTTAGAGTCGACTCAAAAGTTCACTCACCCGAGTAATCATCCAGCGCTGCCCCGCCAGCTGCAGCAACCACCACGTCCCCCGCCGCTGTCTCTCCATTCACAGTCGCATACGCAGCAGAGGGGTAATACGACGGCCCTGCCAGCGATACCGCCATGATCCCATTTTAGAGTCGACTCAAAAGTTCACTCACCCGAGTAATCATCCAGCGCTGCCCCGCCAGCTGCAGCAACCACCACGTCCCCCGCCGCTGTCTCTCCATTCACAGTCGCATACGCAGCAGAGGGGTAATACGACGGCCCTGCCAGCGATACCGCCATGATCCCATTTTAGAGTCGACTCAAAAGTTCACTCACCCGAGTAATCATCCAGCGCTGCCCCGCCAGCTGCAGCAACCACCACGTCCCCCGCCGCTGTCTCTCCATTCACAGTCGCATACGCAGCAGAGGGGTAATACGACGGCCCTGCCAGCGATACCGCCATGATCCCATTTTAGAGTCGACTCAAAAGTTCACTCACCCGAGTAATCATCCAGCGCTGCCCCGCCAGCTGCAGCAACCACCACGTCCCCCGCCGCTGTCTCTCCATTCACAGTCGCATACGCAGCAGAGGGGTAATACGACGGCCCTGCCAGCGATACCGCCATGATCCCATTTTAGAGTCGACTCAAAAGTTCACTCACCCGAGTAATCATCCAGCGCTGCCCCGCCAGCTGCAGCAACCACCACGTCCCCCGCCGCTGTCTCTCCATTCACAGTCGCATACGCAGCAGAGGGGTAATACGACGGCCCTGCCAGCGATACCGCCATGATCCCATTTTAGAGTCGACTCAAAAGTTCACTCACCCGAGTAATCATCCAGCGCTGCCCCGCCAGCTGCAGCAACCACCACGTCCCCCGCCGCTGTCTCTCCATTCACAGTCGCATACGCAGCAGAGGGGTAATACGACGGCCCTGCCAGCGATACCGCCATGATCCCATTTTAGAGTCGACTCAAAAGTTCACTCACCCGAGTAATCATCCAGCGCTGCCCCGCCAGCTGCAGCAACCACCACGTCCCCCGCCGCTGTCTCTCCATTCACAGTCGCATACGCAGCAGAGGGGTAATACGACGGCCCTGCCAGCGATACCGCCATGATCCCATTTTAGAGTCGACTCAAAAGTTCACTCACCCGAGTAATCATCCAGCGCTGCCCCGCCAGCTGCAGCAACCACCACGTCCCCCGCCGCTGTCTCTCCATTCACAGTCGCATACGCAGCAGAGGGGTAATACGACGGCCCTGCCAGCGATACCGCCATGATCCCATTTTAGAGTCGACTCAAAAGTTCACTCACCCGAGTAATCATCCAGCGCTGCCCCGCCAGCTGCAGCAACCACCACGTCCCCCGCCGCTGTCTCTCCATTCACAGTCGCATACGCAGCAGAGGGGTAATACGACGGCCCTGCCAGCGATACCGCCATGATCCCATTTTAGAGTCGACTCAAAAGTTCACTCACCCGAGTAATCATCCAGCGCTGCCCCGCCAGCTGCAGCAACCACCACGTCCCCCGCCGCTGTCTCTCCATTCACAGTCGCATACGCAGCAGAGGGGTAATACGACGGCCCTGCCAGCGATACCGCCATGATCCCATTTTAGAGTCGACTCAAAAGTTCACTCACCCGAGTAATCATCCAGCGCTGCCCCGCCAGCTGCAGCAACCACCACGTCCCCCGCCGCTGTCTCTCCATTCACAGTCGCATACGCAGCAGAGGGGTAATACGACGGCCCTGCCAGCGATACCGCCATGATCCCATTTTAGAGTCGACTCAAAAGTTCACTCACCCGAGTAATCATCCAGCGCTGCCCCGCCAGCTGCAGCAACCACCACGTCCCCCGCCGCTGTCTCTCCATTCACAGTCGCATACGCAGCAGAGGGGTAATACGACGGCCCTGCCAGCGATACCGCCATGATCCCATTTTAGAGTCGACTCAAAAGTTCACTCACCCGAGTAATCATCCAGCGCTGCCCCGCCAGCTGCAGCAACCACCACGTCCCCCGCCGCTGTCTCTCCATTCACAGTCGCATACGCAGCAGAGGGGTAATACGACGGCCCTGCCAGCGATACCGCCATGATCCCATTTTAGAGTCGACTCAAAAGTTCACTCACCCGAGTAATCATCCAGCGCTGCCCCGCCAGCTGCAGCAACCACCACGTCCCCCGCCGCTGTCTCTCCATTCACAGTCGCATACGCAGCAGAGGGGTAATACGACGGCCCTGCCAGCGATACCGCCATGATCCCATTTTAGAGTCGACTCAAAAGTTCACTCACCCGAGTAATCATCCAGCGCTGCCCCGCCAGCTGCAGCAACCACCACGTCCCCCGCCGCTGTCTCTCCATTCACAGTCGCATACGCAGCAGAGGGGTAATACGACGGCCCTGCCAGCGATACCGCCATGATCCCATTTTAGAGTCGACTCAAAAGTTCACTCACCCGAGTAATCATCCAGCGCTGCCCCGCCAGCTGCAGCAACCACCACGTCCCCCGCCGCTGTCTCTCCATTCACAGTCGCATACGCAGCAGAGGGGTAATACGACGGCCCTGCCAGCGATACCGCCATGATCCCATTTTAGAGTCGACTCAAAAGTTCACTCACCCGAGTAATCATCCAGCGCTGCCCCGCCAGCTGCAGCAACCACCACGTCCCCCGCCGCTGTCTCTCCATTCACAGTCGCATACGCAGCAGAGGGGTAATACGACGGCCCTGCCAGCGATACCGCCATGATCCCATTTTAGAGTCGACTCAAAAGTTCACTCACCCGAGTAATCATCCAGCGCTGCCCCGCCAGCTGCAGCAACCACCACGTCCCCCGCCGCTGTCTCTCCATTCACAGTCGCATACGCAGCAGAGGGGTAATACGACGGCCCTGCCAGCGATACCGCCATGATCCCATTTTAGAGTCGACTCAAAAGTTCACTCACCCGAGTAATCATCCAGCGCTGCCCCGCCAGCTGCAGCAACCACCACGTCCCCCGCCGCTGTCTCTCCATTCACAGTCGCATACGCAGCAGAGGGGTAATACGACGGCCCTGCCAGCGATACCGCCATGATCCCATTTTAGAGTCGACTCAAAAGTTCACTCACCCGAGTAATCATCCAGCGCTGCCCCGCCAGCTGCAGCAACCACCACGTCCCCCGCCGCTGTCTCTCCATTCACAGTCGCATACGCAGCAGAGGGGTAATACGACGGCCCTGCCAGCGATACCGCCATGATCCCATTTTAGAGTCGACTCAAAAGTTCACTCACCCGAGTAATCATCCAGCGCTGCCCCGCCAGCTGCAGCAACCACCACGTCCCCCGCCGCTGTCTCTCCATTCACAGTCGCATACGCAGCAGAGGGGTAATACGACGGCCCTGCCAGCGATACCGCCATGATCCCATTTTAGAGTCGACTCAAAAGTTCACTCACCCGAGTAATCATCCAGCGCTGCCCCGCCAGCTGCAGCAACCACCACGTCCCCCGCCGCTGTCTCTCCATTCACAGTCGCATACGCAGCAGAGGGGTAATACGACGGCCCTGCCAGCGATACCGCCATGATCCCATTTTAGAGTCGACTCAAAAGTTCACTCACCCGAGTAATCATCCAGCGCTGCCCCGCCAGCTGCAGCAACCACCACGTCCCCCGCCGCTGTCTCTCCATTCACAGTCGCATACGCAGCAGAGGGGTAATACGACGGCCCTGCCAGCGATACCGCCATGATCCCATTTTAGAGTCGACTCAAAAGTTCACTCACCCGAGTAATCATCCAGCGCTGCCCCGCCAGCTGCAGCAACCACCACGTCCCCCGCCGCTGTCTCTCCATTCACAGTCGCATACGCAGCAGAGGGGTAATACGACGGCCCTGCCAGCGATACCGCCATGATCCCATTTTAGAGTCGACTCAAAAGTTCACTCACCCGAGTAATCATCCAGCGCTGCCCCGCCAGCTGCAGCAACCACCACGTCCCCCGCCGCTGTCTCTCCATTCACAGTCGCATACGCAGCAGAGGGGTAATACGACGGCCCTGCCAGCGATACCGCCATGATCCCATTTTAGAGTCGACTCAAAAGTTCACTCACCCGAGTAATCATCCAGCGCTGCCCCGCCAGCTGCAGCAACCACCACGTCCCCCGCCGCTGTCTCTCCATTCACAGTCGCATCCGCAGCAGAGGGGTAATACGACGGCCCTGCCAGCGATACCGCCATGATCCCATTTTAGAGTCGACTCAAAAGTTCACTCACCCGAGTAATCATCCAGCGCTGCCCCGCCAGCTGCAGCAACCACCACGTCCCCCGCCGCTGTCTCTCCATTCACAGTCGCATACGCAGCAGAGGGGTAATACGACGGCCCTGCCAGCGATACCGCCATGATCCCATTTTAGAGTCGACTCAAAAGTTCACTCACCCGAGTAATCATCCAGCGCTGCCCCGCCAGCTGCAGCAACCACCACGTCCCCCGCCGCTGTCTCTCCATTCACAGTCGCATACGCAGCAGAGGGGTAATACGACGGCCCTGCCAGCGATACCGCCATGATCCCATTTTAGAGTCGACTCAAAAGTTCACTCACCCGAGTAATCATCCAGCGCTGCCCCGCCAGCTGCAGCAACCACCACGTCCCCCGCCGCTGTCTCTCCATTCACAGTCGCATACGCAGCAGAGGGGTAATACGACGGCCCTGCCAGCGATACCGCCATGATCCCATTTTAGAGTCGACTCAAAAGTTCACTCACCCGAGTAATCATCCAGCGCTGCCCCGCCAGCTGCAGCAACCACCACGTCCCCCGCCGCTGTCTCTCCATTCACAGTCGCATACGCAGCAGAGGGGTAATACGACGGCCCTGCCAGCGATACCGCCATGATCCCATTTTAGAGTCGACTCAAAAGTTCACTCACCCGAGTAATCATCCAGCGCTGCCCCGCCAGCTGCAGCAACCACCACGTCCCCCGCCGCTGTCTCTCCATTCACAGTCGCATACGCAGCAGAGGGGTAATACGACGGCCCTGCCAGCGATACCGCCATGATCCCATTTTAGAGTCGACTCAAAAGTTCACTCACCCGAGTAATCATCCAGCGCTGCCCCGCCAGCTGCAGCAACCACCACGTCCCCCGCCGCTGTCTCTCCATTCACAGTCGCATCCGCAGCAGAGGGGTAATACGACGGCCCTGCCAGCGATACCGCCATGATCCCATTTTAGAGTCGACTCAAAAGTTCACTCACCCGAGTAATCATCCAGCGCTGCCCCGCCAGCTGCAGCAACCACCACGTCCCCCGCCGCTGTCTCTCCATTCACAGTCGCATACGCAGCAGAGGGGTAATACGACGGCCCTGCCAGCGATACCGCCATGATCCCATTTTAGAGTCGACTCAAAAGTTCACTCACCCGAGTAATCATCCAGCGCTGCCCCGCCAGCTGCAGCAACCACCACGTCCCCCGCCGCTGTCTCTCCATTCACAGTCGCATACGCAGCAGAGGGGTAATACGACGGCCCTGCCAGCGATACCGCCATGATCCCATTTTAGAGTCGACTCAAAAGTTCACTCACCCGAGTAATCATCCAGCGCTGCCCCGCCAGCTGCAGCAACCACCACGTCCCCCGCCGCTGTCTCTCCATTCACAGTCGCATACGCAGCAGAGGGGTAATACGACGGCCCTGCCAGCGATACCGCCATGATCCCATTTTAGAGTCGACTCAAAAGTTCACTCACCCGAGTAATCATCCAGCGCTGCCCCGCCAGCTGCAGCAACCACCACGTCCCCCGCCGCTGTCTCTCCATTCACAGTCGCATACGCAGCAGAGGGGTAATACGACGGCCCTGCCAGCGATACCGCCATGATCCCATTTTAGAGTCGACTCAAAAGTTTGTACACGGGAAAGCGCTTGTTTTGTGCCCAGGAAGCTTGTCCCCGTTATAAGAAACGCCCCTATGCGGTTTAAGAATGTGAAGGCCTGTGCGTCTTGGTTGTATCCGAAATACATTGTGCCGACGTTGGTGTAGTCAAATGGTGTATCTGCCGCTACTTTTTGCGGCCAAACGGTGTAGTCGGGTACGGAAGCGTCGTCGCTGCTAGTGGGGATGGCTATACGGAGGATGAAAGTGTTCGTGGGGCGAGACAGCTGTACTTTGGATATAGCACTGGAGGACGGAGGGGATGGGCAGAGGAATGGGGTGGAGAATATGGGGGATGGAGGGATGGGGGGTGTGAGGGAAAGGGGGGAATCTGGTTGATTGGGGGGCTGTGGGGGCCGAGAATGATTGGCATGGATGGAAAGGAACCAGATTACACTACGGAGAAAAATGGGACAAGTGGTTAACAGAGGTCGGAGGACGTTAAATGCAGTTGAAAGAGGTTGAAAGGGGTTGAGAACAGTGTAATGTGGGTGGGCGCACTCACAAGATGCTGACTCCAAAGTAACCGTCATCCTCATATGAGAAGTGGTTTGCTGACAGATAGAAACCTGCATGTTCATGGGGACATGGATGCTTGAAAGCATGTAGGCATGGAGGCATGGATGCATGGCGGCATGGCGACATGGGGGCATGAAGCATGGAGGCATGGAGGCGTGGCGGCATGGGGGCATGAAGCATGGAGGCATGGAGGCGTGGCGGCATGGGGGCATGGAAGGCATGGGCATGCGCATAGACATGTATGCATGCCATGCGGTGCAGGTTTGGTATGCAGGTACGGTTTGCAGGTTTGGTATGATGATACGACATGTCACATGAGCCAAGCACTCCGCACACCCTACTGGACCCACTCTGCACCGCTCTTGACCAATGCAAATGGCGCAGCAGAGCACAGCACCGCACTACACCTTGGCGTCTTACCGTATCCGTCTGTGCCTATCTGAGGGTAGTCCACTGCATTACAGTGGGAGAGGAAGGGGCGCAGATGGGAGGGAGGGAAGGGGGAAAGATTGCAAAGGAGGCAACGGGGGAAGAAGGAGGAACAGAATGGGGAGAAAGTGCCTTAGCAGCACACGACTTTAGACTCAGAAGAAGAGAGGAAGCTTATACAGGAGCAAGGGGTGACACAGAAGGCTTTAGTTAAAAGAGGTGCTGGAAGGGAAAGTGACTCACTGAAAGTGACCAGACGTCTGGTTGGGAAGCTGAGAGGAGGGCGGAAATCAGCATTTGAATTCTTCCCATCGTTGCTGTGCCATACCATTCCATTCCATGCCATGCCATGCCATGCCATGCCATGCCATGCCATGCCGTGCCATGCCATGCCATGCCATGCCATGCCATGCCATGCCGTGCCATGCCATGCCATGCCATGCCATGCCATGCCATGCCGTGCCATGCCATGCCATGCCATGCCATACCATGCCATGCCACGCCGTGCCATGCCATGCCGTGCCATGCCGTGCCGCACATGGGATGCACGCAGGGATGGAGAAGAGGACTCGGATGTGGTGGCAGTAGCTAGCAACCAGCAGCAAGAAACCTCGTGTGCTGAAACTATATGCTGTTTTAACCCAACGTGCATGGCATGGTAACCCTATCATAATGTGCCAAAAGTGCACATGGTAACAAATCACAACAGGCTCTCACGATGCAGGGATGAAGAAGAGATTCCACGGTTTGGTGGGGTCGGGAGTGGTGGAGGCAGCAACCAGCAGTCCAGTCCCCACTGTTGTCCCGTCCGCTCGATACCTCGTCTGCCCAAACCTGTCGTACGCGTTTTTCTCCCCGCCCGACTGGAAGAGGGGGGTGAGGAGGAGTGAGGGAGGGAGGGGTGAGGGGGGGGGGGGTGGGGAGAGGGGGCGTCTCAAAGCTATATATCTTGTCTGCCCAAACCTGTCATACGCGTTCTTGTCGCCGCACGACTGGAGCGGGAGGGTGAGGAGGGAGGGAGGGAAGGAGGGAGGGAGGGGTGAGGGGGCATCTCAAAGCTCGATACCTCGTCTGCCCAAACCTGTCATACGCGTTCTTGCCGCCCCCCGAAAAGGGGAGACAAGGGGAGTGTTTTGAGAAGCAGCATCACCCAGCATCACCCAGCATCACCCAGCATCACCCAGCATCACCCAGCATCACCCAGCATCACCCAGCATCATCCAGACACTCTAGTGCACCCCCATCCACTCACAGTCCAGTAGGTAGCGAGGTAGAAGCGCCGGGAGCGGTGGTCATACGTGCACGTCATGTCGCCAATGGCGTCTCCCTTGGGCGCGCCCTCGTATGATCCCATGTTGCGCGGCAGGGCGTTGAAGAACTGGCACAGGGAGGGTGTGGGATGGCGCAGCAGGGGATGAGGGAGGGAGGGGGAGGGAAAGAAGACAGGCAGGCAGGGAGGGTGTGCAATGGCGTCTCCCTTGGGCGCGCCCTCGTATGATCCCATGTTGCGCGGCAGGGCGTTGAAGAACTGGCACAGGGAGGGTGTGGGATGGCGCAGCAGGGGATGAGGGAGGGAGGGAGGGAGGGAGGGAGGGAGGGGGAGGGAAAGACAGGCAGGCAGGGAGGGTGTGCAATGGCGTCTCCCTTGGGCGCGCCCTCGTATGACCCCATGTTGCGCGGCAGGGCGTTGAAGAACTGGCAGAGGGGGGGAGGGTAGGGGAGGGTGGAAAGTCTAAAAGAAACGTGGAGGGGTGCGGGGAGTGGCAAAGATGGGAGGGGGGAGCATTCCTAACGAGCCAGTCCGCCTGGTGGGCGGCAGTGTGTTGAAGACCTGTGAAGGGGGCGGGGAGTGGAAAAAAGGGGGAGGGGGTGCGGAGAGTGGAAAAATGGGGAGTGGAAGGGGGGGAGTGGGGAGCATCCCTAACGAGCCAGTCCGCCTGGTGGGCGGCAGTGTGTTGAAGACCTGTGAAGGGGGCGGGGAGTGGAAAAAAGGGGGAGGGGGTGCGGAGAGTGGAAAAATGGGGAGTGGAAGGGGGGGAGTGGGGAGCATCCCTAACGAGCCAGTCCGCCTGGTGGGCGGCAGTGTGCTGAAGACCTGCGGAGGGGGCGGGGAGTGGAAAAAGGGGGAGGGGATGCGGTGCGGGGAGTGGAAGGGGGGGAGTGGGGAGCATCCCTAACGAGCCAGTCCGCCTGGTGGGCGGCAGTGTGTTACAAGACAGGACAGCCTTTCATATTCCAGCCTTCAACTAATAACCCTCGGCCTAAAGAACGATTTAGATTCGTTCCCTGAAGCCCCTCCCCTTTTAGCTCTCCCACCCCTTCCTCCTCCTCCTCCTCTCCCTTCCCCCCGCCCCTTCTCTCCCCACCGCACCTCGTTGTGTGGCGTGATTGCTGTCAGTTGCTGCCCCTTACTGTTATACACCACCAAAGCTGTGTGGGTTCAGATCCTCCAGAACCTAAATGGCTAAAATTCGTTCCCAAAACCTCCTCCCCCTCAACTCTCCCACGCTCTCCCTCCTCTCGCCACCCACCGCACCTCGTTGTGTGGCGTGATGGCGGTCAGTTGCGGTCCCTTGGTGTTATACACCACCATAGCTGTGAGGGTTCAGATCCCTGATCTATACCCTCCTTGCTCTCCCACGCTCCCCCTCCTCCCCCCACCCACCGCACCTCGTTGTGTGGCGTGATTGCTGTCAGTTGCTGCCCCTTGGTGTTATACACCACCAAAGCTGCGTGGGTGGGTGAGAATAAACGCGTTTGTAGAAGAAAAGGGAAAGTAAATGACTTGTTTCAGAGAATATTATTTGTACAGGGAGTTTGCGTGTGTGTCAGGTGAGGAAGGTTGGGAGGGGAGAAGCATACAGTGAATCAAAATAGAATACAACTCCGTATGGCGGAACACGGTAGCCACGTACCGGAGTTGACTGTATGGAGGATAAACCCGTTCCCCACACACATGACAACATCCGGAGGTGTGACTTTGGTCTGAGACAGGGATGCGCGGAGAACCACGGGGTGTGGGGACGACGGGTGGGGGGATGATGGGGGAGGGAAAAAAGGGGGAGGAAGAGAAAGAGTGGGAAGGAAGGCCGGGAATTGGAATGGTGAAGGGTGGGGGAGATGCGAGAAAGGTGATGACGGTGATATGTCCAACGCGTTGACATCCAGTGATGGATTTCTGTTATATTTGGGCGGCAGCGCTCACCATGCTTCTCTTATATCTGGGCGGCAGCGCTCACCATGCTTCTCTTATATCTGGGCGGCAGCGCTCACCATGCTTCTCTTATATCTGGGCGGCAGCACTCACCATGCTTCTCTTATATCTGGGCGGCAGCACTCACCATGCTTCTCTTATATCTGGGCGGCAGCACTCACCATGCTTCTCTTATATCTGGGCGGCAGCACTCACCATGCTGCGGTTGTATCTGGGCGGCGTGCCACTGTTAATCAGCGTCTTCTGGTTGATCCCAGGGAAACCCACCACAGGCTTCCTCACCACCACTTTTTTTAACTCCACCGCCGCCGCCGCAGTCCCTGCCCCTGCCCCTGCCGCCCTGTCTTTCCCGCGTCCCCCATGCCTCCCGACCGCCCCTTGCTGCGATAACCTCTCCGCGGACTCCTTTTTCGCCCACAACCGCCGCAACTCGGGATTCCGCGGCATTCTGCGCCGCGCGCCAGGCGCTACCCCGCCGCCGCGGCGATTTGCGGACGCGCCGTGGCTTCGGCGCGGAGAGACCTTCCCGCTGGTGACCAGCGGAGCAGCGTCAGGCGGAAGCTCCGCCAATATCTCCGCGGAGTCCGCAGCGGCTGCGCTTTCAGCGGTAGTGTGGATATCGTCGGGGGAAACGGCGGAGAAATAAGTTTCCGCTGCGTGAGCGTCAGGCGCAGCGCGCCCTTTCCGCAATGGCGCAATCTTCCCCGTTCCCGCGTACAGCAGCCGTTCCGTCAGCTTGTGGATGGTTGCGGCTGCGCGGGGGGTTCCCGCCTGTCCGTTGGCGGAAGGCTTCCGCCAAGGCTGTGCGCTTGTTGTCAGCGCCGCGGGGAGCACTACAACTAGCACGAGCGCGAAATACGCGGTGAGAGGGACGTTGGATGGACGGAAAACAGAAAGCTTACGCCGCGCTGGCGGTGCGCGAAATCGCAGCGACGCCATTGCCGCGGTTGCGGAGGCAGTACTAATGACGTAAATTAAACGGTACAGATCGGTAGGTAACGTTCAGTCCAGCCAGACTCAAGTTGGCAAGTTCGGTCCAAAGTTAGAAGGTATGTCAGAACATGGGGTGATGAAGCCTGTTTCGAAAGAGCCTTCTGTCTGGTGTGGAGTGGTTGACACGGCTCTGTATGATTCAGTGAGATACGGTGTGTTTCAGTACGGTTAATGTGTGCAGATAATGACTGTGCGAATGCGGCCCAATATGGTGCCTCGAATCAGCTTGCTTGTTCAAAAACGCGGTCCCAGTCTTGCTGGTTTGTGCTTTTGTGCGCCCACGTTGGAGTTCAGCGCTCCGTTCCACAAGCGGTGTGCGGTGCACGCAATCGGGTGCAGAAATCCTTGATCGGACGATCGAGAAAGCTTTATGATTCTAACGATTCCGTTATCCTCAAGACGGTTGCCGAGTCATGCTGAGTCAACGCTCTCCATGCAAGGGCGCTTTATACTCATTATAATAAGCGCTCTTATACGCAAAACCTCATAGACATAAAAGTAGTAGAGCTTACGTCCACGCTGTTTCGACTGTTGCGCCTAGTATAGGCCCTTGCGTGGCAGAATCTAGGAAATCCGAACCGTCGAATAAGGCGCTGGTGCGTGGACTTGCCAGATCAGCTGACCCAGCTGGCAGCTAGGTGCGGAGAGGGGCTGTGTTCGATGATCTCAAGGGAAATTCCCCTTCCCTCATGTTTTCTGTTCACTCTCTGCAAATTGAGCTTCACCGCATTTCAGCATTTCATTTCATTCTCCGTCCATTCTCCCATTTCCTTTATTTCAGTTCTCCCTTACCTTCGACCAGCCATGGCCACCAGTTTTTCGCGTTAGCTCGAATCTCAAATACGTATCTAATTTGTTAAAGCCCTGTGTTTCTTCTGGAACGAGAGGAGTTGCGGTCAGATCTCAAACACCTAGAACGACTGCCTAGCACCAAATCCTTTCACTGTCTCGACCATGGCTTCGACGCTCCACTCTTCAGTTCCAACCTGCCTTCACGTCACGCGTCCAACCTGCAACCACACAGCTAGCCAGACCATCCCACAGTGCACAGCATCACCCATCCCACCCGTCATCCATAGACGCCGCGATCCGCCGCGTCTCACGAGCTCCTTTTGGACCAATCCCGCGAATGGATTCGCTCGAAGAGCAGGAGCTCTCAAGGGAGGGTGCGCGTCGGCAGGATCTAGGGTCGGCGCGGCGGGTTCAGGCAGGACGAGGCGGGTGGCGGGGGGAGCGAGAGCGGAGGCTGTAGACCCGGTGGTTCAATTCTCGCCGGACGACTTCTCGGTAGAGCGGCTGCTGGGTACCCTCGACTTCATGAACGTCTCTAGGTGTGCGACACGTGTCTCCACGTCACCATATCCTTTGAGCCACTCCTACAGGCACTTTCGTTGTCTCCGTATCTTATCAACACATCTCATTCACACTCCTTATCCACATGCTCCTTCTCATTTTCCCCACTCCGCTCTCTCCCGCGCAATGCTCGACCCCCATGCCCCTCCAGCTACTCCATGCCTCCCGGGTCATCCTCGTCCACGTCATCACTGTCGTCGCTGACGTGGCCGGGGTCCCGCGAGGACACGGCAGCAGGGCTGAGCGAGAGGGACATCAACCAGCTGGCGGGAGGCGGGCAGGAGGTCGGACGAGGAGGCGTGCAGATCAGGTAGACGCAAGAGAAATTATGTGTGTTGAGCGCAGTAGTGTGCAGTAATCTTAGTATAGCGTGTGTATCATGCGTAGAGGGATGAATGAACGAGCTGTGCTGAATGAGCGAGAGGGACATCAACCAACTGGCGGGCGGCGGACAGGAGGTCGGGCGAGGGAGCGTGCAGATTAGGTAGACAAGCAAGCATGTGTGTTACAACTTCACTTCACCACTTAAATCACGTGCCTAGGGCTTCCCTCACCCCTCCCATTCTTCCTTCCCCTTCCTTTTCCCCATCCCCCTCACCCTTTCCCCCCCCCCCTCCACATTCCCCGTTCTCTCCCCCCTCCTCCCCCTCCTTCTCCCCATCCCCCTCACCCTTTCCCTCTCGCTCCCCCTTCCCCGTTCTTTCCCCCCCTCCTCCTTCTCCCCATCCCCCGCCCCCTTCCGCGTTCTCTCCCCCCTTCCTACCCCTGTGCCCTCGGAATGGTAACCTTGGGGGAGCGGCTGGGCACGCGAGTGCTGCTGAAGGCATACCCGGGCAGAGAGGCCCAAGGCTGACACTTACCCTAGAACTCCCCTTACCCCCCCCCCCCTTCTCCCCACACTTTCCTTCATCTTCCCACCCCCTTTGCCTTCTTCTCACCCTCCTCCTCCCCTTTCTTCCCGCCATCAGAATGTACCGAGGGCGGATGGTGACACCAGGGGAGCGGCTGGGCACGCGGGTGCTGCTCAAGGCGTACCCGGGCAGAGAGGCTGCCGCCAAGCCTAGTGACTTTCCTCAACCCTCACCCTCTCCGCCCCCCTCCTCCTCCCCCGCCCCCCTGTTTTCCCCCTCCACATTCGCCCTCAGAATGTACCGTGGGCGCATGGTGACACCGGGGGAGCGCCTGGGCACGCGAGTGCTGCTCAAGGCGTATCCGGGCAGAGAGGCCGCCGCCAAGGCTGTTGACGTGGATGCCATGGCGGCCAATGAGCTCGTGACACATGTCGCACTGCAGGAGGCCCAGGTGGGTTCGTGTGGTGGCAGGTGTGGGGGTGGGGGGACTGGGTGGTGGAAGGAAGGGGAGGAGGGGAGATTGTGTGTGTGAATGGTTGATATGTGTACATCACACATATCATGTACATGCGTCCGTGGTGCTCTTGCGTATCTTCTTTTTATTCAATATATATACGTTGTAAGTTTACATTGTAAGTTTGCATTTTAACTTTCTTTGTAACTTGCTTGCTGTCCCGTGCAGGATGCGACACAGGACGACGAGGTGGACGTGTCAAGCAACGTGCTGGTAGTGTCTCAAATCCCTGTGAATTCCATGCTTGCTTTTGGCATATTCCTCTTGGCGTTCTCCTTGTTCCTGCACAGGATGCGACACAGGACGACGAGGTGGACGTGTCTAGCAACGTGCTGGTGCTGCTGGGGGGCTTTGAGACGAGCTCAGGCGAGAAGGTGCGTGAGTGTGTGCTGCTTGCTGCTGCTTGTTTCTCAGCTCAGAGCATGCTTACAGCAGGAAGATTCTTGTGCTGCTTGCTGCTGCTTGTTGCATGCCCCCTTGCCGTAGCCCCCCCACTGCTTCGTCCCATTATCATGCTTTGCATGGTGCACAGCAATGGATGCATCTCCACTGTATGAAGAAGTGTTTTGAGACGTCTCAAAACACTTCTTCATACACGTGGCCATTATCATGCTTTTGCATGGCGCACAGCAATGGATGCATCTCCACTGTATGGCGCACAGCAATGGATGGATGCATCTCCACTGTAAGGTAGAGCTTGCGAGAACTCCCATCCTCCCCTCCCACAACCGCATCAGGGTAGAGCGGTTGTGATGCGAGGCCCTCCCCCTCAATGGCTCTAACAACTCACCACCCAACCCCACCACCCAACCCCACCACCCATCCCCAGCACCCACCGCCACTATCCGTCCCCACCTTGCCCCCTTCCCTTCTCCACCACCCACCGCCCACCAGAGCAGTGGTTAGTGATGCGAGACAATGGCTACACTACCGCAGCCACCATCCCCACCATCCATCCCCCAACCCGTCCCCTTCCCCCCCCACCCCACCAGAGCAGTGGTTAGTGATGCGAGACAATGGCTACATCACTGCAGCAGGGTAGAGCTCGTGGGAGCTCGTGGGAGCTCGTGGGAGCTCGTGGGAGCTCGTGGGAGCTCGTGGGAGCTCGTGGCAGCTCGTGGCAGCTCGTGGGAGCTCGTGGCAGCTCGTGGCAGCTCGTGGGAGCTCGTGGCAGCTCGTGGGAGCTCCCAACAACAACACCACCCATCCCCCCAACCAACCCCCCCGCCCCGGCCTCCCCTCTCCGTCCACCGCCCACCAGAGCAGTGGTTAGTGATGCGAGACAATGGCTACATCACCGCAGCAGACTATGCCAAGGCTGCCTCCGAAGCTACCGCCGAGGCTCGGGCCGTGGGGGACTTCGAGGTCTGGGACCGGTTCGACCCTGCCAAGCCTCTCTTTCGGCGGGAGGTCTTCATCCGGAAGCTTCTGAGAGGGTTCCTGCAGGGCCTGTCGTTTATGCACTCCAAGGGGCGGCTGCACCAGTCCATTGGGCCGGCATCCGTTGTCCTTAAGTGAGATGACAACCTTCTCTCTACCACCTCCTTTCCGTGGCCCATTAATCTCCAATAGTCAATTTCCTGTTATTAACTGAAATTCCTGCTATTATCCTGCTGCCTTCGTGCCCAAACTATTCTTCCCTCTCTTCCCTGGTTCTCTCTCTCCCTCCTGCTCCGCCCCACCTCCCAGCTCAATGAACGAGATGGATGTGCGCTACCTTGTGCCGCGCCTCCGCGACTTTGCCTTTGCCATTGACATCAGGTGCGTTGAGCTGCAGTGTGTCTGTGAGAGCTTTGAAGAGCACCCAATGTGCTGAATGCATCTTGCTTTGAAGAGCACCCAATGTGCTGAATGCATCTTGCTTTGAAGAGCACCCAATGTGCTGAATGCATCTTGCTTTGAAGAGCACCCAATGTGCTGAATGCATCTTGCTTTGAAGAGCACCCAATGTGCTGAATGCATCTTGCTTTGAAGAGCACCCAATGTGCTGAATGCATCTTGCTTTGAAGAGCACCCAATGTGCTGAATGCATCTTGCTTTGAAGAGCACCCAATGTGCTGAATGCATCTTGCTTTGAAGAGCACCCAATGTGCTGAATGCATCTTGCTTTGAAGAGCACCCAATGTGCTGAATGCATCTTGCTTTGAAGAGCACCCAATGTGCTGAATGCATCTTGCTTTGAAGAGCACCCAATGTGCTGAATGCATCTTGCTTTGAAGAGCACCCAATGTGCTGAATGCATCTTGCTTTGAAGAGCACCCAATGTGCTGAATGCATCTTGCTTTGAAGAGCACCCAATGTGCTGAATGCATCTTGCTTTGAAGAGCACCCAATGTGCTGAATGCATCTTGCTTTGAAGAGCACCCAATGTGCTGAATGCATCTTGCTTTGAAGAGCACCCAATGTGCTGAATGCATCTTGCTTTGAAGAGCACCCAATGTGCTGAATGCATCTTGCTTTGAAGAGCACCCAATGTGCTGAATGCATCTTGCTTTGAAGAGCACCCAATGTGCTGAATGCATCTTGCTTTGAAGAGCACCCAATGTGCTGAATGCATCTTGCTTTGAAGAGCACCCAATGTGCTGAATGCATCTTGCTTTGAAGAGCACCCAATGTGCTGAATGCATCTTGCTTTGAAGAGCACCCAATGTGCTGAATGCATCTTGCTTTGAAGAGCACCCAATGTGCTGAATGCATCTTGCTTTGAAGAGCACCCAATGTGCTGAATGCATCTTGCTTTGAAGAGCACCCAATGTGCTGAATGCATCTTGCTTTGAAGAGCACCCAATTTGCTGAATGCATCTTGCTTGACCGTTCCACGCCTGCGAGACTTTGCCTTAGCCATTGACATCGGGTGCGTTGACTTGAATCCGGTGTTCATCGAAGCATCATGTGCTCTGAATTCTGAGAGGGTTCAGCGTCAAGCTCAGTACATGCGCCTTTGATGCCGTGGACCAGGTCAAGGACAGCCTCTGGCGCCCCTTCATGTCCCACTCTATCCCCCTACCCCCTTTCCCCTCTCCCAGTAACCCAGCAGTCCTCTCCTCCGGGGTGGGCAGTGCCTTTGATGCCGTGGACCAGGTCAAGGACAGCCTCTGGCGCCCCTTGACTTCCAACCCTATCCCCGTACCCCCTTTCCCCTCTCCCAGCAACCCAGCAGTACTCTCATCAGGCGTGGGCAGCGCCTTTGATGCCGTGGATGAGGTCAAGGACAGCCTCTGGCGCCGCGCTGCCTCTGCCGGCGCCAAGTCCTTTTTGGAGCGCCGCTCCTTTGGCCTCGCAGACGACATGTGAGTGAGTGAGGGTTGTGAGTGAGTGAGGGTTGTGAGGAGTGAGGGTTGTGAGGAGTGAGGGTTGTGAGGAGTGGGGGTTGTGAGGAGTGAGGGTTGTGAGAGTGAGGGTTGTGGGTTGCGGTGTTGGGTGCTGGTCCGCTCATTCCCTTCCGCGCTGCCTCTGCCGGCGCCAAGTCCTTTCTCGAGAGCCGCTCCTTCGGCCTTGCAGACGACATGTGAGTGCGATGAAGGGGGTTGGGAGGGTTGTGACGGTGTGGATTGGGGTGTATAGCGGTTGCCAGGGTTGCTGGCCCGCTGGTGCCCTTCTGCTGCCTCTGCTGGTGCCAAGTCCTTCCTGGAGCGCCGCTCCTTCGGCCTTGCAGATGACATGTGAGAGCGGTGAAGGGGGGTGAGTGGGAGTTTGCGAGGGATGTGAGGTGGTGTGTGGGGTTGCTCGCCCGGCACCCCCTTGCTGCTTCTCTGCCGGCGCCAACTCCTTTCTCGAGCGCCGCTCCTCTGGCCTTGCTGATGACATGTGAGTGGGGTGCAGAGGGGTTAAGAGGGGCGTACAGGGTTGTAGCGGGGTGTGGGGTGTTGTGGGGTGCTGGCTCGCTCGCTCATGCCCTTCTGCTGCCTCTGCCGGCGCGCCAAGTCCTTCTTGGAGCGCCGCTCCTTTGGCCCTGCAGACGACACGTGAGTGGGAGGAGAGGGGCGAGGGGGGGGGGGAGCAAGAGCGGTGTGGGGTGTTGTGGGGGTGTATGGAGCGGTTGTAGGGGGTTGTGGAGGATGTGAGGGTTGCTGGCCCGCTGATGCGCTATTTCTGCTTCAGCCAATCCTAGTCCTTCATGGAGTGCCGCTCCTTTGGCCTTGCGGATGGCATGTGAGTGTGGTGCAGCCGGGATGAGGGGAAGTGAGAGGGTTTGTGGGTGTGGTGCAGCCGGGATGAGGGGAAGTGAGAGGGTTTGTGGGTGTGGTGCAGCCGGGATGAGGGGAAGTGAGAGGGTTTGTGGGGTGATTTGGGGTGGTTAGGGGGGCTGTGGGGGGGTGTGCCTCAAACTGACCATGTATCACCCCTTGCTCCCTTCCTCCCTAATCCCCCACCCCTGCACCCCTCCCTCCCCAGCTATGCAGCAGGGCTGCTAGTGGCGTACATGGCATTCGTGCCTCTCTGTGCTCCGGGGGCCATCGACGGGCCGTCACTGCAGGTGAGAGAGAGCATTGGGCATCTGATTCCTTGAGATTCGATTTACCAGTCGGGTGCAAGGCTGCGCTGGTAAACCCTTGCCTTTAAGGCCTACATGGCCCCAAAACAAAGACATGACATCTGTCGGTGCGATCATTGCCAAACATGCCGTACTTGCATACAATGCATGCATGCCAGACATTCCATACAATCCATACATGCCTCGTGTACCACATGACATTCGAGTCGCCCCACACACACTTTGCTTCCCCCTGTTCTTCGTTCCTGCTGGCTCCAACTCCCTTCTCCTGACCTCCTTTCCCCCGTCCCCATTCCCCCACCTTCCCCTCTGCCAGAGACTGCTCGAGACCACCTTCTCTCTCTACATTTGAGACGTCTCAAAAGTCTTTCCCCTCACCCCACTCCCTTTCCCTCCCGACCCGTTTCTTCCGGCCCCATTCCCCCACCTTCCCCTCTGCCAGAGACTGCTAGAAACCACCTTCTCTCTAATTGCCGAGTCGACTCAAAGTCACCCCTTTCCCCCTTCCCCGATCCCCCTCTGCCAGAGACTGCTAGAGACCACCTTCTCTCTCAACATCCCAGCAGCACGAGAGTAAGCACTCTTCAGAAACTCTCCCTTAGGAGCACTCTTTGCAAACCTTTCCCGAAACGCACTCTTTTAAATCTTCTCTTTGAAGCACTCCCGCTGTCGTGAGTTGTGAGCCGCCCCTGTGCTCGCTCCTAATGGCTTGCCTCCCTGCTTACTGCACAGGGGCTCCAGTGCTCGCCCCTGCTTGCCTCGATGCTCGCCCCTGCCTTGCCTCCCGCTGCTCCCTGCAGGTACTGTTCTGCTGACGACCGGTGGACCAATGCAGTGGCATTTCTGGATCGGAGAGACGGTGCGGGATGGGAGCTGCTGCAGGTGAGGGTATGGGGGGCATGGGGTGTTGGGGGCAAGGAGTGTCTCACCTCTGATCTCCCTGTGACTCACAGCGTCTCACCCACTGCTTTCTCATGCAGGCCATGCTGAGCCCAGACTAGCCAGTGGCCTTCCACGGACTCTGCTCTGCCACTGCTTCTTGATCTCCCTGCATCTCCCTGCCCCTGTGCCTTGCTCCGTGCACCCCCCTGCAGGCCATGCTGAGCCCAGACTATCGCCAGCGGCCCTCAGCAGACTCTGCTCTGCCACTGCTTCTTGATCTCCCTGCTTGCATCGCCCTGCCCCTGTGCCTCACTCTCTGCTCTCCCATGCAGGCCATGCTGAACCCAGACTATCGCCAGCGGCCCTCAGCAGACTCTGCTCTTCAGCACCGCTTCTTTGATCTTCCGTAACGCCAGAGGATTGGAGAATTTTGAGCCTAGATACACTTCAGAATAAAATTGTACAGTCCAAGCAATGCACTTGTTGTAGGCGAGTCGTGTGACCCGGAAATCCATCAAACGATTCCAGAGAAACGCTCTTGTAGGAATCTCGTATGAGAGCTCCCCCACATGCAACCATTTAAGTTTGGTGTAGAGTAGAACCACATTAAAGTTCCTAGAGTTTATTGCCTTAAGTCTCTTGTCAATTCAAATGCAATCCAGCAGGTTTCCAGTCTGCTTATGTAGGGAATTGCATACAAATTTCATATCTTAAGGAGTTGGTAGCAGCAGCACTAGGATGCAAGCCCATCATTGTCAGACAGCAGTGTACGTATACCATTTATCCGGACGTTATACACCTATAATTCTTACCTTTGTTGGGTGTAGAGAGTCGGAGATTGTGCTTACACGAAGCGAGCGAGTCGCTTGTTATGGGCATCTAATCACGGATCTGACAATTTCCACCAATCAGGCATGTGTGGCTGGGAGTCATTTACAGTCTCGTTCCGAATCATGCACCTCATACAGTTTGGGTTTGACCTCATTGCGTAGGGCTAATTTGAACATTTATCGAAATCGAAGTCCCCACCTTTATGCTAGGGTTTCGTAACCCTCATCGGGTCAAGGTGAGACTCCTCGAATGGTGTGTCGCATTCTTCAGCAGCCCCAGAAGGGTTTCCTAAGGGCGCGCTGCAGTTGGGAATTTTAATTCGAAAATTCTTTGGAGCGGGTTTCGGGCGAACTTGCACGCGTTTGGGTGTTGTCGCAAGTAATTCGTTAATTTCGCAACTGGAGTTCACCTTTTGGGGTGGTGCAGTTCCCTGTCAAGTTCGAGCATTTTAGGTGGATTTCCGTAGTATCGTTTGCCCGTGTTTGGGGACGATATGGCATTCAAGTTTGCATGTCAAAACACAAGCGTGGTGCACTACCAGAACAGTAACACTGTTCAGTCAAGACAAAATACTGTTTACCAAACGCCAAACGCATAGTAACCCGAACTACACCAAAATTTCGGATCTGGATCGATCTTCTTCAGCATTTTCGAATTAAAATTTACAACTGCAATGCGCCCTAAAAATGGCTGGGACATTCAGTGGTACCTCGAATAGTGTGACTGAGACGTGACGTGTTTTCTGAAATAGTTTGAAAGGGTACGTATAAGCAAGAATCAGCTCCACCAGGCATCGCAACCGAGCTCAACGACAACATAGTTGTGACGTCACTTAAATTGTCCATAAATAACCGGCTTTGTAGATTTTTGTCCACTTACAAAGCAGGATAGGATTCTTCCTCGACCTTCTCGTCCTGCATGTACAGTTCATATTTTGGATTGGGGTGTTGCTGGAGTGTACGAATTGGCGATTGGGCAGCGGCGCAACACCGACGCTGGAGCCTTCGACAATTTTGTTCAGACTCCGCCCATTCAAGGCATGATTTTGGTAAAGTCCAGCTTGTTGGAATTTCTCTGTGATCGTGAAAATGGGGAAATGTTTTGCTCTGTACAGTTCCTGGGACCGTCGGTTGGTTCGCGACGCGAAAAATCGCCGATCGCAAACACGTCCCTTGATTTGCTGCACCAGCGATACGGATTGCGTTTGACAATCGTCTTGACAGTTGTACACTGCTGGCTGTTTCTTGAGCGAGTCTGGCTAAGTGCTGTCAGGGGTTGTTTGTTTCTCTCCTGCTGATCACGTGACGAGGAAGGAAGTCGCAGGCTCAAGGCTTCTTGGTTGGCATGGTTTTGATCGAATCGGATGCTGTTTGCCTAACAAGCGACGCCGAATGCCAGGCTGTATGCTGTTGCTTTGCTGACGGGCATCGTAAATTCCATACATTTGCCAGTTTGTGGAAGCCTGTCATCCCTTTTGCCAGAAGGTCCGACGCTGGGAAAACGACTGTCAGAGTCTGATTTAGCCACATAAAACAGCTTCCATTGCGCCATCTAGCCTTGGACCCTCACTGCTTCATAGTTCCCGTCTAAATTCCATCTAAAAATACATTTGTAAAATTTACTAAATAAGGACCCTTTATTTTCGCGATTTAATGAACGAAAAAGGCGCTCTTCAACCAGCATGTTGTCGAACACACGTGTCTGAGGATCGTTCGTTACATAATTTCGCGAACTAGAATCTGGATGGGTGTTGAAATTGGGTTTGCGGGGAAGTGGAGGAGGGATGGGGCGGTGGAGAGAACACATGACACACCACCAGCGGCTCGGAGGTTCGGAGCACATGGGGGAGGCATTGGCAGGAGAATGGGGAGGATGGGAGGGGAGAAGGGCAAAACGGTACTGAGAGTTCCGGAGATGGTTCCGCCAGAGTGTGAAATGTGTTCAACAACACCTCCTCCCCCTGTGTGGCCCGGAGCGGGAAGCTTGTAAATAGCGCTGCAGTGCTTGATTTGGTACGAAGGCATTTCGCAATTTGGAAGTTCAGTTCCGATTTCAACCCCCTCCAGCCAGACCCGCCTTCTCCTGCTCCTTCCTTCCGTAAACCACAGGCACGCCGCAGCAACACTCCGCATCTCAACTCAATCACAGTGATTGCTTTCTGATTCGCCCGACTGAGGACATCGTCTGCTTCTAAAAGTACAAACTTTCCTTTTCTCGGTCGCGGTTCCAGTCAGTTCCGACCGAAACCATCCGTGCAATAGTTTTCAAGTCTTCGCAGTTGCGGATGACGAAACATCATTTGCAATTCACAAGCTAGAGCTATTTGTTTTACGGAACAACCGATGGCAGGCGTCGACTCCTGGAAATCACGCTCGACTATCCCGACGCCGAAATTCCCGGCGCTAAACACGGAGATTGAGTCTCCCGGCCTACTCGGTGGCTACCTTTCAAGCTTGGACTCTCCAGGCGATAGTAGCATCCCGGGACTTGACGTAGCGCCCCTTTTGGAAGAACAGCCTAAGCTAATCAAATCAGGGAGCTCTCACTTCGCCTGCGATTCGACGTTCTTCGGTTCCTCCGCGATTCATCCCGACGTGACGGCATTCATGGCCGGCGCAGGGAACGAAATATCGCAAACGGACCTTGACAACCTGGCTGAATGGATCCCACGACTCGCCGGCGGTGCCGCCGCCGCCGCTGCCGGACAGCCATCATCAATTGACGAGATTGCGGCGGAGCTTCAGTCGCTCGACGCCAAGCAGTTTCTGCTGCAGCAGCAGATGACGGCGCACGCCGCCACCGCCGGCGGCGGTTCCGCTAGTGGTGAAGAGGCGGACCTATACGCGGCGCTAGTGCAACAGCAGCTTGCTTCTGAAATGCCGCACGACGCGACCAACGCCGCATCATCCGCGGCCGCTTTTCCCGGTCGAGACCTGGAGGAGTTCAGCGCGCTATCGCGGATGGCGGGATTGCCAAACAGCACGTTGGGAGGGGGTCTGGATGGAGCCAACTTGATTGATACGAACGCTGCGCGTTCCGCGGCGACAGAACCGGCGGCGCTCTCTGCGGCATTAGGAATAATCGCGAACGACCCGGCTGCTGGGCGCAGCGACGCGCTGACCATCCGTCCTTCGGTTCCACCGCAATTCACGGCGCAATTCTCGCGCGCAGCAAGCCAACTCGCAGCTGGGAACGTCTGCGGAGCGCCGCCGCAGTGGCCTTCCGCCGCGACCCCTCAGGCTTCCGCCGGAGTTCAAATCGGCGCGAATTGGCTTCAGAACCAGCCGCAGCAGCAGCCACCCCGTTCAAGCATCATGGAGCCTGCTACACCGGGGCCAGCGGCTGCGCTGCCTCTTACTCCAGCGGACGAGCTCGAAGCGCTGTTTCAGCAGATTCCGCCGGAGCTTGCGCCCGAGGAGCGCATTGTGCTGGCGGCGGCGCTCATGGCTGAGATGCAGCAGCAGCGGAGCAACGCGGTGGCTGCAGGCAGTATGATTGGCCATTCGCAGCAGCAGCTGCAGCACATGCAGCAATCGCAGCCTTCTCAGCAACCACAGCACTCTCAGCATTCGCATCACTCTCAGATATTCGCTTCTGGAGGAGCCATTGGTTCCACTCGGGGCATCACCTTTCCCCTGGCGCCCGTCTTTGGAAATACTTCGGCTGCACTTGGGGATAAGCCCTCTGCCTTCAGAGCTGAGCCCAATCAGAGGCTCTCTGGCTCAAGACAGCAGCTCGCCAGTGGAGCTGGTAACAATGCCCTGACTGCACACAGCGGACCTGCCGCTTCGTTACAGAGGTTCTCGGAATTTCCGTCTGATTTCCAGGATGTCGCGCAATGCATGAGCGGACCTGTTAGCTCGGACGCTCTTGGCGTCTCAGAGTCTAGTGCAGAGAGGGCGGCCTCAGCCCGTGCGGGCGGCGGTGGAGGGGCTGGTGGGAGCAGGAGAGGAGGCGGGGGAGCTGGAAGTGGTGGAGGGGTTGGTGGCGCGAGCGGTGGGAACCCAGCGTTGAAGGCCATTAGGCCGCGCTCGGTGAAAGAGAGGAGGCGGAGAGAGAAGATAAGTGATTGTTTGAGGAGGCTGAAGACAGCCATTCCCCAAGAGATTCTGGGGGATAGGCAGGACCTTGGGTCCATGATTGAAAAATCTGTTAGTTATATACATAGCTTACAGGCACGGCTCGATAGGCTTCAATCTAGCAGTACAGAGAAGGATTGCAAGGATAAGGGTCAGTAATATATATAAGTACCCTTTTTCTTCGCTTTGGGTTGATAAAGTCGAGTGCAGCAGTTGTGCAGAATGGCTGACTGTTATACGTTGCAACACTTTCCTCCAAAACATTGTATAACGAGGATGCACACTCAAGCGGCCAGCTGGGGCATCAGATTCAAAGGCCCCTTGCCTCCCCCCTCCCCTCCCCGCCCGTCCATCAAATCTCCCCCCCTTCCCCTCCCCCCCCCCCCCACACCCATCATCGTCCAGTACGAGCCGTGATTCCGTGGATCGCGATTCTCAAGTCCGTGAACTGTTCGAACTTCGAAGGCGGCAGGGAGGAGAGGAGAAGCTTCTCACAAATCCTGGATGAACAAAGCGAGATCGAATAAAGACAGATTGGAAATGATTCGAAAGTCGATTTTCAATGGAATCGCACGGCTGTTCGAAACGCCAAGCAAGCAACTGCGGTCGCATTGTCGTTTTCTGCAGTTAATGCAAGTGCACCCCTCATTTCGTGGAATTCAAGTGCCCCACATTCATTTCGCAGAAACGGTCGACTCTCATGCGTTGACGTCAGCGGACGCTTTGATCGTCCAACTTTGACCGAAAACACTGGAAACATTGTTCATACTTCAAGGTTAAACAAATAGTGCTACCTTTCATTTAATACCGGTACTACCCTTCCGACAATTAATTGAATGGATCCATATGTCCAGAAGCCATAGTTTTAAGAGCATCCGCAAAGGATGAGAACTGCAGGACACCTGACAGTTCGCTCTTCATTCGATGATTTCTCACCCTTTTCTCCCCATCCGGTAGGCTTGCGCTGCCGTCCTGAGTGCGCGGTTCAGGTTCAGTAACCGTTTCGCGATCATCATCAAGTTTATGCTTAAGAACGTTTTTGGAGACTCCACAACGAACCTCACCACCATCAATCATACCACCTGATATGTTAGCATGCTCATGCATGGCATTCACCACCAACCCTGAACTTTCCACACCAGTACTCGGGTCGAATTCTTCTCTCCCTGTCTCACCGGTAACCATTAGGTCTGTACCAGTGGCAACAGTGGGATGCGTCGTTCTTTTCTTCTCCTGCTCAGCGCCTCTCACCCGCCCGCTGCTCCCCCGCCGGATGATTCCGGGCGGCAGAGTAACCCGCAGAGCCTCCAGCTTCTGCCAGTACAGATCTGATTCTCCCGAGGCAATGAGCTGGCGAGCGAACTGCATGACGTGGCGGCGAGGGGACGGGTCGTCATCTACAACGTTGATTATTGGACTGCAGAAACGGGTGTGGGGAGGGGAGGGGAGAGGGGGTTAAGGTTACTGGGGAAGGAGTGGGGGGTAGGCGGGTGGGGAAGGGGCAGTGGATGGGGGATCAGAGGGGAAGGAAACGGCAGTGTGGGGAGGGGTCGAGGGGGTAAAAAGGAAGATGCTTGAACGATGTTATTGAACTTGCTTGAGAGAGGAGCGGGGAGAGTTCTGGGCGCAGAATAGGGGAAGGGAGAGGGTGGGCGGGTGGGGGAAGAGTGATCACCCAGCCTCTACTATTGCCCGCCCGCCCGCCCACCCTCTCATGGCCGCTCAGCCCACATGGCATCCCAGCCTACACAGCCCCCTGCCTTGCATGGCTGCCAGCCTAATCGGCCACCCAGCTCAGCCAACACGTCCTTTCAGCCGACACACCCGTGGCCAGAACGACTGTCAGCCTACACGGCTGCGCGGGGAGAGGTCATTTCCACCAGTTATTCTTCCTCATCTGCTGCCATGACTTATCTTTCATAGAAGGCCCACAAAGGGACAAAGGACAGAGGAGTGCAGAAGATGTGAGCAGAGGGAAGTTGGGAGTTCTCCCCCCCCCCCCCTCACACTTCCCCCCCCCAACCCCCATTCCCCTCCCTCACCTGCTGCCACGGCCGTCCATGCTGGCACCAATCGCAGCGCAGATGTCTGCCACGTGGCACCGCGACGTGAACCGCTTTCTCTGCCTGCGATCGCGGTTGCTGCTGCTCTTAAGCCCATTGCTGCTGCTGTCCGGATTGCTGCTGCTGCTCCCACTTGAGTCGCTATCCCCATCGGAAGTTAGCTTGAGGGCACTGACGCTGCTCCCTTCATAAATGCTCTCCGCTCGCCCATTTCTTGGGGGATTGAGGGCTGGTGCCGATTTGAGTGATGGCCCCTCCCCTGCTTGCATCTCTGCTGCTGCTGTGTCCAAAGCACTGTCAGTCAGGAGGGGAGCAGCAAGGGGGAAAGGGAAAGGAATCAGGAGAAGAGGAACGGGTGTGAAGAAGCGTTGTGCAAGAAGTGAGGATAGGTGAAGTGAAACATGAGGATGAAAGATAACGCAAGGATAGGAGAGAAAAACGAATAGGTGAGAGAGGGGAGATTTTGCAAAAGCCCAGACGAAAAGTGAACGACCAGGCAACCATTATTAACTGGAAGTACCTGCCTGCAGCCCCCCATTAGTACCTGCCAGCAGCCCCCCATTAGTACCTGCCTGCAGCCCCCCATTAGTACCTGCCAGCAGCCCCCCATTAGTACCTGCCTGCAGCCCCCCATTAGTACCTGCCAGCAGCCCCCCATTAGTACCTGCCAGCAGCCCCCCATTAGTACCTGCCAGCAGCCCCCCATTAGTACCTGCCAGCAGCCCCCCATTAGTACCTGCCAGCAGCCCCCCATTAGTACCTGCCAGCAGCCCCCCATTAGTACCTGCCAGCAGCCCCCCATTAGTACCTGCCAGCAGCCCCCCATTAGTACCTGCCAGCAGCCCCCCATTAGTACCTGCCTGCAGCCCCCCATTAGTACCTGCCAGCAGCCCCCCATTAGTACCTGCCAGCAGCCCCCCATTAGTACCTGCCAGCAGCGCCCCATTAGTACCTGCCAGCAGCCCCCCATTAGTACCTGCCTGCAGCCCCCCATTAGTACCTGCCAGCAGCCCCCCATTAGTACCTGCCAGCAGCCCCCCATTAGTACCTGCCAGCAGCCCCCCATTAGTACCTGCCAGCAGCCCCCCATTAGTACCTGCCAGCAGCCCCCCATTAGTACCTGCCAGCAGCCCCCCATTAGTACCTGCCAGCAGCCCCCCATTAGTACCTGCCAGCAGCCCCCTATTAGTACCTGCCAGCAGCCCCCCATTAGTACCTGCCAGCAGCCCCCCATTAGTACCTGCCAGCAGCCCCCCATTAGTACCTGCCAGCAGCCCCCCATTAGTACCTGCCAGCAGCCCCCCATTAGTACCTGCGAAAAGGGCCGTAGATCCCCCCGAGCCGGAATACACGAACAGCGAGAGCAGAGCCCTCTCCCTGGCTCCGTTCCAAATGAGACCTGCCCTCCTCGCTCCGCTGGATTCCATCAGATAACGCTTCGGTCTGCACGAGTGCATCAGATAACGCCTCCCCCAGTTGTGCCTGAAAGGCCAGCCACTCCCTCTCCGCGGCGTAGCGAGCAATGGCCTTCGGGGTGAGTGGGCGCGGGGGGGAGCTGATGTGTGCGTACGGGGAGAATGGATTGTGATGGGGGGAATGGATGGATAAAGCAAGAAAATAACACCACCCTGTGTGCATGGTTGATGTTACCACAAAGAAACACATGAGCGAGAGAGACGATTTGTCAAAGTGAGGCACGAGAAAAGGTCCTTGTTTTTCTCACTCACTCACTCACTCGCTCACTCACTCACTCACTCACTCACTCACTCACTCCTCATCCACCCATTGGCCGTCCCAGTCGCCATAGACGCCAGTGGAGGACAGGTATCCAATCCACCTGAGCCGATGCCTGGCAGATTGCATCAGGTGCTGGCAACAGGAGGAAAGCACCTGAAGAAACATATGATGGAAAATGGACAAGACAAAATGACTGAGAAGGAGAAAAGTGTGGCAGCAGGTGGAAGAGTGAAGCAGAACAGAAAGCGCGAAAGAGCACAGAAGGAGCGAAAGAGCACATAAACCAAGCAACTCCAAGCATGTCTACAAGACTCGAGCCAAGACTTACCACGTCAACGTGTTGTGGGGATGAGGGGCGAGGAGACAGGAGAGGGGGGATGGAGACGAGTACGTGTGTGGCAGAGTGGAGGGCGGAGAGCGAGGCCTGGGAAAGACACAAGGTGCTGGTTGGGATTGGGAGGGGTGCAGAGAGGAAGGGAGGGTACAAGTGGGGAAAAAGGGAGTGACGAAGGGAGGGGAAGGGAAGGAGAAGGGGAGCGAGGGAGAGAGGGGTTGGGGGAAGAAGGGGAGAGAAGAGCGTGGTAAGTTGACATGAATGAGAGGATGAAAATGAGATGAGTGCATGAGTGGCAGAGTGAAGGGCGGAGGGGGGGGCCCTGGGGGAGACACAAGGGGCTGAATGGGAGGGGTGCAGAGAGCAGAAGAGAGTAGAAATTGCAGGTGGGGGGAGGGGGGGATGGGAAGGAGGGGACGGGAGGGGGTCGGGTCTGGAGGAGAGACACGAGCAGGCGGAGTGGCAAGGAGAGCAGAGGAGTGCCAAAGCGGGAAGAGGGGTGGCAAGGAGGGCAGAGGGGTTCCAAGGAGGGCAGAGGGGTTCCAAGGAGGGCAGAGGGGTTCCGAGGAGGTCTAAAGAAGGGAAAGACAGGGTGCTGACCTTTCAGCGCCCTGGTCCTCGAGCAGGTGTGCTTGTACGCCCATGTGACACAATCGGTGCCAATCCTCCTGGCTCCTGCACGTGCCTGACACACGCCTGCCATGGGTTGCGCTCGCGCAGGCCACACAAAGAAGAGAGGTATGGAAAAAACCATTAGCTTCGTGGACAGACAGGCATGCCGGTACGTGGTGGTTGTATTGACACGCCTCAGGCCCTACCAGCCTTTCGTTAGAAGCACATTCGCCAGCGCCACTGCCACGTATCCCAGCCCGAAGCAGAAGAGATGCGGCTCGCCCCCGCCCGACGCGTCGCCGCCAGGAGAGGCGGCGCAGTCTGCTGAGGTTGCGCCGCCAGCTGACGCGCGCTGCAGCTCGACCGATGCCGCGTCACCGCCGGGCGACGCGCTGCTGCCGGGTGAGGCGCGCTCCCGCGGCAATCCCGAGGCAGCGGGGGAAGAGGAAGCGGAAGCGGAAGCGGCGGCGGACGGGAATGGGGCGAATTCCGACACTCTCGAGGTGGACGGCGACGACGAGGAAAAGGAGCGCGGAGATCCCGAGGTAGAGGGGGAAGCGGACGGGAAACCGGCGGAAGACGGCAATCCCGGGGCTCCGGCGGAAAAAGAAGCGGTTGAATAGCCGGGATAAGCGCGATAAGCGGGATAAGCGGGGGAGCGACGGGACGAGGCAGCAAAGCTTCTCTTAATCGACGTGAAAGGATGGCGGCGGAGGTTCGCGCTTATCCCGATCAAGTGGGTGAAGCTGGTTCGCTGATTGAATCCACGCACGATACAGGCGAATTGGTGCGGATAATCGCATATCGGGAGATGATTATGGAGCGGATGAAGTGCAGCTGGAGAGGTGCGCGTCGACTGCAGCGCAAGAGGCGGAGCAGCCATGAGCGCAAAGTGGACCAATTACGGAGCAATTCTCACATTTTGTGTAATTGTAGCATTCCTGCATGGATACAGATACGCGTTTGTAGCTCTGCCGCCAAAACATACATCTATTGAAACCTTACTTACAAGCAAACAAACTATACCCTTATAAATACATCCCAAAACAGGCTTCTATCAGTGGTGGAACCATTGGCAGCACCATCTTCTCGTGACTTCAACATATCAATTGCTTGATCCTGCAAAAGAAATCCGCATAAAAAAAAAAAAGTGTGTGCATTAAACGATCAACAGTAACGAATGATACAATGCAACACAATGGGCACACCTAAACACAAAACCTCTTCTCCACAACAAACTATGGAGTCCACTCAACAGCCTACCCCCCGTACACCCACCCATCCTCCTCAGAAAAACCCACCCCACCACACCCACCATTTGTCTACCCAGACGTCAATGCCCCCTCCACCCACCCCCCCACACTACACTGTACCATTACAACCCCACCCCACTCACCATAAGCTCTTAAGAAAGGCCGGCATCCATGGCAAAAGCACCGAGGGCATCCATGCCCTTGCACCAAGAAGCACTCCCAAATCAAGAAGCTCGGAGCCAGGTGTGAGAGCCATGAATTTACGTCCCTTCTAGGTACAGGATATGTATCCATACCCCCATGTGGGAAGCCCCATACACACGGCCACCCACATTTGCCACCAACAACCCCACCCCACTCACCAGACACACTTGGGGAAGGCCGGCATCCATGGCAAAGCACTGAAGTGACTCCCTGGCAGCAGCAAGCACTCCGGCGCCAAGAAGCTCCGAGTCAGGCGCGAGAGATGGGAAGGCAGGTGGTGAGTGATCCGGTGGGTGATCGGAGGTGGGTGGTGGAATAGTGGAAGGAGGGAGTGATGGGGAGGGGAGGCCGAGGGAGGCGGAATGGAGGGCGAAGAAGAGAGCGAGCTTGAGAGAGTCGGGACGCTCCACACGATGGATTTGACTGCATGCAGACAGCAAGACAGCGAGACACACAGAGACACAGAGAGACACAGCGAGACACAACGACGCGTGTGAATGTCATTCACCTCCCCAGCCCCCAACCCCCTTCCCATCCACGCACACACGGACACACATGGATGCAGCAGTACACGCAATTCTGCGATCCCCCAGGGAGAAGAAGATGAGATATTGGAAGAAGAAAGCAGCAATCAACACATGCAATGGGCCAGTGGCGCACCTGCGGAGATGTTGGAAGCAGAGGATCACAGCTGCCACCCACCCCCCTGCCACTCACCCCCCTGCCACTCACCCCCCTGCCACTCACCCCCCTGCCACTCACCCCCCTGCCACTCACCCCTGCCACTCACCCCCCTGCCACTCACCCCCCTGCCACTCACCCCCTCGCCACCCCAACCTGCTGCACCTTCAGCTGGTAAGCAGAGCAGCAGTCTGGCCTGCAGTACATACAAGGAACAAGGACGCAGAACAAGGACGCAGAACAAGGACGCACCTGCGGAGATGTTGGAAGGAGAGGATCACAGCTACCACCCACCCCCCTGCCACTCCAACCTGCTGCCCGTCCTCCCCCTCCGCCACCTTCTCCCCTTCCTCCTCCCTCCTCACCCCCTTTTCCACCAACACCAGCTTCTGGAACCATCTCTCTGCCACATCAGCATCCACATCCAGGCGCCACATCAGCGCCGCCCAGCGGGTCCACACAGACCGCGCAGCTTCCACGAAATGAGGCTGTAAAGGCGCGGCCTTAGAGTGTGTTGTGATTTGAGCAGATAATCTCCATTGCTCCTGAAGCCTAGTGAAGTTTCCTTGCCATTGCTCCAAGCATGGGCCTGCTCGCTGCGTCGCCACCTCGCTCCATGCACGCTCCAGCTGGCGCTGCGTGGCGTCCTCGCTGGCACCGTTGTAGATGGCCACGTCAGCATGTGCCAGCCTGGCAGATGACGTCATCTGGGGCGGTGGATGGTGCGAGAGGGAAGCGAGGAGAAAGAGAAAAGGCGGAGGGAAATAGAAGGAGGGAATCAGGAAGAAAGATAGCGAGAAAGAGAAAAGGTGAAAAAGGGAAAGGAAAGGGCAAGGGATAAGAAGAGAGAGGGGGAGCGGAGAAGAGGGCAAGAGATCGCAGACAACAAGGAACTACTGTGGCAGGGCGAAAGGACGCAGAGACGCTCCGATGCACATACGTTCATAAACCCCCACACACACATCCCCGCACACACACCCCCCCACACAGATCCCCCTCTCCACACACACACGAGAACAAAGCTTCACACACCCATCCAGCCACCCATCTACACCATCCATCCACCAACCTGAGAAGCAATCCTCTTTCCTGCCTCCTCTTCAGTCACCCCATTCCGCGCCATCAACCGAACCTTAGCCTCAGGCTCGGGGACAAACACCACCCAAACCTCGTCCACGGTTCGGTCCGAGCCTGCTTCGACCATCATGGCTGCCTCCACTATAAGCACATCCGCAGGAGGGACCACGGGGCGGATAGTACACGTCTTTTCAAGCATCTCAAAAGTAAATGCCTTTTCAGTGGACTCAGAAGTTGAAAATTTCTTAGTCGGCTCAGAAACAGTGGATGCCTTCCATTCGCCGGCCCCTGCAGCCTCCCTCTCCTCCTCCACTATCTGTCGCACCATTGGCCACACCACTCCCGTCAGGGCAGCCATTTTTTCCGGGCAGGAAAAAACTTGCGCTCCCAGTGCCGTCCGGTCAATCTGCCCATCTGGAAGCCGCCGCATCCGAGAGAGAAACAATTAAAAAAAATGGCGTGAGGAAGAGAAGGAAAAAAAGGCATCAAATCAAGGACAAGAAGGAAGGCCACGAGGGAGAGGAGTCGAGCAGGGAGGGAATGAGAGGAGCAACACGAAGACACAAGGACACATACCCACACAACCCACCTGCTGGGCGCACAACCCACCTGCTGGGCGCACAACCCACATGCTGGGCGCACAACCCGCCTGCAGACAGATTCCCACACAACCCTCCTGAAGACTGTACAACCCACCTGTGGGGCGCACAACAGAGGGCCCAAAGAGGTCCACGATGCGGCGGTAGGCAGGTGTGTGCGGCTCATATGCCCGATGGGCCAGCCTGTCACAGTCCACCGCCCCCACCTGCCACTGCCTCAACGCACCTGAATGGCTGCATACAACCCACCTGCAGACCCCATAGTTCACCTGCTGGCCGCACAACAGAGGGCCCGAAAATCTCCACAATGCGGCGGTAGGCAGGCGTGTGTGGCTCATATGCCCGATGGGCCAGCCTGTCACAGTCCACCGCCCCCACCTGCCACTGCCTCAACGCACCTGAATGGCTGCATACAACCCACCTGCAGACCCCATAGTTCACCTGCTGGCCGCACAACAGAGGGCCCGAAAATCTCCACAATGCGGCGGTAGGCAGGCGTGTGTGGCTCATATGCCCGATGGGCCAGCCTGTCACAGTCCACCGCCCCCACCTGCCACTGCCTCCCTCGGCCTGTCCCCCCCACCTCTGACTGCCTCTCCTCCTTCACTGATTCCCCAGCAGCAGCAGGAGCAGGAGTGGGGGCAGAGGAGGAGGAGGAGGAGGAGGAGGAGGAGGAGGAGGAGGAGGAGGAGGAGGAGGAGGAGGAGGAGGAGGAGGAGGAGGAGGAGGAGGAGGAGGAGGAGGAGGAGGAGGCGAGGGAGCAGAGCAAGCGAGCAACGGTGGATTTCCCAGAGGCGATCCCTCCTGTCAGCCCCACCAGGTACGGCCCTGCCTGCACCCGCCCCTTGTGCTGCCGCCTCTGCCTCTGCTGCTGCCTCTGCTGCTCGCTCCTTTGGTGAGGCAAACGGCAAGGAGATAGGAGCACAAGGGGGGAAGCAAGGGAGGGGAGGGGAGCACATGGAAGGGAAGAGTGGAGAGGAGAGGAGCTGTCGGAGTGATGGGCCACCACAGCACACCATGCTGGACGTAAACAGTGGACTCGCTAGACGAGATGCCTCCTGTGAGCCCCACCAGGTACGGCCCTGCCTGCAGCCCCTTGTGCTGCCGCCTCTGCCGCTGCTGCCTCTGCTGCTCGCTGCTGTGGTGAGACAAAGCGGTAAAGAAAGCAGGAGGTTGGGGCAGAAGGGGGGAAGGAGGGGAGGAGGGGAGTGCAATGCAGTGCATGAATGGAAAGAGGCAAAACAAGCAGGAGGTGGGGCGGAAATGGGGAAGGAGGGAAGGGGAGTGCATGGAAGAGAAGAGACTAGAGGGGGTACGGGAAGCATGGGCGGCTGCCACACCACTGCAGCATGAAAGGCAGGGGGGGCAGGTGAAAAAAGAAGTGTTTTGAGACGTCTCGAAACACTTATTTTATCACGGGGGCAGGCATGCAAAGAAGCAAGCGAAAGCAACTGAGAGGGAATTCAGGCGAATTGAGAGGCACAGAGGAGAAAGAATCCGAACGTGAGAGCGGTGGGTAGAACGAGTGGCGGACTTGCCTTGGAAGCGGCAGGAAGGTTCCGAGACATTGCTCCCTGAGAAGGGAGGAGCTTAGCTTGCTGACGTCAGCAGCCAGGGCGGCGGAGGCGGTGGTGGTGGGAGGGACTGGTAGAGCTGCGGCTGACGGTGCAGGCACTGTTGACGCCACGACTACCTGGTGGATGGGCACACACACACACACAGGGGGCGGAAGGGAGGGGCTGTTTCTTAAGTCTGTTGGTGGGGCCTCAAGAACAGGCACAGCACAGGCACCGTTGACACCGCCACTACCTGATGGATGCACATGGGCGTGCGCACGCACAGTGGGGGTGTATTATTTTTTTGATGAGCGCCAAAAACAGGCGCAGGCACGATGCATGAGATATAGAGCATCAGACAGAAACGACGATACATCGGGTTGAAAAAACTAGGAGCAGGAACGATGCTGCACATACATGCAACGGAGCAATCTGATTGGCTGCTCTCGTCCTGTTGATAGCCGCAGCTCCCCCCACTGTCTCTCCGCTAACCACAATGCAGTCCAGGCTCGGATCCGAACCTCCCCGCTCAGGTACGGGATCCTGGATCGGCGCAAACTCCAGCCGAATCAAGCCTGGCGCCTTGCCCTGCCGCTGTAGCTCCTCCTTCAGAAACTTCTCAGCAGCTTCCTTGCGCTCGTTGTAAGGCTGGATCATCTGTGGGGAACAGGGGTTCGGGGAACGGGGATGAGGGGATGGGGATGAGGGGATGGGGATGAGGGGATGGGGATGAGGGAAACGGGGATGAGGGGAACGGGGGTGAGGGGATGGGGATGAGGGGAACGGGGGTGAGGGGATGGGGATGAGGGGAACGGGGGTGAGGGGAACAGGGATGAGGGGAACGGGGATTCGGGGAAACGGGAATTCGATTCGGGGAACGGGGATTCGATTCGGGGAACAGGGATTCGATTCGGGGAACGGGGATTCGATTCGGGGAACGGGGATTCGATTCGGGGAACGGGGATTCGATTCGGGGAACGGGGATTCGATTCGGGGAACGGGGATTCGATTCGGGGAACGGGGATTCGATTCGGGGAACGGGGAATCTATTCGGGGAACAGCGAGTCGATTCGGGGAACGGCGATTCGGGGAACGGGGATTCGGGGAACGGGGATTTGGGGAACGGGGATTCAGGGAACGGGGATTCGGGGAACGGGGATTCGGGGAACGGGGATTCGATTCGGAGAACGGGGATTCGATTCGGGCGGGGATTCGATTCGGGGAACGGGGATTCGGGGAACGGGGATTCGCGGAGCGGGGGTTCGGGGAACGGGGATTCGGGGAACGGGGATTCGGGGAGTGGGGATTCGGGGAGTGGGGATTCGGGGAATGGGGATTCGGGGAATGGGGATTCGGGGAACGGGGATTCGGGGAGTGGGGATTCTGGGAGTGGGGATTCGGGGAATGGGGATTCGGGGAATGGGGATGAGGGGAATGGGGATGAGGGGAATGGGGATGAGGGGAATGGGGATGAGGGGAATGGGGATGAGGGGATGGGGATGAGGGGAATGGGGATGAGGGGAATGGGGATGACGGGATGGGGATGATGAGAAGGGGCGATGTGAAAGTGGAGGGAGAGGGAAGATGGAAGGAAATTGGGGAAGGAGAGGGGGGGTGATTCACTGCACCTCACACCTCACTGCCATGCTTCACCGCACCTCACACCTCACTGCCATGCTTCACCGCACCTCACACCTCACTGCCATACTTGACCGCACCTCACACCTCACTTTCATACTTCACCGCACCTCACACCTCACTGCCATACTTCACCGCACCTCACACCTCACTGCCATGATTCACCGCACCTCACCCCTCACTGCCATACTTCACCGCACCTCACACCTCACTGCCATGATTCACCGCACCTCACACCTCACTGCCATACTTCACAGAACCTCACACCTCGCTGCCATACTTTACCGCACCTCACACCTCACTGCCATGATTCACCGCACCTCACACCTCACCGCCATGCTTCACCGCACCTCACACCTCACTACCATGCTTCACCGTACCTCACACCTCACTGCCATGCTTCACCGCACCTCACTGAGATACTTCTTAGTCAAAAGAGGTCCATCGGCGATCCCCACAACAATGCAGCTGCTACTGCTGCTGCTACTGCCATCGGTGCTGGCGAAAACGTCGCTCCTGCCGCCTCCGCTGCTGCTGCTGCTGCTGCCTGCTTCTCCCCCCTTCCCTTCTCGTGTCGTCGCCACCATCGCTACAGCCGCGCGCAGCAGCGTGCGATGGCCGTCGTGGAAGCGATCAAACGTCCCAGCTACAACCACTCCGCGAAACCTGCCACGTGCCAGCACCTCATTGGACGACGGATCAAAGCGGGTCACTGGCTCCATTTCCCCTGACGCAGCGTTCTCCTGTTCGGTTACTCGTAGAGCACTCAAGGTTGGTGCATTTCCTAGATTTACGATCGAGTCTGTTTGTATCGGAGCATTCGCACCCTCCGCGTCGGCCATGCTGCTACCAGCGAGGACGTTCGATCCGCGGCGAATCTCGGATTCCGAAGCGAAATCGTCTGATTCAGTCGCTGATCCTTCGCGAAGAGGTCTGCTCGCGCGTGGAGCTACCAAATTCGGGATTCCCGAGGTTCTGTTCTGCTGAAACGACAAGCTGCGACTGTTGAGGGAACCAGGAGCAACTGAGAGTCTCGCCTCCGCCGCTCCCTGACCACTGCGCGGAATCCTATTCGAAATTGGAATGAACACCAGCGATATCGGCGGGCGATGCGCACAAAACAGCACTCCCGCCATACACGCAGCGCAAACAAGACTAGGTTTTCCGCATTCACATGCTTTTGGATTTCTAGCATCGTGCTCAGAATGCAATCTAGGTTTCCTGCCGGGTTTTCAGCTTAGCTGGGACAGGTATCTGGACCCTTCCGCTTTCAGGGAACGGACAGCGCTATCTGCGCACAGTTTCCGCAAAAGTCTGGGCTAGAGGCGGAGGGTTATTGTTCAGGTTAGGGAGTCGAGCTCTCAATGAGCCACGTGGTTAGTCCTACACAGCTCGTTCACTGTTCATCTTCAATCTCAGATTCTGCAGCGCAGGCTTGTCTTTTCTACCGAATCCAGCCCACGTTCGGGGTAGCTCGTCAGCCAACTGCTCCCAAAGCTGCGCGGCCGTTGTTTTTTTTTTAGTTTTTGTCCAAATTACATTGCACCCGAAACCCTGAGAAAAAGTGCACCCTACCTGACCGAAACAAATTAAACCCAATCGGGAAGGGGTGCGACTCGGGAGGCATCAACCCTAACAAGAAGGAGGGTCCCGTGTTTAGGGTTGATTCCTCCCTAAAATGCGTCCGAGGGAGGCATCAACCCTAAACACCATGCCACAAGGTGTTTAGGGTTGATGCCTCCCTGACCGGATGCCTTCCCGACTGGGGTTTATTTTTTTTGCTCGCGTGTCCGTTGGGGTATTTCGAGTGTAATATATTGAGTAAAAACGACAAACCAGAGCAGTGGAGAATCTGTGATTGAACACCTACAGTGAGCTCTGTGAAAATTGGGACACGTGGCTCATTGAGAGCTCGACTCCCTAATCTGAACAATAACTCTCCCCCCCTAGCCCAGCCTTTAGCGGAAACTGTGCGCAGAAAGCGCTACCCCTAACCTGAAAGCGGAGGGTTCGGGAAACCCCTCCCTGCTAAGCTGAAAACCCTTTCCCGCCTCTATTGCAGACACAAACTGATATCCTCCCTAAAGGCCGGTTTGTTAGAGAGGCACTTCCACATTTTATGAATAATGTATCAATTAAACAATTTTGATTACTAGAGACTGTCGCAAACTTCAATGCTGGCATTCCACTTGTTCCCTCTCTCGTTCAGGTACAGTAACACGAGATGGTTACAGTTTTTGAAACGTCCATATTTGCTGACGCCAAGGGTGAACATTTCAGCTAATCAGGATGGAGGAAAGGTCGATATGATCGCGTATTCTCTGGAAAAGGGAAACAACATATGGCATTTAGCGGGTTTGTATCTGTACTGTTGCACGAACGCGGCAGCAAGTCGTTGGTTTCCTGAAGACGGAGCGCAACGCATTCTTCACAACTGTAGAGCAGCTTCCCGCGGACCCTACTTGACAAAATAAGCCATTCTGGCAAACACTGTGATTAAAACGTGTGTGAAACAGTTACTTCATCGGGATTTGAATACTTACCCGAGACTATGTGATATTTTTAAGCCTAATGGTACCTTACTCTACCCGAGTATGTTTTGAGGTATTTGGCCATATAGCAGTTACATTATTTATTATATGTGTTTTTCATGGTCTGTTTCGTGTGGTTGCAGCAGCTCTCCAAAACATATGTAGTCCCTATAAATGGTCCGCACCCGTGGCTTGAAAACGCGTCGCCTTTATGGTTTCCAGTTGGCAGTACACCCTCTTTCTCGCCAGACTGACATTGGCCATATTGACGGACCGGCTGTACTGACATAAGCACATTTGCCGCACTCAACCGTACGCAAACGCATGAATCCTTCCATAAAACGTTGTGTACCGTTCCTCTGGAGTGCATTTGCCCGCCACCTACCTGCTGTTCGGTTGCAAGCACCAGATCGCTAGGGTCCAAGCAACAGTACGCACTGTAGCCAGTGCTACCCATTGTCAGTCTGGCGCGAGAGAGGGTGTACTCGGTAGGTATTCGCCAGCCACGAATTGGAAACCTCGGGGATTGGTGGATGGAGCCGCGTGCTCAAAATTTGATGCACAGCTGTAAAATGCCCTCGGCTCCCTCTGCCCCAGCCCCACTACTCCGATCTGTTTCTTCCCCAACATACCCACTGGTCTGTTTTGGAAGTTGTGGTGGTAGGGCGCACACTGACTCAACTCCTTGGCAATATGTTACATTTAAAGAACGAATATCGTACGTACTGCACGACTCCACCAATCATGTCTCAGCCTCACGTAAAGTCCAACCGAAATGTCCGCACCAACAATCCCACCGTTTTTAGAAGCTTCCAGATAGGCCCTCATCACTGCTCCCTCGATCCCCCTTGTGTTGCTCGCTCCACCTCTCCTCTTGTCAAGCTTCACTTCAATTGGGTTGATCAACGGCTGCTTCCATTAGCCAGCGTCTCAAGCATAATTCGTTAGATCTCACATCCTCGAGCACAAAAGGATTTTTTTTGTTTATCGACGTAGCCAGTGCCGAAATGTCCGCGCCAACAATTCACGCCGAAACGCTCAATTCCACCCCCTTTTTCAACCTATTTTGCGACGATTGCTGCGTCTTCCATCCTAACGAGCCGTTGGAGCGATCGTCGAACGGAATGATGCTCTCCAGCGAAATTCGTTCATCAAACGGTGACTTTCACGGTACCAGGCTCAATTGCGTGCGCCAAAATTCCGGCGACTCCGGGCGACACGGATGCGACAACATCGAAGCGGCCGATCGCCGCTCTCCGACAAGTCCGCTTGAATCTTCTAAAGCAACAATTCGTCCAACAACGGCGAATTACCACGGTGGTTCCGCTTCGTCCGCGACGCCGCCGATGACGCCTTGCCTGCCACAGTGTCCCCATGGCCGCTTGCGGAGCGCCTCTCTCTCCGCGACAACCGCTTCCGCTGCGTGTCACGGTGTAATTGGAGCTCCCGGCGGAGTTTCGGCTGACGTGGATGCGATTCGGCGACGAAACACCCGGAAGAACTCCCGAAGTTGCGACATCAGCAGCGGAATCTTTGGAAGTGGTCCCGTTTTAGTCAGCCCCGTTACAGGATCAGCAGATTGGACGTCCGTGTATTGTGACGTTGGTGTCGTCCATTCAACACCATCCTCTAACCGCCGTGGTGGTCAGAGCCAATTGGATCGTTTCGAAACTTTCAAGTCCGCGGAGAGGAAGTCCCTGACCTCGGCCGGAGGTTCGGTACCACTACCTGAGCTTTCCGAGCAGCCTCGGTTTCTGGAACGACGAGTGTCTGAATCAGCAGCAATGCCAATTCGGGGGATTTCAAACGCAGGAGGAGCAGGAGGGAGCTTCAAAGCACAACAGTCCGTGTTTGAGTGGGCGGCAGAGACAAGGATAAAGCAGAGGCAGCAGCGGAAGAGGGAGTTTGAGAAGGCCTTAGGGCAGCAGGCAGGAGCTCCTATGGTGGTTGCAGGGAGGGGTGATGATGTGAGAACTTTCAGTGCAAGCACAATAGAGTTCCACCTTAATCATTTGTAGCACCTGATAGTAATATTGACTTGCTAACCAGTACTGTATATGAATCCACTAGTATTATAGCAGCTTGCCACAAGCCAGCATTTGTAATGCTACTGCAGTGTTACAGTATGTCTAGTGCTGTAACACTCTTCATGCTGCAATATGGCCAAAGGAAGTTACATGCAGGAACATGCTGCATGGCACATACGGTAACAGCTGCGAGGTGGCAACACTGGGTGCGAGCCTGCGAGGTGGCAACACTGGGTGCGAGCCTGCGAGGTGGCAACACTGGGTGCGAGCCTGCGAGGTGGCAACACTGGGTGCGAGCCTGAGAGGTGGCAACACTGGGTGCGAGCCTGCGAGGTGGCAACACTGGGTGCGAGCCTGCGAGGTGGCAACACTGGGTGCGAGCCTGCGAGGTGGCAACACTGGGTGCGAGCCTGCGAGGTGGCAACACTGGGTGCGAGCCTGCGAGGTGGCAACACTGGGTGCGAGCCTGCGAGGTGGCAACACTGGGTGCGAGCCTGCGAGGTGGCAACACTGGGTGCGAGCCTGCGAGGTGGCAACACTGGGTGCGAGCCTGCGAGGTGGCAACACTGGGTGCGAGCCTGCGAGGTGGCAACACTGGGTGCGAGCCTGCGAGGTGGCAACACTGGGTGCGAGCCTGCGAGGTGGCAACACTGGGTGCGAGCCTGCGAGGTGGCAACACTGGGTGCGAGCCTGCGAGGTGGCAACACTGGGTGCGAGCCTGCGAGGTGGCAACACTGGGTGCGAGCCTGCGAGGTGGCAACACTGGGTGCGAGCCTGCGAGGTGGCAACACTGGGTGCGAGCCTGCGAGGTGGCAACACTGGGTGCGAGCCTGCGAGGTGGCAACACTGGGTGCGAGCCTGCGAGGTGGCAACACTGGGTGCGAGCCTGCGAGGTGGCAACACTGGGTGCGAGCCTGCGAGGTGGCAACACTGGGTGCGAGCCTGCGAGGTGGCAACACTGGGTGCGAGCCTGCGAGGTGGCAACACTGGGTGCGAGCCTGCGAGGTGGCAACACTGGGTGCGAGCCTGCGAGGTGGCAACACTGGGTGCGAGCCTGCGAGGTGGCAACACTGGGTGCGAGCCTGCGAGGTGGCAACACTGGGTGCGAGCCTGCGAGGTGGCAACACTGGGTGCGAGCCTGCGAGGTGGCAACACTGGGTGCGAGCCTGCGAGGTGGCAACACTGGGTGCGAGCCTGCGAGGTGGCAACACTGGGTGCGAGCCTGCGAGGTGGCAACACTGGGTGCGAGCCTGCGAGGTGGCAACACTGGGTGCGAGCCTGCGAGGTGGCAACACTGGGTGCGAGCCTGCGAGGTGGCAACACTGGGTGCGAGCCTGCGAGGTGGCAACACTGGGTGCGAGCCTGCGAGGTGGCAACACTGGGTGCGAGCCTGCGAGGTGGCAACACTGGGTGCGAGCCTGCGAGGTGGCAACACTGGGTGCGAGCCTGCGAGGTGGCAACACTGGGTGCGAGCCTGCGAGGTGGCAACACTGGGTGCGAGCCTGCGAGGTGGCAACACTGGGTGCGAGCCTGCGAGGTGGCAACACTGGGTGCGAGCCTGCGAGGTGGCAACACTGGGTGCGAGCCTGCGAGGTGGCAACACTGGGTGCGAGCCTGCGAGGTGGCAACACTGGGTGCGAGCCTGCGAGGTGGCAACACTGGGTGCGAGCCTGCGAGGTGGCAACACTGGGTGCGAGCCTGCGAGGTGGCAACACTGGGTGCGAGCCTGCGAGGTGGCAACACTGGGTGCGAGCCTGCGAGGTGGCAACACTGGGTGCGAGCCTGCGAGGTGGCAACACTGGGTGCGAGCCTGCGAGGTGGCAACACTGGGTGCGAGCCTGCGAGGTGGCAACACTGGGTGCGAGCCTGCGAGGTGGCAACACTGGGTGCGAGCCTGCGAGGTGGCAACACTGGGTGCGAGCCTGCGAGGTGGCAACACTGGGTGCGAGCCTGCGAGGTGGCAACACTGGGTGCGAGCCTGCGAGGTGGCAACACTGGGTGCGAGCCTGCGAGGTGGCAACACTGGGTGCGAGCCTGCGAGGTGGCAACACTGGGTGCGAGCCTGCGAGGTGGCAACACTGGGTGCGAGCCTGCGAGGTGGCAACACTGGGTGCGAGCCTGCGAGGTGGCAACACTGGGTGCGAGCCTGCGAGGTGGCAACACTGGGTGCGAGCCTGCGAGGTGGCAACACTGGGTGCGAGCCTGCGAGGTGGCAACACTGGGTGCGAGCCTGCGAGGTGGCAACACTGGGTGCGAGCCTGCGAGGTGGCAACACTGGGTGCGAGCCTGCGAGGTGGCAACACTGGGTGCGAGCCTGCGAGGTGGCAACACTGGGTGCGAGCCTGCGAGGTGGCAACACTGGGTGCGAGCCTGCGAGGTGGCAACACTGGGTGCGAGCCTGCGAGGTGGCAACACTGGGTGCGAGCCTGCGAGGTGGCAACACTGGGTGCGAGCCTGCGAGGTGGCAACACTGGGTGCGAGCCTGCGAGGTGGCAACACTGGGTGCGAGCCTGCGAGGTGGCAACACTGGGTGCGAGCCTGCGAGGTGGCAACACTGGGTGCGAGCCTGCGAGGTGGCAACACTGGGTGCGAGCCTGCGAGGTGGCAACACTGGGTGCGAGCCTGCGAGGTGGCAACACTGGGTGCGAGCCTGCGAGGTGGCAACACTGGGTGCGAGCCTGCGAGGTGGCAACACTGGGTGCGAGCCTGCGAGGTGGCAACACTGGGTGCGAGCCTGCGAGGTGGCAACACTGGGTGCGAGCCTGCGAGGTGGCAACACTGGGTGCGAGCCTGCGAGGTGGCAACACTGGGTGCGAGCCTGCGAGGTGGCAACACTGGGTGCGAGCCTGCGAGGTGGCAACACTGGGTGCGAGCCTGCGAGGTGGCAACACTGGGTGCGAGCCTGCGAGGTGGCAACACTGGGTGCGAGCCTGCGAGGTGGCAACACTGGGTGCGAGCCTGCGAGGTGGCAACACTGGGTGCGAGCCTGCGAGGTGGCAACACTGGGTGCGAGCCTGCGAGGTGGCAACACTGGGTGCGAGCCTGCGAGGTGGCAACACTGGGTGCGAGCCTGCGAGGTGGCAACACTGGGTGCGAGCCTGCGAGGTGGCAACACTGGGTGCGAGCCTGCGAGGTGGCAACACTGGGTGCGAGCCTGCGAGGTGGCAACACTGGGTGCGAGCCTGCGAGGTGGCAACACTGGGTGCGAGCCTGCGAGGTGGCAACACTGGGTGCGAGCCTGCGAGGTGGCAACACTGGGTGCGAGCCTGCGAGGTGGCAACACTGGGTGCGAGCCTGCGAGGTGGCAACACTGGGTGCGAGCCTGCGAGGTGGCAACACTGGGTGCGAGCCTGCGAGGTGGCAACACTGGGTGCGAGCCTGCGAGGTGGCAACACTGGGTGCGAGCCTGCGAGGTGGCAACACTGGGTGCGAGCCTGCGAGGTGGCAACACTGGGTGCGAGCCTGCGAGGTGGCAACACTGGGTGCGAGCCTGCGAGGTGGCAACACTGGGTGCGAGCCTGCGAGGTGGCAACACTGGGTGCGAGCCTGCGAGGTGGCAACACTGGGTGCGAGCCTGCGAGGTGGCAACACTGGGTGCGAGCCTGCGAGGTGGCAACACTGGGTGCGAGCCTGCGAGGTGGCAACACTGGGTGCGAGCCTGCGAGGTGGCAACACTGGGTGCGAGCCTGCGAGGTGGCAACACTGGGTGCGAGCCTGCGAGGTGGCAACACTGGGTGCGAGCCTGCGAGGTGGCAACACTGGGTGCGAGCCTGCGAGGTGGCAACACTGGGTGCGAGCCTGCGAGGTGGCAACACTGGGTGCGAGCCTGCGAGGTGGCAACACTGGGTGCGAGCCTGCGAGGTGGCAACACTGGGTGCGAGCCTGCGAGGTGGCAACACTGGGTGCGAGCCTGCGAGGTGGCAACACTGGGTGCGAGCCTGCGAGGTGGCAACACTGGGTGCGAGCCTGCGAGGTGGCAACACTGGGTGCGAGCCTGCGAGGTGGCAACACTGGGTGCGAGCCTGCGAGGTGGCAACACTGGGTGCGAGCCTGCGAGGTGGCAACACTGGGTGCGAGCCTGCGAGGTGGCAACACTGGGTGCGAGCCTGCGAGGTGGCAACACTGGGTGCGAGCCTGCGAGGTGGCAACACTGGGTGCGAGCCTGCGAGGTGGCAACACTGGGTGCGAGCCTGCGAGGTGGCAACACTGGGTGCGAGCCTGCGAGGTGGCAACACTGGGTGCGAGCCTGCGAGGTGGCAACACTGGGTGCGAGCCTGCGAGGTGGCAACACTGGGTGCGAGCCTGCGAGGTGGCAACACTGGGTGCGAGCCTGCGAGGTGGCAACACTGGGTGCGAGCCTGCGAGGTGGCAACACTGGGTGCGAGCCTGCGAGGTGGCAACACTGGGTGCGAGCCTGCGAGGTGGCAACACTGGGTGCGAGCCTGCGAGGTGGCAACACTGGGTGCGAGCCTGCGAGGTGGCAACACTGGGTGCGAGCCTGCGAGGTGGCAACACTGGGTGCGAGCCTGCGAGGTGGCAACACTGGGTGCGAGCCTGCGAGGTGGCAACACTGGGTGCGAGCCTGCGAGGTGGCAACACTGGGTGCGAGCCTGCGAGGTGGCAACACTGGGTGCGAGCCTGCGAGGTGGCAACACTGGGTGCGAGCCTGCGAGGTGGCAACACTGGGTGCGAGCCTGCGAGGTGGCAACACTGGGTGCGAGCCTGCGAGGTGGCAACACTGGGTGCGAGCCTGCGAGGTGGCAACACTGGGTGCGAGCCTGCGAGGTGGCAACACTGGGTGCGAGCCTGCGAGGTGGCAACACTGGGTGCGAGCCTGCGAGGTGGCAACACTGGGTGCGAGCCTGCGAGGTGGCAACACTGGGTGCGAGCCTGCGAGGTGGCAACACTGGGTGCGAGCCTGCGAGGTGGCAACACTGGGTGCGAGCCTGCGAGGTGGCAACACTGGGTGCGAGCCTGCGAGGTGGCAACACTGGGTGCGAGCCTGCGAGGTGGCAACACTGGGTGCGAGCCTGCGAGGTGGCAACACTGGGTGCGAGCCTGCGAGGTGGCAACACTGGGTGCGAGCCTGCGAGGTGGCAACACTGGGTGCGAGCCTGCGAGGTGGCAACACTGGGTGCGAGCCTGCGAGGTGGCAACACTGGGTGCGAGCCTGCGAGGTGGCAACACTGGGTGCGAGCCTGCGAGGTGGCAACACTGGGTGCGAGCCTGCGAGGTGGCAACACTGGGTGCGAGCCTGCGAGGTGGCAACACTGGGTGCGAGCCTGCGAGGTGGCAACACTGGGTGCGAGCCTGCGAGGTGGCAACACTGGGTGCGAGCCTGCGAGGTGGCAACACTGGGTGCGAGCCTGCGAGGTGGCAACACTGGGTGCGAGCCTGCGAGGTGGCAACACTGGGTGCGAGCCTGCGAGGTGGCAACACTGGGTGCGAGCCTGCGAGGTGGCAACACTGGGTGCGAGCCTGCGAGGTGGCAACACTGGGTGCGAGCCTGCGAGGTGGCAACACTGGGTGCGAGCCTGCGAGGTGGCAACACTGGGTGCGAGCCTGCGAGGTGGCAACACTGGGTGCGAGCCTGCGAGGTGGCAACACTGGGTGCGAGCCTGCGAGGTGGCAACACTGGGTGCGAGCCTGCGAGGTGGCAACACTGGGTGCGAGCCTGCGAGGTGGCAACACTGGGTGCGAGCCTGCGAGGTGGCAACACTGGGTGCGAGCCTGCGAGGTGGCAACACTGGGTGCGAGCCTGCGAGGTGGCAACACTGGGTGCGAGCCTGCGAGGTGGCAACACTGGGTGCGAGCCTGCGAGGTGGCAACACTGGGTGCGAGCCTGCGAGGTGGCAACACTGGGTGCGAGCCTGCGAGGTGGCAACACTGGGTGCGAGCCTGCGAGGTGGCAACACTGGGTGCGAGCCTGCGAGGTGGCAACACTGGGTGCGAGCCTGCGAGGTGGCAACACTGGGTGCGAGCCTGCGAGGTGGCAACACTGGGTGCGAGCCTGCGAGGTGGCAACACTGGGTGCGAGCCTGCGAGGTGGCAACACTGGGTGCGAGCCTGCGAGGTGGCAACACTGGGTGCGAGCCTGCGAGGTGGCAACACTGGGTGCGAGCCTGCGAGGTGGCAACACTGGGTGCGAGCCTGCGAGGTGGCAACACTGGGTGCGAGCCTGCGAGGTGGCAACACTGGGTGCGAGCCTGCGAGGTGGCAACACTGGGTGCGAGCCTGCGAGGTGGCAACACTGGGTGCGAGCCTGCGAGGTGGCAACACTGGGTGCGAGCCTGCGAGGTGGCAACACTGGGTGCGAGCCTGCGAGGTGGCAACACTGGGTGCGAGCCTGCGAGGTGGCAACACTGGGTGCGAGCCTGCGAGGTGGCAACACTGGGTGCGAGCCTGCGAGGTGGCAACACTGGGTGCGAGCCTGCGAGGTGGCAACACTGGGTGCGAGCCTGCGAGGTGGCAACACTGGGTGCGAGCCTGCGAGGTGGCAACACTGGGTGCGAGCCTGCGAGGTGGCAACACTGGGTGCGAGCCTGCGAGGTGGCAACACTGGGTGCGAGCCTGCGAGGTGGCAACACTGGGTGCGAGCCTGCGAGGTGGCAACACTGGGTGCGAGCCTGCGAGGTGGCAACACTGGGTGCGAGCCTGCGAGGTGGCAACACTGGGTGCGAGCCTGCGAGGTGGCAACACTGGGTGCGAGCCTGCGAGGTGGCAACACTGGGTGCGAGCCTGCGAGGTGGCAACACTGGGTGCGAGCCTGCGAGGTGGCAACACTGGGTGCGAGCCTGCGAGGTGGCAACACTGGGTGCGAGCCTGCGAGGTGGCAACACTGGGTGCGAGCCTGCGAGGTGGCAACACTGGGTGCGAGCCTGCGAGGTGGCAACACTGGGTGCGAGCCTGCGAGGTGGCAACACTGGGTGCGAGCCTGCGAGGTGGCAACACTGGGTGCGAGCCTGCGAGGTGGCAACACTGGGTGCGAGCCTGCGAGGTGGCAACACTGGGTGCGAGCCTGCGAGGTGGCAACACTGGGTGCGAGCCTGCGAGGTGGCAACACTGGGTGCGAGCCTGCGAGGTGGCAACACTGGGTGCGAGCCTGCGAGGTGGCAACACTGGGTGCGAGCCTGCGAGGTGGCAACACTGGGTGCGAGCCTGCGAGGTGGCAACACTGGGTGCGAGCCTGCGAGGTGGCAACACTGGGTGCGAGCCTGCGAGGTGGCAACACTGGGTGCGAGCCTGCGAGGTGGCAACACTGGGTGCGAGCCTGCGAGGTGGCAACACTGGGTGCGAGCCTGCGAGGTGGCAACACTGGGTGCGAGCCTGCGAGGTGGCAACACTGGGTGCGAGCCTGCGAGGTGGCAACACTGGGTGCGAGCCTGCGAGGTGGCAACACTGGGGTGCGAGCCTGCGAGGTGGCAACACTGGGTGCGAGCCTGCGAGGTGGCAACACTGGGTGCGAGCCTGCGAGGTGGCAACACTGGGTGCGAGCCTGCGAGGTGGCAACACTGGGTGCGAGCCTGCGAGGTGGCAACACTGGGTGCGAGCCTGCGAGGTGGCAACACTGGGTGCGAGCCTGCGAGGTGGCAACACTGGGTGCGAGCCTGCGAGGTGGCAACACTGGGTGCGAGCCTGCGAGGTGGCAACACTGGGTGCGAGCCTGCGAGGTGGCAACACTGGGTGCGAGCCTGCGAGGTGGCAACACTGGGTGCGAGCCTGCGAGGTGGCAACACTGGGTGCGAGCCTGCGAGGTGGCAACACTGGGTGCGAGCCTGCGAGGTGGCAACACTGGGTGCGAGCCTGCGAGGTGGCAACACTGGGTGCGAGCCTGCGAGGTGGCAACACTGGGTGCGAGCCTGCGAGGTGGCAACACTGGGTGCGAGCCTGCGAGGTGGCAACACTGGGTGCGAGCCTGCGAGGTGGCAACACTGGGTGCGAGCCTGCGAGGTGGCAACACTGGGTGCGAGCCTGCGAGGTGGCAACACTGGGTGCGAGCCTGCGAGGTGGCAACACTGGGTGCGAGCCTGCGAGGTGGCAACACTGGGTGCGAGCCTGCGAGGTGGCAACACTGGGTGCGAGCCTGCGAGGTGGCAACACTGGGTGCGAGCCTGCGAGGTGGCAACACTGGGTGCGAGCCTGCGAGGTGGCAACACTGGGTGCGAGCCTGCGAGGTGGCAACACTGGGTGCGAGCCTGCGAGGTGGCAACACTGGGTGCGAGCCTGCGAGGTGGCAACACTGGGTGCGAGCCTGCGAGGTGGCAACACTGGGTGCGAGCCTGCGAGGTGGCAACACTGGGTGCGAGCCTGCGAGGTGGCAACACTGGGTGCGAGCCTGCGAGGTGGCAACACTGGGTGCGAGCCTGCGAGGTGGCAACACTGGGTGCGAGCCTGCGAGGTGGCAACACTGGGTGCGAGCCTGCGAGGTGGCAACACTGGGTGCGAGCCTGCGAGGTGGCAACACTGGGTGCGAGCCTGCGAGGTGGCAACACTGGGTGCGAGCCTGCGAGGTGGCAACACTGGGTGCGAGCCTGCGAGGTGGCAACACTGGGTGCGAGCCTGCGAGGTGGCAACACTGGGTGCGAGCCTGCGAGGTGGCAACACTGGGTGCGAGCCTGCGAGGTGGCAACACTGGGTGCGAGCCTGCGAGGTGGCAACACTGGGTGCGAGCCTGCGAGGTGGCAACACTGGGTGCGAGCCTGCGAGGTGGCAACACTGGGTGCGAGCCTGCGAGGTGGCAACACTGGGTGCGAGCCTGCGAGGTGGCAACACTGGGTGCGAGCCTGCGAGGTGGCAACACTGGGTGCGAGCCTGCGAGGTGGCAACACTGGGTGCGAGCCTGCGAGGTGGCAACACTGGGTGCGAGCCTGCGAGGTGGCAACACTGGGTGCGAGCCTGCGAGGTGGCAACACTGGGTGCGAGCCTGCGAGGTGGCAACACTGGGTGCGAGCCTGCGAGGTGGCAACACTGGGTGCGAGCCTGCGAGGTGGCAACACTGGGTGCGAGCCTGCGAGGTGGCAACACTGGGTGCGAGCCTGCGAGGTGGCAACACTGGGTGCGAGCCTGCGAGGTGGCAACACTGGGTGCGAGCCTGCGAGGTGGCAACACTGGGTGCGAGCCTGCGAGGTGGCAACACTGGGTGCGAGCCTGCGAGGTGGCAACACTGGGTGCGAGCCTGCGAGGTGGCAACACTGGGTGCGAGCCTGCGAGGTGGCAACACTGGGTGCGAGCCTGCGAGGTGGCAACACTGGGTGCGAGCCTGCGAGGTGGCAACACTGGGTGCGAGCCTGCGAGGTGGCAACACTGGGTGCGAGCCTGCGAGGTGGCAACACTGGGTGCGAGCCTGCGAGGTGGCAACACTGGGTGCGAGCCTGCGAGGTGGCAACACTGGGTGCGAGCCTGCGAGGTGGCAACACTGGGTGCGAGCCTGCGAGGTGGCAACACTGGGTGCGAGCCTGCGAGGTGGCAACACTGGGTGCGAGCCTGCGAGGTGGCAACACTGGGTGCGAGCCTGCGAGGTGGCAACACTGGGTGCGAGCCTGCGAGGTGGCAACACTGGGTGCGAGCCTGCGAGGTGGCAACACTGGGTGCGAGCCTGCGAGGTGGCAACACTGGGTGCGAGCCTGCGAGGTGGCAACACTGGGTGCGAGCCTGCGAGGTGGCAACACTGGGTGCGAGCCTGCGAGGTGGCAACACTGGGTGCGAGCCTGCGAGGTGGCAACACTGGGTGCGAGCCTGCGAGGTGGCAACACTGGGTGCGAGCCTGCGAGGTGGCAACACTGGGTGCGAGCCTGCGAGGTGGCAACACTGGGTGCGAGCCTGCGAGGTGGCAACACTGGGTGCGAGCCTGCGAGGTGGCAACACTGGGTGCGAGCCTGCGAGGTGGCAACACTGGGTGCGAGCCTGCGAGGTGGCAACACTGGGTGCGAGCCTGCGAGGTGGCAACACTGGGTGCGAGCCTGCGAGGTGGCAACACTGGGTGCGAGCCTGCGAGGGTGGCAACACTGGGTGCGAGCCTGCGAGGTGGCAACACTGGGTGCGAGCCTGCGAGGTGGCAACACTGGGTGCGAGCCTGCGAGGTGGCAACACTGGGTGCGAGCCTGCGAGGTGGCAACACTGGGTGCGAGCCTGCGAGGTGGCAACACTGGGTGCGAGCCTGCGAGGTGGCAACACTGGGTGCGAGCCTGCGAGGTGGCAACACTGGGTGCGAGCCTGCGAGGTGGCAACACTGGGTGCGAGCCTGCGAGGTGGCAACACTGGGTGCGAGCCTGCGAGGTGGCAACACTGGGTGCGAGCCTGCGAGGTGGCAACACTGGGTGCGAGCCTGCGAGGTGGCAACACTGGGTGCGAGCCTGCGAGGTGGCAACACTGGGTGCGAGCCTGCGAGGTGGCAACACTGGGTGCGAGCCTGCGAGGTGGCAACACTGGGTGCGAGCCTGCGAGGTGGCAACACTGGGTGCGAGCCTGCGAGGTGGCAACACTGGGTGCGAGCCTGCGAGGTGGCAACACTGGGTGCGAGCCTGCGAGGTGGCAACACTGGGTGCGAGCCTGCGAGGTGGCAACACTGGGTGCGAGCCTGCGAGGTGGCAACACTGGGTGCGAGCCTGCGAGGTGGCAACACTGGGTGCGAGCCTGCGAGGTGGCAACACTGGGTGCGAGCCTGCGAGGTGGCAACACTGGGTGCGAGCCTGCGAGGTGGCAACACTGGGTGCGAGCCTGCGAGGTGGCAACACTGGGTGCGAGCCTGCGAGGTGGCAACACTGGGTGCGAGCCTGCGAGGTGGCAACACTGGGTGCGAGCCTGCGAGGTGGCAACACTGGGTGCGAGCCTGCGAGGTGGCAACACTGGGTGCGAGCCTGCGAGGTGGCAACACTGGGTGCGAGCCTGCGAGGTGGCAACACTGGGTGCGAGCCTGCGAGGTGGCAACACTGGGTGCGAGCCTGCGAGGTGGCAACACTGGGTGCGAGCCTGCGAGGTGGCAACACTGGGTGCGAGCCTGCGAGGTGGCAACACTGGGTGCGAGCCTGCGAGGTGGCAACACTGGGTGCGAGCCTGCGAGGTGGCAACACTGGGTGCGAGCCTGCGAGGTGGCAACACTGGGTGCGAGCCTGCGAGGTGGCAACACTGGGTGCGAGCCTGCGAGGTGGCAACACTGGGTGCGAGCCTGCGAGGTGGCAACACTGGGTGCGAGCCTGCGAGGTGGCAACACTGGGTGCGAGCCTGCGAGGTGGCAACACTGGGTGCGAGCCTGCGAGGTGGCAACACTGGGTGCGAGCCTGCGAGGTGGCAACACTGGGTGCGAGCCTGCGAGGTGGCAACACTGGGTGCGAGCCTGCGAGGTGGCAACACTGGGTGCGAGCCTGCGAGGTGGCAACACTGGGTGCGAGCCTGCGAGGTGGCAACACTGGGTGCGAGCCTGCGAGGTGGCAACACTGGGTGCGAGCCTGCGAGGTGGCAACACTGGGTGCGAGCCTGCGAGGTGGCAACACTGGGTGCGAGCCTGCGAGGTGGCAACACTGGGTGCGAGCCTGCGAGGTGGCAACACTGGGTGCGAGCCTGCGAGGTGGCAACACTGGGTGCGAGCCTGCGAGGTGGCAACACTGGGTGCGAGCCTGCGAGGTGGCAACACTGGGTGCGAGCCTGCGAGGTGGCAACACTGGGTGCGAGCCTGCGAGGTGGCAACACTGGGTGCGAGCCTGCGAGGTGGCAACACTGGGTGCGAGCCTGCGAGGTGGCAACACTGGGTGCGAGCCTGCGAGGTGGCAACACTGGGTGCGAGCCTGCGAGGTGGCAACACTGGGTGCGAGCCTGCGAGGTGGCAACACTGGGTGCGAGCCTGCGAGGTGGCAACACTGGGTGCGAGCCTGCGAGGTGGCAACACTGGGTGCGAGCCTGCGAGGTGGCAACACTGGGTGCGAGCCTGCGAGGTGGCAACACTGGGTGCGAGCCTGCGAGGTGGCAACACTGGGTGCGAGCCTGCGAGGTGGCAACACTGGGTGCGAGCCTGCGAGGTGGCAACACTGGGTGCGAGCCTGCGAGGTGGCAACACTGGGTGCGAGCCTGCGAGGTGGCAACACTGGGTGCGAGCCTGCGAGGTGGCAACACTGGGTGCGAGCCTGCGAGGTGGCAACACTGGGTGCGAGCCTGCGAGGTGGCAACACTGGGTGCGAGCCTGCGAGGTGGCAACACTGGGTGCGAGCCTGCGAGGTGGCAACACTGGGTGCGAGCCTGCGAGGTGGCAACACTGGGTGCGAGCCTGCGAGGTGGCAACACTGGGTGCGAGCCTGCGAGGTGGCAACACTGGGTGCGAGCCTGCGAGGTGGCAACACTGGGTGCGAGCCTGCGAGGTGGCAACACTGGGTGCGAGCCTGCGAGGTGGCAACACTGGGTGCGAGCCTGCGAGGTGGCAACACTGGGTGCGAGCCTGCGAGGTGGCAACACTGGGTGCGAGCCTGCGAGGTGGCAACACTGGGTGCGAGCCTGCGAGGTGGCAACACTGGGTGCGAGCCTGCGAGGTGGCAACACTGGGTGCGAGCCTGCGAGGTGGCAACACTGGGTGCGAGCCTGCGAGGTGGCAACACTGGGTGCGAGCCTGCGAGGTGGCAACACTGGGTGCGAGCCTGCGAGGTGGCAACACTGGGTGCGAGCCTGCGAGGTGGCAACACTGGGTGCGAGCCTGCGAGGTGGCAACACTGGGTGCGAGCCTGCGAGGTGGCAACACTGGGTGCGAGCCTGCGAGGTGGCAACACTGGGTGCGAGCCTGCGAGGTGGCAACACTGGGTGCGAGCCTGCGAGGTGGCAACACTGGGTGCGAGCCTGCGAGGTGGCAACACTGGGTGCGAGCCTGCGAGGTGGCAACACTGGGTGCGAGCCTGCGAGGTGGCAACACTGGGTGCGAGCCTGCGAGGTGGCAACACTGGGTGCGAGCCTGCGAGGTGGCAACACTGGGTGCGAGCCTGCGAGGTGGCAACACTGGGTGCGAGCCTGCGAGGTGGCAACACTGGGTGCGAGCCTGCGAGGTGGCAACACTGGGTGCGAGCCTGCGAGGTGGCAACACTGGGTGCGAGCCTGCGAGGTGGCAACACTGGGTGCGAGCCTGCGAGGTGGCAACACTGGGTGCGAGCCTGCGAGGTGGCAACACTGGGTGCGAGCCTGCGAGGTGGCAACACTGGGTGCGAGCCTGCGAGGTGGCAACACTGGGTGCGAGCCTGCGAGGTGGCAACACTGGGTGCGAGCCTGCGAGGTGGCAACACTGGGTGCGAGCCTGCGAGGTGGCAACACTGGGTGCGAGCCTGCGAGGTGGCAACACTGGGTGCGAGCCTGCGAGGTGGCAACACTGGGTGCGAGCCTGCGAGGTGGCAACACTGGGTGCGAGCCTGCGAGGTGGCAACACTGGGTGCGAGCCTGCGAGGTGGCAACACTGGGTGCGAGCCTGCGAGGTGGCAACACTGGGTGCGAGCCTGCGAGGTGGCAACACTGGGTGCGAGCCTGCGAGGTGGCAACACTGGGTGCGAGCCTGCGAGGTGGCAACACTGGGTGCGAGCCTGCGAGGTGGCAACACTGGGTGCGAGCCTGCGAGGTGGCAACACTGGGTGCGAGCCTGCGAGGTGGCAACACTGGGTGCGAGCCTGCGAGGTGGCAACACTGGGTGCGAGCCTGCGAGGTGGCAACACTGGGTGCGAGCCTGCGAGGTGGCAACACTGGGTGCGAGCCTGCGAGGTGGCAACACTGGGTGCGAGCCTGCGAGGTGGCAACACTGGGTGCGAGCCTGCGAGGTGGCAACACTGGGTGCGAGCCTGCGAGGTGGCAACACTGGGTGCGAGCCTGCGAGGTGGCAACACTGGGTGCGAGCCTGCGAGGTGGCAACACTGGGTGCGAGCCTGCGAGGTGGCAACACTGGGTGCGAGCCTGCGAGGTGGCAACACTGGGTGCGAGCCTGCGAGGTGGCAACACTGGGTGCGAGCCTGCGAGGTGGCAACACTGGGTGCGAGCCTGCGAGGTGGCAACACTGGGTGCGAGCCTGCGAGGTGGCAACACTGGGTGCGAGCCTGCGAGGTGGCAACACTGGGTGCGAGCCTGCGAGGTGGCAACACTGGGTGCGAGCCTGCGAGGTGGCAACACTGGGTGCGAGCCTGCGAGGTGGCAACACTGGGTGCGAGCCTGCGAGGTGGCAACACTGGGTGCGAGCCTGCGAGGTGGCAACACTGGGTGCGAGCCTGCGAGGTGGCAACACTGGGTGCGAGCCTGCGAGGTGGCAACACTGGGTGCGAGCCTGCGAGGTGGCAACACTGGGTGCGAGCCTGCGAGGTGGCAACACTGGGTGCGAGCCTGCGAGGTGGCAACACTGGGTGCGAGCCTGCGAGGTGGCAACACTGGGTGCGAGCCTGCGAGGTGGCAACACTGGGTGCGAGCCTGCGAGGTGGCAACACTGGGTGCGAGCCTGCGAGGTGGCAACACTGGGTGCGAGCCTGCGAGGTGGCAACACTGGGTGCGAGCCTGCGAGGTGGCAACACTGGGTGCGAGCCTGCGAGGTGGCAACACTGGGTGCGAGCCTGCGAGGTGGCAACACTGGGTGCGAGCCTGCGAGGTGGCAACACTGGGTGCGAGCCTGCGAGGTGGCAACACTGGGTGCGAGCCTGCGAGGTGGCAACACTGGGTGCGAGCCTGCGAGGTGGCAACACTGGGTGCGAGCCTGCGAGGTGGCAACACTGGGTGCGAGCCTGCGAGGTGGCAACACTGGGTGCGAGCCTGCGAGGTGGCAACACTGGGTGCGAGCCTGCGAGGTGGCAACACTGGGTGCGAGCCTGCGAGGTGGCAACACTGGGTGCGAGCCTGCGAGGTGGCAACACTGGGTGCGAGCCTGCGAGGTGGCAACACTGGGTGCGAGCCTGCGAGGTGGCAACACTGGGTGCGAGCCTGCGAGGTGGCAACACTGGGTGCGAGCCTGCGAGGTGGCAACACTGGGTGCGAGCCTGCGAGGTGGCAACACTGGGTGCGAGCCTGCGAGGTGGCAACACTGGGTGCGAGCCTGCGAGGTGGCAACACTGGGTGCGAGCCTGCGAGGTGGCAACACTGGGTGCGAGCCTGCGAGGTGGCAACACTGGGTGCGAGCCTGCGAGGTGGCAACACTGGGTGCGAGCCTGCGAGGTGGCAACACTGGGTGCGAGCCTGCGAGGTGGCAACACTGGGTGCGAGCCTGCGAGGTGGCAACACTGGGTGCGAGCCTGCGAGGTGGCAACACTGGGTGCGAGCCTGCGAGGTGGCAACACTGGGTGCGAGCCTGCGAGGTGGCAACACTGGGTGCGAGCCTGCGAGGTGGCAACACTGGGTGCGAGCCTGCGAGGTGGCAACACTGGGTGCGAGCCTGCGAGGTGGCAACACTGGGTGCGAGCCTGCGAGGTGGCAACACTGGGTGCGAGCCTGCGAGGTGGCAACACTGGGTGCGAGCCTGCGAGGTGGCAACACTGGGTGCGAGCCTGCGAGGTGGCAACACTGGGTGCGAGCCTGCGAGGTGGAGTGGTAACATGCGGGGTGCGTCTGATGGTGACTTGACAACACACACAGATAGCAGCCGAGAGCATGATTGCATGCACAGTGTCTCACCGGCAGCAGCAGCCCCCACGTGGATGGCGTCATATGGCCCCGCCTAAGGGTACCCCTCCCGCCCATCGGGGTTGACTTTGAGTCGACTCAAAGGCAATGCAGAGCGCAAGAGCATGTACAATGCCAGCAGAGAGTCTCACCAGGAGCAGCAGCCCCCACGTGGATGGCGTCATATGGCCCCGCCTCAGGGTAACCCTCCCGCCCATCCGCCTCTGAGGACAGGAGGAAGGAGGGATGGGTGAGATGGTAGGAGGGATGAGGGGGGTGAGACGAGAAGAGGGATGGGTGAGATGGGAGGAGGAATGGGTAAGATGCGGAATGATAGCAGAGCTGTGCTAGGACTAGAGGAAAGAGGCTGTGCGTGTGTGGAAGGGAGGAAAGTAGGGAAGAGGTGGACAAGAAGGAAGAATCACAAGGGACGCTTTGAGACTCATTCTCAGCTTTGACCAAAGAAAAACGTGGTACGTGGGGACGGGGAGGGTGGCACGGGGTGTGAAGAACAGGGACGCAGCAGCAGCAGGATGAAGCAGAGGAACAGGACAGCAAAGAAAGAAAGAAAAACAAATAGTGCCCACTCCATTTCCTCCTTCCCAACCCCTTCCCCCAACACCTTGCCCTTCTCCCAACTGCCCCCCTCCCCCCCCCCCCCCCCCCCCCCCCTCCGACATTTCCCCCTCGAAACCCCACCATGCCAACCAACCGTGTATCGACAGCAGTCCGCCGTCCATCAGTTCTGCCGCCCGGCCGGCCTTCACTGCCGCCCGGGATCGCTCCACGAGCTCCGGGATGTGCTCCACGCCCACCGCCCGCCCCGTGGGGCCCACCAATAGCGCCATGACAGCTGTCAGGTAGCCCGAGCCCGACCCCACGTCCAGCACGCGGTTACCGGGTTGCAGATGATTCTCTAGAAAGGCGAGGCAGTAGCCGTGCTGGTGGGGGAAAGGAAGGGCCAGGGTTGAAGGGGATGCGTGGGAGGAGGAGGGGAGGGGTTGGGGGAGATGGCGGATGGTTAGGGGTGATGGGGGTGGTGAGGAGGGGAATTTGAAGGGCGAAGGAGGAAGTGAGGTGACCATTACTCGTAGCCCGACCACACGTCCAGAACGCGGTTACCTGGTTACAGGTGATTCTAGAAAGGCGAGGCAGCAGCTGTGCTGGTGGCGGGTGGCGATGGTGATATGGTTGCATCTAAGAGGGACCGAAAAGCGAGCAAGGTTTCGCACCGGCATTCAGAATGGTTACGTACCATGTGAGGTGCCGATATGGTGACGTTGAAACCTGCTCATGCACGGTGAATGCCATCATGTCGTGCCACATGCCATGCCACATGCCATGCCATGCCACAGGTCACATGCCATGCCACAGGTAAAATGCCATGCCCACACATGCAACACAGGCCACATGTCATGCCACATCCCATGCCATGCCACAGTGCACACGCCACAAAAGCCCATGAAGGATCATGGAGACATAAGGATGCGGTAACAATCGTCAGCCATCCCATGTGAGCCATACTTCACAAGAGCCCTTATCATATTCACCGATGGGCTGGGGAACATTGTCATAAGCTATTGACTTGGTCAACGCACCTATGGGTTGTGGAGAGTTGTCATATGGTCAACTCACCTATGGGTTGTGGAGAGTTGTCATATGGTCAACTCACCTATGGGTTGTGGGGAGTCTTCATAGGCCGTTGACTTGGTCAACGCACCTATGGGTTGTGGAGAGTCGTCATAGGCCGTTGACTTGGTCAACACGTAGTCAGCGCGGTCAATCTGCTTCATGGCCTCCGCGATGCGTTCTGATTGGACAATTCCACTGCCTGGAAGGAAGCATGGACAGGGAGAGGCAGGCGTAGTGTAGTTGGATGGATCGACGGCAGAGGAAGGGAAAGTGAAAAAGAGCAAACCGAAGCTTTGCTAGCATGAATGTCAGAATGGATGTCAGCATGCATGCAAGCATGGATGTCAGAAAAAAATATCAGCATGCGCGTAATGATGAATCTCAGAAAGAATCCCAGTGTGCATGTAAGCATGCATAATTGTGGAAGAAATTCTCTGAAAGACCGACTTCAATGTCAAATCGAACATGGGAGTGATTATAGTACATGGTCATATGCATCACAAAGCATCCGACTATTCACGCACGGAGCAACTTATCGACCATCTCGCCGTTACTATCGCCATGGCACGTCCAGCTCATGCTTTCACTCCGCCTCACGCGCTCCCAGAACTCCGAATCCTTCTCTCCTCTCTTCCCTATCACCGTTTCCTCCCTCTCGTGTCGCGATCGCCGGCTCCGGAGTATCCGTTTCCCCCACGCTGCCACTCTTGCCAGAATGATAGTTGTCGCTATGCACCCCGCCTTTCGCGGGGCACGATGGGGAAGCGCGAACGAAGAGCGAGCGGTCTGAGAAGAGAATAGAGGCGACGGTGACGGCGAGCGCGGGTAGTGAGCGAAAGGAGCGGCGGAAATGGTGCCGGGAGATGCGGGACGAAGCGATTGAAACTGTCGAAATCATTCAGAAGCTCGTCGCTGATTATTAAAAAGAAAACTCTACTTTAGACGCTACCACTAAAAACTCTAATTTTCATCAAGAATCTAAGCTTGCCAAAAACGCAATGCGATCAGCAACTAAAATTCGAGGAGAAATAAAAATGCAGAAACATGTATGCATGACAATGGCTCCCATGTGAAAATGAAAACAAGACTGGAATGCGAAACTACAGACTAGGGCGTGTTCACATTTACCCATAATATCCCGTTTGACTTCCCAATCTCAGAATGGGTTGTTTCGCAATGTGTGCACTCCACACCATGCATCGTCGTCGTGTCGTGCAGCCACTAGCAATGGCTAGGTGTGCAGAGCCCAGAGCCAATCACATGGACCCAACGCTTGACTCTCCTGCATGCTTCGTCTGCCATCTCTCGCAACGAAATCGGGCCCGCACAGTCACAGCTGACGAAAACATTTCATTTGCTGTTACCGTGTCGCATTTAGTTCGTGCAAGCGATCCAGTGTTCGCTGTCCCTGGCAGTCAGTCATAACCACTGCCAGAGGGATAGCTAGAGAGATGGCTATTGGAGAGAGAAACCATTGCTGTTGTATCAGTGGGTCGTCAGTCATCGCTATTAGATGCCGTGCTCCGCAAGCTTCTTCATTCCGTCAATTTCACGTTTTGGCGATTGTAGATAAGTCGCTTGCATTTCGCTCCTAGTACAGACCCGTCAGGCTCTCTCAACTTTTTCCGGAATTTCTAATCTTGTTACTTCAAACAATCTCCATCGCGAGAGCAGCATTAGCTGGCGATTCACCCGACCGTTACGCAGTCCAGCCATAAACAGGGTTGCTCAGCCGACACCTTTCGTAATATCTGAGCTCCAGCATCTCAGTCGAAGCGTTAGGGGAAATGGATCGGGCAAGCCGGGAAGACGGCACAGATCCGTCAGCGAATTTCGTCGACGGGATTCACGAAAGGCTAGGCGAAGTTAGCGAAATGGAATTGGCGGAACCGACCGAACCGGACGATGGGGAAGCCGCAAGGGTCCGGGGAGTGGCGGAAGAGGCGCGAGAGGCGGCGCAAGAGGTGGCGGAAGAGGCGCGAGAGGAGCGAGAGTTGGCGCGCGAGTTGCGAGAGTTGGCGCGAGAGGCGGAAGAGGAGCGGGAATTGGCGGGAGAGGAGCGCGAGTTGGAGCAAGAGGAGCGAGAGGTGGAGCGAGAGGAGCGAGAGTTGGAGCGAGAGGAGCGAGAGGTGGCGCGAGAGGTGCGAGAGTTGGAGCGAGAGGTGCGAGAGAGGCGAGAGGCGGTGCGAGAGGCGCGAGAGAGGCGAGAGGCGGTGCGAGAGGCGCTAGCAGCGGTTACAGAAGGCGGTGCTCGACCGACACAGGAGGTGGTGAATCTGATGATCTACCGTGCCGTGAACCCCATGAACGAGGATAATGATGATGATGACTCGTCGTTGGACGACCATGGCGATAGTGGCGACGACAGTGAGGAGGAGGAGGACGAGGAGGCTAATAACGAGGATATGGAGGCGATGGAAGCGAGGGCTGCGAGGGATGCGAGGGATGCGGAGATGGCGGAGGAAGGGGAGATTGTTATGACTGACGAAGGTGATATGCTCGACGACGATACAGACGACGATGATATTGACGAGGATGATGATGATGATGACTCGGACGACGATAGCGAGAATGATTATAACGAGTTCGAGGACCCGCACTATAACGAGCGAAGGAGATCGGTGCTGAGGGTCGCGTCCGCGATAGCAGCAGCTCCAGTAGACGACTGGGGCGCGGTGAAGGGCGCGGAGGTGCACGAGGAGGCAAAGTACCTTCTGGATAACACCTGCTCCACATACCGCCTGCCCTCGGGGGTGTGCCACCACCAGTAAGCCCCTAACCCCGACTAGCAGCAGTAAGCTCCTTATCCCTGACCTGACCAGGCTGACCTCCCCCAGTATGCTTCTGACCTTAGTTAGCAGCAGTGGGATCGTAATCCCACGCTCCGACTACTATCTATCCGTGGCTTGCTGCTTGCTCCTGCTCGCTCCTGCTCATGCATGTTGCTGTCTGGCCTATTGGCAGCCCCCCCCGGTCCCTACTTTCCTCGAATCATCCATCCTCCCATCCTCCCATCCCTCATCCTCCCCATCCCCTCCTCCCTCATCCTCCCCATCTTCGACTCTTCCCCTTCCCGTACGTTCCGCAGGTGCTGCGACACTCTAGTGGCAGGCCCTGGCCCTGTGGCCTCCGCATATGCCGCACATAGCTCTGCCCGGGACGATGCAGCACCAGCACCACCATCACTCTCCCACTCTCCTTCCTCCGCCCCTTCCTCCTCCGCCGCCCCCCCACCGACCCCGCCGTTTTCCCAAGAGATCATATGCACGGTGCAGCGGATGGTCACGCTCTACAGCACGGCGCGGCGGGAGGTGGTGGCGGTGACGTCGCTGCCTTCAGAGCCTTACAGCGTTGACCGCTTTGGAGATGTGGTGGTTGCGGGGTGCTATGGGACCGTCTGCTTCTACCTCATCCGGCGGGAGGTGGCGAAGAAAACAGGTGCGTTTTGTGTCGTCATGTAAAAAAAACGCCCTGTTCATTCACCTGGGAGGTGAGGTGATATGCACGGTGCAGCACATGGTCACGCTCTGCAGCACGGCATGTAATGAGTCGAGTTTTGAGTCGACTCAAAACTCGACTCACAGTGCAGCGCATGGTCGCCCTCTACAGCACGGCGCGGCGCGGAGGGAAGTGGTGGCGGTGACGTCGCTGCCGTCGGAGCCCTACAGCGTTGACAGATTTGGAGACGTCGTTGTCGCTGGGTGCTACGGGACTGTCTGCCTCTACCTCATTTGCAGGAAGCTCGTAAAAAAGACAGGTACGTGCACCCAGTCGCCTCACGGGCCACGGCAGAGGATGGTGGCGGTGTATCGCTGCCCTCGGAGCCCTACAGCGTTGTGGCAGGGTGCTATGGTGCCGTGTGCCTCTACCTCATTCGCAGGGAGTTGGTCAGGAAGACAGGTGGGTTATGTGTGCTCACGTGATTGCGGCCGCCTGCCACATAATCACGGGTTATTATGCGACCATCTGCCTGCACCTACCTCGTTTGCTGTCGACCAAGTGATATTTTCTGGTGCACTTCACAACCTACTCATTGGCCTTCATTCTCCCTCCCTCCCTCCCTCCCTCCATCCATCCCTCCCACCCTCATTCTCTCCCTCTCTCATTCCCTCCCTCCCTCTATCCCTCCCCCCTTCTTCCCTCCACAGCTGGTTGGACCAAGGACGGCGCTCCAGAGCGCACATCCCACCCCGCCCACCACCATCACCACCACTACCAACCACAGCAGCAGCAGAGTGGCATCAAGGGCGCAGCAGGGGCAGCAGTGGCAGAGGAGGAGGAGGAGGAGGAGGAGGAGGAGAGGGTGTGGTTTGAGGCGGCAGGGATGGTGGGGGGGTTCGAGAGCAGTCTGATTGGCTCCTCTATGTGTAACTCTGTGCGGTTCGGCACAGTTGGTAACTGGGTGCGTGGGTGGGGGGGATGGTTGGATCTCGGGGGAGCATAGGTGAGGGGGCTGGTGGGAGGGAAGCAAGGGCAGGGATAGTGGTGGGGGGGTTCGAGAGCAGTCTGATTGGCTCCTCTATGTGTAACTCTGTGCGGTTCGGCACCGTTGGCAACTGGGTGCGTGGGGGGAAGGGGGTCAGGGGGAAGAAGTATGTGGGGGGGAAGAGGGTGTGGGGAAGGATAAAGGAAGGCTCCATGAGAATCCAGGGCCAGGGGGGTGAGGAGGCCTTTGAGAGCAATCTTTTTTTCTTCTTCTTCTTCTTCTTCTTCTTCTTCTTCTTCTTTCTTTTTTTCTTTCTTTCTTTCAAGGCGTATCGTATGTCCTTTCCCCTTTTATTTGTTTGAGCCTTCAGGTGCGCATGCTAGTGGCCCATCAGAACGGCTACCTCTACGTCTTCACACTGCTCCCTACCCTTTCTTATTATCCCCTACCCACCTTCCCCCCCTTCCCGTCCCCCTCCGCCCCCATCAACAGGTGCGCATGCTAGTGGCCCATCAGAACGGCTACCTCTACGTCTTCACGCTGCCGCCGCCCTTCCAGCCAGCCACATCGCGCCACGTGGGCCGATCTGATTGGGTGTTTAGCGCCCAGAGCCTCGAAGACGCTCGGCAGATGGCCCTGGAGTCTCGGTGCCGAACCTCCCAAGAAGGTTCGGAGAGCGGCGAGCCTGGGAAGGAGGTAGGAGAAGGAACCAGGCGTGCAGCTGCTGCTGGTGGTGCCCCAGATCCTGCTGCTACAGCCGCTGCCGCTGCTACAACCGCTGCTGCTGCTGCTACAGCCGCTGTCACGGCTTATGGTGGGGGCAGTGCAGGGCTGGATTTGAGCATGAGTGCTGCGGAGGGGAGCGAAGGCAGAGCAGCTTCAGCCACGGCTGCTGCAGTGGCGTCGGCAGCAGCAGCAGCAGCGGTGCCGGCACACTACCCTGCGGGGTCGGTGCCTCTGAATGTGAAGATCAACCTGCGGGATCTCACCACTGTTGACATGCCGTGAGTGGGCAGACAGGCCGTGAGTGGGCATGGTGTTAGTGTTATGCCCTTTTCTCGTTGACCCTATTTTTGCCTCGTCATTTCCTCATTTCCGAACACTCCCACCCACCTTCTCCCAACCACCCTCCAGCACATCGGCGCCGGTGACCATTCGATCGGCCCCAGCAGGGGGGTTGGTGCGCACGTCTGCACGCCTCGTGAACGCCATTGGCCCCTTCCCCATGCCACTCAACTTCGCCCTCGTCTCGCCCAACGGGGAGTGGATCGCCGTTATCGGGGACCTTGCTGCTGTGAGTGCTCCTCATCTTTTGAGTCACCTCAAACAATAGATTTCGGGTCGCCGCACGCTTTTCCCCGTGTCCCCTTTCCTCCCTCACCATACCTGCGTCTTACCATCCTGTTGCTGAGCTGCCTTGTTCTCTTTCTCCTCGTCCATGCCTGTTTCCTCGTCCTCTTGATCCCTCATGCTTCACTTCACTCCACACCCACCTCCAAATCTCTTGAAGCCACAGTGCTCCCGCCCCATCCCCTTTCACCACGTCGGTCCACTCCACTGGACCCCACGATTTGCTTCAGCATGAATAAGAGTCAGTTTGTGAGGGGCTGCAAAAACCTCTTGAAGCCCTCTTGAAATTTTCTGAAATCTCTTGAAACTTCTTTTAAATTTCTTGAAACCTCTTGAAACCCCCCCCCCCCCCCCCCTCTCTCTGCAGGTGTGTGTCTTGGATCGGGCATCTGGGTTCAGAGTGAGTGGGATGGCTAGCAGGCGGATTCCAGTGGCCTCTAGGAACACCAGGGGCGCCGCCCACGGATGCCAGGTCAGCTTATAACGAGTGCACTCATAAGTCTGATTTTTTTTTTTTTTTTTTTTTTTTTTTTTGCACTTCGTGTATTAATGCATTCTCACCCGCTCACTCACTCGCTCTCTATCTCCTCCTGACCCAACATTGGAACGCTGTCTTTCTCCCTTACCAGTACCTGGCTTGGAACCCTTCATCCTCGTTACTAGCAGTCTCCAGCGACTCGCTTAAAGCCGTGTACGTGTGGGGCGTGTCCCGCATCTCCCAACCTCGTGCATCCGAGGCAGCAGCAGAACCATCACCATCAAAAGCACGCCCATTCACCAGAGCATCAGCAGCAGCAGCAGCAGCAGCAGCAGCAGTGGCAGCGGCAGCACAGCAGTTACCATCAGGAACAGCATCATCACGATCAGCGGAGCCAGCAGCAGCGCCAGCAGTGCAGTTGATGCCCCTGGTGAAACTGGATCAAGCCTTCCAGTCGCCCCCCCTCGCCCTGCAATTTGACTGCTTCAACCCGCACCTGCTGCTGGTTGTAGAGCGGTGCAGTGCGGTGCACGCTGTGGACGTGCGAGCACCGCATGCCAGGCAGCAGATTCAAGTGGTGAGCACCCTTTTTCTCCTCCTCCTGTCGCTTTCTTCCTCTTACCTCTTACTCCTCGTGTTATGAGGCGATTTTCTAGTCGAATGAAAAATCGCCTCATCACTATTAGTGAGCACCGTCTTTCTCCTCCTCCTCCTTTCTCTCCTCTCCCTTTCTCTCCCCGTCCTTCCCCTCCTCCATTCTCTCCTCCTCTCTCCTCCTCTCTGTCCTCTTTCATCTCTCACCATCACACCTCTCTCCTTCTCCCGCCTCTCTCGTTGTGTCTCTCCTATGCAGCACCGCCAACCCTCATCGGAAGCAGAGGAGCAGAGGGAGCAGAGGGAGGACGCAAGGGAGGATGGCCGCTGGGTAGTGGCTCTTGAGGGCCTTCCCCCCACCGCTATGCCTCATGCTGCCCCTCTCTCACCTTCACCTCTCACCTTCCTCTCTCTCTCCGTCTCCCCTCTCTCTCCTTGTGGCTCCCATATGCAGCACCGCCAACCCTCATCACAAGAAGAGGAGCAGAGGCAGCAGAGGGAGGAGGCAAGGGAGGATGGCCGTTGGGTAGTGGCTCTCGAGGGTCTTCCCACCACCGCTGTGCCTCATGCTGCTGCTGCCGCTGCTGCTCGTGCTGCCCATGCTGCTGATGCTGCCACTGCCGCTGCTGCTCGTGCTGCCAATGCTGCTGATGCTGCTACTGCCGCTGCTGCTCGTGCTGCTAATGCTGGTGATGCTGCTACTGCCGCCGCTGCTCGTGCTGCTGCTGGTGCTGCTGGTGCTGCTCCTGCTGCTGGCGGCACTCGTGCTGCTGCTGGTGCTGCTGCCGCCGCTGCTGGGGCTGCGGCCGCCGCCGCTGGGGCTGTTTCCGCTGGTGCGGGTGCCGCTCGTGCTGCTGATGGTGCTGGCCGTGCTGCTGGTGCTGCAGTGGCTGCTCGTGCGACAGTGGGGGGAGTGGTGGGGGGCATGGTGGACGCAGCACAGGACCAGCTGAGGCGCCGGCTGCACCAGCTGGAGCAGCTGTTGCAGCGCCGCAACCAGCCGCCTGTCAGCGACGTGGTGGGGCTGGCAGCTTACTTCCATCCGGGGGTGCTTGTCTCCACAGAAACCACCGTCTTCCAGGTGAGCGTGAGCGTTGCTGGTACTGGGATGCCTTGAGCCGGCATGTCTTGAGTGGGATGCAGCGCAACCAGCCGCCTGTCAGCAAGCTGGTGGGTCTGGCAGCTTACTTCCATCCGGGGGTGCTTGTCTCCACAGAAACCACCGTCTTCCAGGTGAGCGTGAGCGTTGCTGGTACTGGGATGCCTTGAGCCGGCATGTCTTGAGTGGGATGCAGCGCAACCAGCCGCCTGTCAGCAAGGTGGTGGGTCTGGCAGCTTACTTCCATCCGGGGGTGCTTGTCTCCACAGAAACCACCGTCTTCCAGGTGAGCGTGAGCGTTGCTGGTACTGGGATGCCTTGAGCCGGCATGTCTTGAGTGGGATGCAGCGCAACCAGCCGCCTGTCAGCAAGGTGGTGGGTCTGGCAGCTTACTTCCATCCGGGGGTGCTTGTCTCCACAGAAACCACCGTCTTCCAGGTGAGCGTGAGCGTTGCTGGTACTGGGATGCCTTGAGCCGGCATGTCTTGAGTGGGATGCAGCGCAACCAGCCGCCTGTCAGCAAGGTGGTGGGTCTGGCAGCTTACTTCCATCCGGGGGTGCTTGTCTCCACTGAAACCACCGTCTTCCAGGTGAGCGTGAGCGTTGCTGGTACTGGGATGCCTTGAGCCGGCATGTCTTGAGTGGGATGCAGCGCAACCAGCCGCCTGTCAGCAAGGTGGTGGGTCTGGCAGCTTACTTCCATCCGGGGGTGCTTGTCTCCACTGAAACCACCGTCTTCCAGGTGAGCGTGAGCGTTGCTGGTACTGGGATGCCTTGAGCCGGCATGTCTTGAGTGGGATGCAGCGCAACCAGCCGCCTGTCAGCAAGGTGGTGGGTCTGGCACCCTACCACCACCCTGGGGTGCTTGTTTCCTTGAAAACCACTGCCTTCCAGGTGAAGTTTCGCCAAGCGTTCTCATTTAATACCTTGTTTTCCCTATCCCCGCTGTCTCCTGCTCCTACTACTGCCCGCCGCCCTTCTCGTTGCCCTCCTCCCTTCCGATCACCCCTTGGCTGCAGTATCCGCGCATGGGTGCCTGGACGCCTGCCTCTCACCACCTTTATCCCAAGCGTTTCAGGGTGAGTGCAGTTCCATGCGTCGAGACGTCTCAGCATTGCTCTCGTGCTGGCTCTAGTCGAGATGGGAACAATGTTTCTGTTGCTCAGTTGGACGCCTGTGCATGCCTGTCTTTGCTCCTATTACCCAGTCAGATACACCCATGCCTGTCTCGGTTGCACTTTTACGATGACCCGATCCCCATTCGTCCGTTCTTTAATTCCATACGCTATTCCCCGCATTCCCATCCGTTTATTCCTTATTGTAATCATTTATCCTTGTGCACACCTCTCCACCCATCCGCACTCCTCGTCAACCAACCTGGACCGCAGGAGGTGGTACGGCTGCTGCTGTTGGGGCACTACTCTACCGGGCAGTGGGATTACGGTGCTGCTGCCGACGACCACAGCAGCCAGTCACAGTCTGACAGCAGGTGAGAGTGCTTCGCTCAGGCCCATGATATGGACAGTTCCTTCAGCTAGGTATCATTAGTCATGCTTCAGCATCTGTTCATGCATGCTGCATTGATTGCCACTACATTCTGCTGCGGTTAAAAGTTGTTAATTTTTTTGTGTTCCTTCTTTCTCTATTTCCCTGGTTCAGGTACCTATGGCTGCTTCCCCTGGAAGTGTTGCTTCAGGTCATTGGACATGCAGCTACACCACTTTCTGTGTGGATTAGTGATGCATAAACCACGTTGTTAGAAGGATTTTTTGTGACATGGGTTATCAACGTTACACTAGCTCAGTTACGGTATGTACAGTAGGGTGCAGCAAGATCTATGTACAAGTTGCATTGAATAAAGCATAGCCTTCATGACGAGCCCATTACGCAAGAACATATCATGCCACGAAACCACTTTCATGTGAGACGAAATGACAAAACTAGAGATTCCCTTACTTACATACGGTACACAAACATAAGTGACAAAAAGGCAAAGCTTTAGCCCACCAGAAAATCATACACCTCAGCTATAGCCCCTCGCGCCATTACCAGCCATCTCCAGTTGCTGTCTGCAACCATGCACTCGCTACTGTCCCTGTCCCGGTTTCTATTACTATCACCCTCACGGTCATCACCACTGCTGCCAGCGTTGCCACCATTTTCATCACTAGCAGCAGAGGCACTGGATGAGAGAGCAGCAGTGGCAGGAGAGGCACTGGCTGAGAGAGGATGCATGACTGGATGGTGAGGCAGATAAACCAGGTCTTGCTGGGACTGCTGTGGAGGGTGAATGGTAGTTATGGGGCCTTGGGACCAGGCTCGTCTTGGCGCTACTTGGTTGGAGGCCAACGGAGCTGTAACCGTCTCAGATGAAACCGCGTGACATGAAACGGCGTCAGATGTAACGTCATCAGCTGTAAGGCGGTGGGATGTAACGGTGTGGTGGGTGCATTGAGAGGCGGTCCAGAGGGCAATGGCCCCGTCAGCTCTCAGCACGAGAGCAGTGGCAGAGGAGGGGGCGATGCAGGGCTGTTGAGAGTCAAAGTGAAGCACCTCGGTGAATGGGGGATTGTTCTGGAGGAGCCAGGGATGGAAGGGAGGTAGGGAACAATCTGGGAGTGCAGGCAAGAGAGCAGTGGCAAAGGAGGGGGTGACGCAGGGCAGCTGAGGATTTTGTGCGGCACCTCGGTGAACGGGGAAGGGCCCTGGAGGAATTGTGGGGGGGGGAAGGGAGAAGAATGTAGGAGTGCAAGCAAGCAGGAAAGCACACAACAATGGAGGTATGAAAGTGAAATGCAATGGAGAGCAGGAATGATGTAGGCATGAAATGCTGAAAAGTTCTGCAAGGGACGCACCTGGGGGAGGAGGGCGCACCTGGGGAAGGAGGGCGGCCTCATCAGAAGAATCCACGTCCCAAACCCGAGCAAAGATGCCCTCGGGGACGTCATGGTGAGTGTCTGTCACAGTCTGGGGAGATTGAGGAGGGGAAGGTGACAGTGGAAACGATGATGACAGGGAACACAAGAGTGAAAAGGTGTTGCGTTGTCGCTCGCCCACATCTACAGTAAGTTTTACTTCAGGTTCAGTTGTTGTTCATTTTCTGGTGGAGTCGTGAACAAAACACACCCTAATTTTGGGTGAGGTTTAAACCCACCCTGCAATATGTTTTGTATCTCTACAATTCCTATTTACCTTTTCTCTCACCACCTAACTTCCATGTCTCCTAGCCTAGGTTACGTACCTTTGAGTAGAAAGGCATGGAAATACATAAGTAGACGTGAACACTACACATGAACAGTGGGCAAGAACAGTAGGCATGGACAGCAGACACGAACAAGGGATGCTTACAGTGAGGCAGAAAATCCGTTCGTTGAGGGAAAATTGCTGCATGTCCTCCCATTGATCGATTCTCAATGAAAGCGACGGCTGTCGGTTGCTCTCTCCTCCTCCCTTCATTCCTACTCCGCTTCCTCTCCTCCTTCCACCTCCACCTTCCCCTCTTCCCGCCGCTCCTCTATCCAAGTCATAAACAATGATCAACCCCTGAGTCGTGCCAATCAGCAGCCGCCAGCTGTACCGCTCTGAGTGGCTGAAGGCAACATCTGAGATAGGATCCCCAACTTGACAAGGATGATAAATGTCCACGAGAGTGTGACGAGAGAGAATGTGCTGCAAACGAATGATGCATGGGGAGCGGCACACTCTCCTGCCTGACGCCTCAGCAGGCGCAGCAGCAGACTCTGAAGCCTCAGCAGCAGCTCGAGCAGTGCTCTGTGCTGCACCCTGTCGCTGCTGCTGTCTGCTCCTCTGCTCCCGTGATGCACCTGCCCTGATGCTCCCCTGTCCATCCTGATTGACACCTCCTCCCCTGATGCGACGAGGCTCCTCCTCTGCGCACCACGTAGCTGCTGCCCACAGCGGAATCCGCCCAATGATCATTGGACTGTCGAGATTTGCAAAGGGTGAGGGTGGCTCCACGCGCTCATTGCCAGGCTGAAGCTCGGCTGGAGGGTGAGTGTGGGGCACTACAGAAGCAATCACAACGGTCCATGGATCGAAGGCTAAAGCACGATAATACACACACTGCATACTAGCCCATCCCGTGCCGTGCTGTGGTATCTCTGTTGACTGCTGCTGACCGTGCATTGACTGCTGTTGACCATGCATTGACTGCTGTTGACCATGCATTGACTGGCAACCAGCAGAGCCGAATTCCCAGAGGCGCATGATATAGTCATTGTCTCTTATGCCACTCCGCTCCTCCACCAGCAGATACCGAGGCCGATGGCATGCCATGTCTCCCTTGCACGAGCGAGGATTATTAGCAACACCTCCCCTGAACCGACAAGGGGTTGGCATGACTCGCTGCTTCTTGGAACAGTGGGATTGAGTCGTTTCCTCTCTGCCCCTCAGCCCCTCACCCTCCCACCACTCCCGTGGCCCTCTCCTTCCCCTCCTTGGCTTCCACCCCACCTGCTCCGCCTCCCCCTCCTCGCCCTCCCCTCCCTCCCCTCCCTCCCCTCCCTCCCCTCCCTCTCCTCCCTCCGTATCCCCCTCGCCCCTTCCCACTCTCTCCAGGTCTTCCCACAGCTGCTGCTCTCCCATCGCCCCCTGCACAAACCAGAGCGAGCAGCAAGGGGACATGGCAAGCACGACGGCAACACATGTGCCTCCGATGCCCCGGGGCTCTGCAGTGCCTCTTGCTGGCAGTGCCTCAGCCGCTTCTGCTTCTGTCTCCTCTTGTGACCCAGGTGGTATCACTTGAGACCCTGCTTGTATCGCATCCGGTCCTGCTTCTAACGGGTCCGAACCTGCTTGGAACGGTTCCGAACCTGCTTGGAACGACTCTGAACCTGCTTGTAACGGTTCCGAACCTGCTTCTAACAGTTCCGAACCTGCTTCTAACGGTTCCGAACGTGCTTGTAACGCTTGTGGCAATGCCCTATCCTGTCTTGGCCAGCGAGGCAGGCTCCACACGCACACCGACCCGTCCTCTGCTGCGCTTGCCACTAGCCTCCACCCATCTTCGTTACAAGCACACTGGCTACCCTCGTTACAAGCACACCAGCCGTACTCGTTACAAGCACACCAGCCGCCCTCGTTACAAACACACCAGCCATGCTCGATACAAGCACACCAGCCGCCCTCGTTACAAACACACCAGCCGTGTTTGTTACAAGCCCTCCAGCCGTGCTCGTTGCAAACGCACCAACCGTCCTCGTTACAAGAACACCCAGTAGTAACACGAGGACACGGCTGCGGTTCCCCAGGGGGGTCACCGAGGCTCTGGGAGAGAGTGAGGGAGGTGAGGGGGCGGGGGAGGGGGTGGTGGAGGGAGGCGAGGAGGGAGTGGGAGGGGAGGTGCCACACCTGTAGCTGCCCGTGCGAGGTGCCCAGGAGGAGAAGCGTGTCGTCCACTTTTATCACTGAGATGGTGACACGTGGTGCTGATTCTGATGCTTCTGGTGGTTGTGCTGATGGTATTGGTGCCGCTGGTGGTGGAGGAGCAGCTTCTTCTGGCACCACATCTGCTGCTGCTAACTCTCTCCCTTTTTCCGCCTTCTTCCCTGCATTCCCGTTCCATCCCCGGCCCCACGCCTTTCCTTTTCTTCCATGAATCCCCCAAACATCGCACTTCCCTTCTTTCCAATTCCTCCCCGCCTCCACTCTCTCTCTATACCTCCTCTTCCACACACCACACTCACTCACTCCCCTTCCCCCTCCCCCTCCCCCTCCTCCTCCCCCTTCCCCTTCCCCTTCCCCTCCCCTCTCCCCCTCCGCGCGCGGTTGTTCCGCCCTGCTCCAGTGCGCAGCCCTTTCTCCAAACGTCCGCTCAAACACCTTCCGCCAAAACGCCTCCCCCCCTGCGCCCCCCGCATCCCTCTCCTCCGCGACCACCGCATCCCGCCAGTCCCTGCGGAAGGTTGAATAGGCGGAAGGCGGAATCGACGGAAGGGGCAATTGGCGGAAAGAGGAATCAACGGAAGGCGGGGAAGACAGAGAAGACGCGCAATGGGAAACTGGGGGCAGGTGGGGGGAACTGCGTAAGGGAGTCTAGGCGAGGGAGCAAGTGGGGGCAAAGCGGAAACGAGGCGCGGAAGCGGAGGAGGGGGAAAACTACGCCTACGAGCATGTGGCGGGAAATCCGCTTGGCGTGCGCACCTGCACGTGAGCATGGCGCAGATTATTCCGCCAAGCCCTTCGGCTGGTAGGCGTTGGAATATGTCCAAAATAATGATTTGCGGAAGCTTCGCAGCCTGATGGGACGACGCAGAACCACGCATCGCCTCGTCTGGAGGCCCTTCAGTGTCATTGGCCATATCTGCGCGTTTGCAGCAGCGTGCAGGTCGAATTTGCAGTGTGGGTTGGAACAGCTATGTGTGAAGGGTATGTATCTGAATGTAAATTTTGGAAATTCTAACAGTTTCTGACTCAACCAGCTGTACACTGCAAAACGTAACCATATTATATATGAATCAGTTCCTACCGGACACATTCGAGATGGAATGGATTCGGCCAGCGGATCTGACAACCAAAGGCGCGAAAGTTCTCGTGGGTGCAGTACTGTTCAGACAAGCTCGCAGCATTTTCGCCATTCGTTATGGCCACCACATTCGCTTCGCAGTTCCCCTTTTTCCTGGTGGGGATTATTTTCGCGAGCGCAATATAGTTTCCTCGTCCAGCACCAGATTGGCCAGGCGGACGCAACGGACGTAACCAGACGGATCTGCCATTTCGCTGGCTGCACCTTCTCAGATGCTCCTTTGGGATTGTCGTTCATCCACCAATCTCGAGAGACAGGAACCAAACGCCTGTACTGCTAGAGTAGCAGGAATGCATACACTAGCTCTCACTTTTATTACCAGTGAAAGCATCAGAATAGTATCAGGCTAGTTACCATTGATTGCATGCTACGCTGCAGGGGGGGGGGAAACGCGCGGCTTTTGGTAGTTCAATCCAACTTACCTGCCTGGATAGTGCAGGTCGCGGTGCATATGCCGGTCTAATTCACCGATTTTTACGGTGTGATGGTGTGACATGGTGGTCAGCTAAGGATGGATCGCAGGGAGTTCATGACCGCCGGGAAGAAGCGGGTAATGAGACTTTCAGAATCACATTGCTTCGAAGCTCGTTATTGCACCAATTTCCAGTAATTCAGTTTCGTCGTATCTAAATGCTTCGTGAAGCCTTATGGACTATCAATGCTTTGTCGTATATTCACATCGAGCCGTGCTTGCCATTGTTATTGTACGAGCAGCTCGAGGAGTATCGGAAGAAGCAACAAGCGAAATCGGGAGGAAGCTCTAAAGGAGGACAGCAAGACAAGGTGATCATAATGTCTTCGAAATCCTTCGTTTCCCTATCTAGTCTCGGACGAAATCCACCATCACCATCCACGTGTAGCTCATTCGGTTTCCAGCAGATTCGTTGACATCCTCGACCATGATTCTGCCGATGATGTTAGACTTACCACCGAGCCAGTTCTCGGACTTTGTGAATCCATTCTTCACGTAATTTCTGCTCAGAAAGCGTCAGTTTCCCCCCTTGACGAGCTCTCTCTACCGGCGTATCCTGTACCCCTTCTTCCCGCCGTCCATCTCGCAGGCCAAGATGCCATCAACGGCTCCCACGACTCCGCAGGGGTCATCCAATCAGAGCGCAGCACGGCAATCCCAAGGAGGCCAGGCTTCAAGCAGCACAAGCGACCTCCCGCAGCTGGGCCTGAGCGTGCAGATCCAACCCCGAGGCTCCACCACCGCCCAACCCAGAAAATCCACTCCAATCCAACCCCGAGATTCGCTCCAAAGCCAGCCTAGAGAATCCACAGGCGAGTCTGCAACCTCAATGGTGTCGGCAGCATCCGCAGTAACGGCAGAGTCGGCAGATTCAGCAGGGACGGCCGTGGGGAGGACGATTAGCAGCAGCAGCGGCGGCGGGGACGGCGATTTCATGACGCCCACAGGCGGCAACACGCCGTCCAGCGCCACCAGCTACGGCTCTGATTCTTCTTCGGGTGGTTTTGTGCTGCGGCCGTTCGCTGCTGGCCCTCGGGAGTTCCGCACCATCGCCCAGGGCATTCTGAATAAGGTGAGGAGTTTGTTGTGGGGATGGGTTGTGCTTTAGATCTTACCGGTAGGGGATGGTAAGGTGATGAAGCCAGGTAAAGTCTAGGCGGGAATTGAAGGATCGAGAATGGAGGATGGAGGGGATGGTGGTAGAGAAGAGAAGAGGAGGGAAGTGAGAAGTTGAGAGCGGGGGGGGAAGTGCGCTTTGGAGGACGGAAGGCTGTGCCAGCTCCTTCTGAGAGGCCTGCCTGACAACTGACAACCCGCCTCTGCCACCCACCCTGCCAATGCTCCACTCCAACTCGCATGGCAGGGTTCGGGAACCGCAGGGCAGGGCGCACGAGGGCAGGAAGCGCAAGGAGAGGAGGCAGGAAGGCAGAGAGCAGATGGAGAGGGATCAGAAACGCAGAGAGCTTCAGGGGCGGGAGCACGAGGGCAGGGAGGAGCAGAGGAGTTGCGGAGACCAGCCACAGCACAGCCGCCGCATGAGACGCATGATCCTCGCGAGAGAGAGCAGGATGCAGGCTCTCCCAGCCACTCCACTCGGCCAACAACCGCCCCTCTCTCTCGAAGCCCCTCGACCTCTTCCCTCACCTCCTCCGTCCCTTGGTCGTCCAGCGGCGCTCTGGATGCCTCATTCGCTGCTGGTGTGAGGCGGTTCTCCCTTGAGACGGGGAGTGATGACGGGTCGCTGACAGAGCGAGGGTCGATGGTAACCACCACGCGGGAGAAGTATGTGGAGCGGTTGGAGTTGAAGGTGGTTGAGCTGAAGCGACGGCTGTCTGTTGTGATGGAGGAGAGGGAGAGAGGCGGCGCTGGTTTTGCTGGTGCTGGCGGTGCTGCTGGCTCGGGTGCTGCTGGTTTCAGTGGCGGCAGTGGCGGTGGTGGTGGTGGTGGTGGGTTGAGTGGGATGTGGAGGAGTACTAGTGGAGGGGAGGTGCTGTTGAGAGAAGAGCTCAGGAAGAAGGCCAGTAGAGTGCATGCTTTGGAAAGGGAGCTGGCGATGCTCAAGAGCCTAGTTGGGCTGGATCCGGGGGAGGCTGTATCTAAGGCTGCGGCGTATGGTGCTGCTGGCGGCGTGGGTGGGGATATGGGGAGGAAATCTAGAAGCGTTGATGCCAGATTTGTTGATTTGATAGAGCGGCACGGAGCAGAGGTTGCTGAGCTAAAAGAGTTACTTAAGGAAAAGGAGGAGCGGCTGGTGTTTTTGGAAAGGGACAGGGAGGAGGTGATGGAGCGAGTAGCAGCACAGGTGCAGGCAGAGAAACGGACGGAGACAGAACGGCTGGCGAAAATGCAGGCGGAAATGGAAGCAGCTGCTGAGCAGTTGAAGCGGCAGGTGGCATCTGCCATGGCTCGATGGAAAGGGTTGGAGGAGGAGAAGGGGCGGTTAGCGGACCAGTTGCTTGAAAAGGAGGTGGTTTTAGAGGGGGAGCGGGAGCGGAATGTGAGGGTTGGGGAGGAGTTGGCAGTGGTTCGAGGGCAGTATGAAACGATGATGGAAACTGTAGCAGCTCTGCAGGAGGAGAGGGGGAAACAGGCTAGGGAGATGCAGGGTTTGAGAGAGGAGACGCAGAGACTAAGGGAGGAGTGTGAGAAATTCAGGGAGGAGAGTGAGAGGATGAGAGATGAAAGGCTAGGGCTTGAGAAGGAGCTGGAGAGGTTAAGGGAGGACGTGCAGAGGCGGAGGAAGGGTGACATTGCAGCTTCTCTGGGAACTGGGTGCAGGGCCGAGGGTTCTGGGGGTGATGAGAGAAGGGTGAGTGTGGGAGGGGCAGTCAGGGGAAGGTTGGGTGTGTGAAGTATGCTAGTTAAGAGCAGGTTGATTGGCTGCCTTTTGGTGATAAGGTTCTTCGTGATTTGCATAGCATATTTCGGTGACTCTGGTTGATTCCGTGCCCTCCTCCCTGGCTGCGCTGCCCCCTTCCCCCTTGCCTTGCCATGTCACCAAGTGATTTAATGTATTTTATTTTCTTATTTCTTTTCCTTTGTAATGAGCCAAAAGGAATTACTAAGTACTTTGTTTCATCTCGTTTGCCTTCGCTCCCTGCACTCCACCCACCAGGTGGGGAGCAGCGGGAGCTACTAGAGGAGGAGCTGGTGCAGCTGCAGGAGCTGCTCGCTTGGTCGCGAGACAAGGAGGAGAGGCTGAGAAACAAATTGCTCTAGGAGAGAAAATATGTGTTTCCGTTTCTGTTTGCACTTATGTTTTTCCTGCTCGATCACCCCAGGTGAACCTAAGCGGTGAGCAGCGGGAGCTGCTAGAGGAGGAGCTGGTGCAGCTGCAGAAGCTATTAGCTCGGTCGCGAGACGAGGAGGAGAGGCTGCGAGCCAAGATGCAGGGCGACGAGCAGCAGTGGCAGCAGCAGCTGCGGGATTCAGCAGCCGCTCTGGCAGCCAAGGAGGAGGAAGCTAGGGTTCTTCTCTCGCGTGTGGAGGAGGGGGAGAGGGAGAGGGAGAGGCTCCGAGCTGAGGCGGATGCGGCGAAGCTTGAGGCGGCGAGTGCGGGTGAGAAGCTAGCTGCGACCAAGGATAAGCTGGGAGTGGCGATTAGGAAGGGGAAGGAGGTGGTACAGCAGAGGGAGGCTCTGAAAGGGACGCTGGCTGAGGAGACTGCTGTTCTGGAACGGTTGAGGGAGGAGCTGGAGCGCGAGAGGGAGGGGAGGAGGGACGCGTTGAAGGCTGTGGAGGCGAAGGAAGGGGAACTGGCGGAGGGGAGGCGGAGGGTGGGTGAGCTGGAGGGTGAATTGGAGGAAGGGCGGAAGAGGGTGGAGGAGTTGGAGGCAGCAGTTGCTGCAGCGGAGGGGAAGGCGGCAGGGATGGTGGAGGAAGGCGGGGAGAAGGTCAGGGAGATGGAGGAGAGAGTGAAGGTGGCGGAAGAGAGGGTGCGGGTGGCGGAAGAGGAGGTAGCTGAGGTGAAAAGGCAAGTGGCGGATGGAAGGGAGCGTGCTGTGGAGCTGCTAGGGCAGGTGGCGGAGAGAGATGCTCTATTAGCGAGGAGAGGGGAGGAGTTGAGAGAGGTGGAGGGAAGGGTACGAGTGGCGGAAGAAGAGGTGGTTGAGGTGAGAAGGCAGGTGGCAGAGAGAGATGCTCTGTTGGCTAGGAGAGGGGAGGAGTTGAGGGAGGTGGAGGGGCGCGAGAGGGAACTGGAGATGAGGGTTGCGGAGGAGATGGAGAGGAGGATTGAGGAGGGGAGGGAGGAGGGGAGGAGGGAAGTGGAGAGGGAGGTGGGGGTGTGGGAGGGTAGGGTAGAGGAGGAGAGGAGTAAGGCGGAAGATGCACTGAAAGAAATCGAACGTTTACAGGAAAGAATTGCAGAGACAGAGGGACAGCTGGCTGCTTTGCAAACAGAACTTGCTGCGGTGAGGGGTGAGGCAGGTGAGAAGGAGGGAGTGGTGTCAGGGTTAGAGGTGAGCCTGAGTGGGGAGAGGGAGAGAGTGAGACAGCTGGAGGAGATGGTGGAGACGCTAAGAGGGGAGGTCCAGGAGGCGCAGAAGGCAGGAGGTTCTGAAGCAGACGCGAGGGAAAGGGAGAGTGTGCTGACTCGAGAGTTGGAGTCGTTGCAAGCACAGAAAGAGGCGCTGGTGGGTGCTGTAGAGGATGAGAGGGCGATGAGGGAAGAGGCGGAAGAAGCACAGAGGAGGGTGGAAGGAGTGAAGGGAGAGGTGGAGGAGAGGAAGAGGGAGGTGGAGGCAAAAGTAGAGGATTTACAGGCAAAGCTAGATGAGATGAATTTACAAGTTAAGGGCTGGGAGGAGCAAGTGGAGGGGCTTAAAGCTGAAGTTGTGGGTTGGGAGGAGAGGTTGGCTGGTCGGGAGCGGGAGTTTGCAGGTTCGGCTGCCGAAGCTGAGGTGCGGTTGGAAGAGGTTCGGCAGGAGCTGGAGGGGATGAGAGGGAGGGAGCGGGAGTGGGAAGGGAGGGTTGGGGAGGTGGAGGAGAGAGTGAGGGAGGGTGAGAGAGCGTTGCAGGAGAGTGAGAGGCTGTTGCAGGAGGAGAGGGAGAAGGGGGAGGGGCTTCAGAGGGAGCTTGGAGAGATGGAGGTGAGAGCAAAGGAGGCTGAGGAACGGGTTAAGGAGGCTGAAGCAAGAGTTGAGGAGGCTGACAGAAGGAGGAAAGAGGAAGGCGCTAGATCGAGTGAGCTGTTGCTGCAAGTGGAGGAAGCCAGGAGGAGAGAGAGTGAGGTGAGCGAGGGGAGGGGTGGTGAGAGTGAGGGAGAGGCATGGAGGGCTGAGTGGAAGGCTGAAGAGGCGTTGCTGCTGCAGAAGCAGGCTGAGATAGAGGGGCTTTTGGTTGCTAAGGGGCGAGAATTTGTGGAGCTGAAGGGAGAGTGGGAGAGGGAGAGGGATGCGTGGGCAACCGAGAGGGGTGAGTGGGAAAGAAAGGCGAAGGGATGGGCGATGGAGAAGGAGGATTTGCTTGGGAGGCTGCAGGGGGAGAGAGAAAAGTGGGAGGAGGAGCAGGGTAGGGTGGAGGAGAGTGAGGGGCAGCTACAGGAGCAGGTGGAGGCCGAGAGGAGGAAAGTGGCCGGGTTGAGAGAGGAGAGAGAGCAGCTTCGGAAGAGGGTGGAGGGATTGGAGGAGGAGGTGGGGCAGGTGCAGGAAGAGGTGGAATCAGAGAGGCGGAAAGTGGAGGAGTTGAGAGGGAGTTTGGAGGAGGAGGAGAGGCGGTGTGGGGAGATGCTGGTAGAGTTGCAGGCTGTGGCTGAGGGGAGGGAGGCGGAGAGGAGGCAAGCGGCGGGGCTGACAGAAGAGAAGGAGTTGCTGCAAAAGAAGGTGGAGGGTTTGGAGGAGGAAGTGAAGCAGGTGCAGAGGAAGATGGAGGAGGTGGGGGAGGAGAAGGGGCAGCTGCAGCGGAGGGTGGAAGGGTTGGAGGAGGAGGTGGAGCAGCTGGAGCAGAAGATGCATGCGGCAGAGCGGAAGGACGTGGTCACTCTCGTGAGTCCTCTGCACATTGGATGCTCTTGGCTTTCCGTGTGGCAGTTTCCTTATTGTGCCGCCCATCCATTGTAAAACCATCTTGACTGCTCCTCTATGTGACCCACTTGCAGTTTCTCTTCACCCCCAGAATGTTTTTGGTACTCCATGTCCGAGTCCATGTTTTTGGTACTCCATGTCCGAGTCCATGTTTTTGGTACTCCATGTCCGAGTCCATGTTTTTTTTCGTTCTGGGCTGTTCCCCGAGTGTTTGTTTCACACTTTCATCTCCCCTTCCTCCAGGCGAAGGTAGTTGCCAGCGAGACAGCCGCAGAGGAAGCAACCAAGCAGCTTCAATCAGCCCAATCCGCCCTCGAGGCAAAGCAAGCCGAGCTGGCCTCTCTGCGACAGCAAGCAGAGGAGCTCGAAGAAACCCTAGAGCAGCGCGAGACAGAGCTCGAGTCCCTGAAAACGGACATTTCGGCTCGAGAGATGATCTGGCGTGCGTCGCAAGACGCAGAGGCACAAGCAGCAGAGGATGCTATTGCGGTAGAGGCAGCTGCTGCTAGGGAGATGGCGGAGAGAGAGAGGGATAAGGTGAAGGAGGAAGCAGAGGCGGAAGCAGCGGCTCTGAGGAAGGTTCTGGGAATGCGGGAGTCGCAGCTGGAGAAGCTGCAGGCTCGGGTGGCCGAGGCTGAGGAGGTGGTTCGGGAGCTGGAGGAGGTTCGGGTGGAGCTCGAGAAAGCTCAGGGGGAGGTGGTTAGGGTTAGGGAGGAGATGGGGGGAGAGATGGAGAGAGTGAGGGAGAGTAGTGTGATAGCAGAGGAGGAGGTGGAGAAGCTTAGGGCTGCTTTGGAGGGGTATAGGGAGGAGGTGGAGGAGGGAGAGAAAAAGGTGAGTGAGTGTGAGAAGAGGGTAGAAGAGAGTGAGAAAGAGAGGAGGGCCGCTCTGGAGAAAATGGATGCGTTGCTTGGAGAGCTGATGGAGAAGAGTGAGGAGAATGAGAGGGTGAGAGAGGAGGGCGTTAGGCTGAAAGAGGAGGCCAGCCGGTTGAGGGAGGAGGCTAGTAGGGTGGAAGAGGAGCTGAAAGGGCGTGACGAGGAGATTAGTAGGCTGAAAGAGGAGGTTTTAAAGGTAAGTGCAAGTGCAGGAGCTGATGGGGAGAGGGAGCGAATGGAGGAGGAGGTAGTGCGACTTAATAGGGAGGTAGAGCAGAAGGGAGCATTGCTGAAGGTCGCTGAAGACGCAAGGGCAGCAGCAGAGGCAAAGAACGCGAGCCTGGTGAAAAAGGCGAAGGAGAGGATTGAAGGCATGAAGCAGAAGGTTGCAGCTGAGGCCCAGGCTGCTGCAGAGGCGAGAGCCGAGGTTGACCGACTGAAGCGGCTTTTGGAGGGGGGAAGAGGAGAGGGAAAAGAGGGAGGCGAGGGAGGGGCAGGGGAGAAAGGAGCAGAGGCGAAGGCAACGAATGTTGAGGACGCGGCCGAGATAGAGGGGCTTCGTGCTAAGTTCTCTCTCCTAGAAGCGGAGCTTTCTCAGTTGAAGCAAGGGGAGGGGAACGGGGCAGGAGCAGGGGGAGAAGAAGCAGCAGGGGCGGCAGCAGGGGTGGCAGCAGAGGCAGCGGCAGAAGGGGAGAGGGTGAGGGAGTCACTGAAGCAGGCACAGGAGCAGGTGGCGGGGGTGAGGGAGAAGTTGAGCAAAGCTGTGCGCAAGGGCAAGGCGATCGAGCAGCAGAAGCTGAAGCTGGAGGCAGACCTCGCTGCTGCCAGAGCTGAGATTGACGCTCTCAGGGCAAACTCTGGGACAGAAGTCGCAGGGACAGGGACAGCGGCAGGGGCCGGAACAGGGGTAGGGGCAGCGGCAGCAGCAGTGGCAGGGGCGGCAGCAGGAGCAGTGGCAGCGGCAGGGGCAGGGGTAGGTGTAGCCGCAGGGGAAAAGGTAGTCGAGTTGAGAGGATTGTTGGCAGAGGCAGAAGAGGGGAGGAAGAAGGAGGGAGAGGCGAGGCAGCGAGAGGAGGAGGCGAAGAGGAAAGAGGAGGAGGCGAGGAGGAAGGCTGAGGAGAGGCTGAAAGAGACAGTGGCAATGATGGAAGGAGTTACAGATGCTCTTGTGGGGAGAGAGAAGGAGTGTGAGGAGCTAAGTACCGAACTTGCTGAGCTAAGAAAGTCTCTTAGCAGCGCTCAGGAGGAGGTTGCTAGGCTGATGGGGGAGGTGGATAGGTTGGAGGAGGAGGGTGGGAGGGAGAGGGCGGAGGCAGAGGAGAGAATGGAGAAGGTGAAAAGGGAGAGTGAAGAGATGGAGGGGTTTAAGAACGGGAAGATTGCGGAGGTGGAAGAGATGCTGGCTATAGTTGAAACGGATCTTGCTGTAGCGAGGCGGAGAGTTGAGGAGGTGGAGAGGGAGAAGGAGGAGGTGGAGAGGGAGAGGGAGGAGAGGGAGAGGCGAGTGAGGGAGTTGGAAGAGGAAGTGGGGAGGTTGGGAGAGGAGGGGAGGGGATTGGGGTTGGAGCTAGAGAGAGTGAGAGAGGAAGTGGGGGAGTGGAGGGGAGTGGCTGAGGAGAGGGGTAGGGATGTGGAGGGCATGAGGAGGGAAGTGGAGGAGGCGAGAGAAGAGAGGGAGGAGAGGGGGAAGGTCTTGGTGGGATTGGAGGAGAGAGTGAGGGAGTTGCAGGGGGAGGTGGAGGAGGAGAGGAGGAGGCGGGAGGAAGAAGAGGTGAAGAGAGTGGAAGAGGAGAGGAGGAGGGAGCAGGAGGAGAAAGCGAGGACGAGTGAAGGGGAGAGGGAGAAAGAGGTTGGAGAGGCACAGGCACAATTGATGGAGAAAGAGGAGCGGTTGAGAGCGGTAGAGGGGCAGTTGAAGGAGGTTCAGTCCCAGCTGGAAGCGGTTGAAGGGCGGTTTGTGGCGGTACAGGGAGAGAAGGAGGCAGCAGAGGAGAGAATACGAGGGCTGGAGACTGAGAGAGGCGTGGGGGAAGAGAGAGTGTGTACACTAGAGGATGAGAAGGCAGGTTTTGCTAGAGAGTTGGAGCAGGAGAAGGAGAGGAGAGAGGAAGCAGATAGGAATTTAGTGGGAGTGCAGTGTGGGTTGGATGAGGAGAGGGAGGCGAGGAGAGTGGCTGAAGCTGAGCTGGATAGTGTACGTTCTGAGTTGGCAAGTGCTCGTGATGAGCTGGCGAGTGTCCGTGCTGAGCTGGCAGCAGCTGGTCGAGTCGAGGAGAGGAAGGATGAAGGAGAGGCAGGAGGCAGTGAAGAGGATGTGGATTCAGTTGCTGTGAGAGCGAGAGTGAGGGAGCTGGAGGAGAGAGTGAGGGAGGAGGAGAAGAGAGTGAAGGAGGAGGGGGAGAGAGTGAGATTGCAGGAGGAAAGACTGAGGGAGAAAGAGGAGAGAGTGAGGGAGGAGGCGGAGAGAGTGAGGGAGGAGGGAGAGAGAGCGAAGGAGTTGGAAGTGAATGTGGCAAAATTGGAGGGTGAAGTAGCAGAGCTGCAGTTGCAATTAGAAAAGGAAAGGGAGGAATGGAATGTCACAAAGGAACAGCTCGGAGCAGATAACGAGCGAGCTTGTAACGAGGCTACAGAGCAAAGGGACCAGGCATCCCAACTGAGGACTTCTCTCTTGGAGCTTGAAGCACAGAGGGATGCGTGGGCGGTTGAACGAGATGCTCTTGCAGCAGCAGAGCGACAGGTGCAGGAAGAGAAAAGGAGTTTGGAGGAGCAGGGAGTGGTGCTGAGGAGTCGGATTCAGGAGGTGGAGGCAGAGAGGGATGGGTTGCAGGCTGCTGTTGGTCGGCTGGAGGGGGAGAAGGGCGGGTTGCAGGAAGCAGTGGGGCGCTTGGAAGGGGAGAGGGAGCAGCTAGTAGGGGATAAGGAGCGTCTGGAAGGAGAGAGGGCTGGTTTGCTGGCACAAGTTTCTTGTTTAACAGCGGAGAAGGAGGGGGTTGAGAGAGAGGGAGAGCAGTTGCGAGGTGAATTGGAGGAAATTAGGAGGAGAGGGGAGAGTGCGAGGAAGGAGGGTGAGGAGAAGGGGAGGGTGGTAGGTGAGTTGGAAAGAGTGGTGGAGGTCTTGAGGGGTGAGATGGAAGAGATGAGAAGGGAGCGGGAGAAGCAGGCGAGGGAAAGGAAGGAGGGGGAGGAGGTGGGTTGGGATGAAGCGGATAAGGATGAGAAGGAGAGGAGAGTAGATGATTTGGAGCGAGCTTTGCAAGAGAGGGAAGGAGAGGTGGAGAGACTGGTGAAGGAGGTGCGGGAAAAGGAGTTGACCATTGAGGAGTTGAGAGGTCAAGTTGTGGAGAGGGACGGGGAGCTTGAGAGGCTGCGGGAAGAGGTGAGGGAGAAGGAATTGATGTTGGAGGAGTTAAGAGGGCAGGTTGGGGAGAGGGAGGGGGAGATTGAGCGGTTGAGGAGTGAGGTTGGGGAGAGGGAGGGGGAGGTAGAAAGGCTGAGGCGGGAGGTGGGCGAGAAGGAGGCAGCAGTGGCGTCGGTGGCAGCGGCACGGAGCAAGGCAGTGGAGAAGCTGAAGATGATGGTTGAGAAGCTCAAGGAGGTGCAAGCGCAGGTGGGTTATACGCAATTGGGTTGCTCCAACTTGACGGTCTTCATTGCCCATTTCATTGCCTGTGGCCTTATCCCTGAATTTCTGTCCCTCCCTACCCTCCCTGCTCGTATCCCTTCTTTATCCATTCCTTCTCACCCCATCCCATCCCTTTCCCTGTAAGCACAGTCGGAGGCAGTGGTGCAGGAGGCAGAGATGCGACTGGAGGAGAAGGACAGGGAGATGGAGGAGCGGCTCACGGAGAAGGATGCGGAGCTGCAGAGGGTGTGGGACCGTCTAAGATTGGTCGAGGCTCAGTCGGGAGGGGTGGCAGACGGCAGTGCTCCTGCCCCTGCAACCGCTGCTGTTTCTGGTTTCTCTGGTGATCAGGCAGAAGCAGCTGCTGCTACTGGTGCTGTTGCTGGTGCTGATTCTGGCGTTCGCAGTGCTGCTGCTGCAGGTGGTGAGGGGGAGAGCATGGCAAGTGGTGCAGTAGCCACGTGGCAGGAAGCTGTTTCTTTGGCGCCGCAACAGCAGAATTCTGAGGCAGGCGCTGCTGCTGGTCTTCCTGACGTGGCAGAGAAGGATGCTGAGCTGGCAAGGCTGCGCGATGAGGTGGCGGTGGCGGGCGAGGCGGTGAGGGTGCTGGAGGGACAACTGGAGTCTGCGAGAAGAGAGGCAGATGACCTGGTGAGAGCACAACGAGGGGGGGGGGGGAGGGGGGGAAGTGTTCGGGTGGTTGATGGGGTTTGGGGGGTTGCCTGATTGGGAGTGGTGTGGCAGGGAGGGTGCTGGAAGGGCAACTGGAGGTGTCAAGGAGAGAGGCAGACGACCGGGTGAGAGCACAAGGGGGGAGGAAAGTGGTGGGAAGGGGGGTTGGTGGTTGGGTTGAAGAGAGTTTGGATGGGGAGTGGGCAGGGAGGGTGCTGTTTGGGCAACTGGAGGCAGCAAGGAGAGAGGCAGACGACCGGGTGAGAGCACAAGGGGGGTGCGTGGAGCGTGGGTTTTTTTATCGGGCTTGTGGGGTTGTGTGATAGGGGCTGGCGAGATGGTGAGGTTGCTGGAGGGGCAGCTGGAGGTGGCAACGAGAGATGTAGATGACTTGGTGAGAGCGCAAGATTGCTGCTCTTGAAATTGCCTCCAATCTTTTTTTTTTTCCCCTTGACGTCATATTTTTTTCTTTTTACACCGTGTCTTTTTACCCCCTTACATAAACAAGAGCCACACCTGGGTTCATAACTGCTCTTTTTGTGACTTATCTTTCCCTCGTGTTTCCATGCACCCCCATCTCCCCTCCCTTATCAGAAGCGCAAGGCACTTCCCTCACCCCTGCCCTCTTCCTCCTCTTCCTCACAATTAGCCTCAGCGTCAGCCTCCACGCTCCTGCCAGTCACCACACAGAGGAAGGCAACACCTGGGGGAGGTGCATCTGACACGTCAGCAGAGTACCTGCCTCTGCTGGCGCAGAAGCTCGCCACGTCATCGTCCGCCTCGCTGGCAGGCCACACGGCGCTGCAGATTGCTGACTCGTACCCCGACGATGAAGGTGGGATGTACAGTTTGACACCAAACAGACATGTGCTGGAGTGTTGTACTTGCTTCGGAACAGCTTTCTCTCTTCCTCTCTCGTGTTTACACAGGAATGTTTCCCACAATCTGCCCTTTCCCCCTCACTGCAGTGCACGGGTTCAAGTGAATAGTCAGTGCCTTCCAATTGTCTCATTCCCCCACTCTCTATTCCCCTGCCTCTCCTCCCCTCCATCCTCTCCCCCGCCCCTCCCCCCCCCCCCCCCACCATCACAGTGCACGGATTCAAGTCAATCGTCAGTGCCTTCCGCTTCCTGCCATCCTTCCTGCACCCAGCTGCCAAGGGCATCGATCGCCTCTGGTACGTGCCTGCTTGCTGCTTCCAGCCGTCCATGCTTCCATGCCGCATCTGCCCCTTCCTCCTGCCGCTGGATTCATCCCTGCCCTTCACTACCCCGCCCTCCTCTGCCCCCCTATCCCCTCCCCTGTCCTCCCCATTCGTTTCCCCCCCGTGACCCCCTCCCTGTCGTTCAGTGTGGCGGGAGGGCAGTCGCTGATGGCACGGCCCATGATGCGCCTGCTGCTCGTGCTCTACTGGATGGCCATGCATGCTGCCATGCTCGCCATGCTCGCCGCCCTCACTGTTGCTTGAGGATGAACGCATGTGGCATGGACATCATGCGTCATGCACGATACGTCATGCGCGATACGTCATGCGCGATACGTCATGCGCGATACGTCATGCACGATACGTCATGCGCGATAAACCCTAAACCCTGCGTCATGCACGATACGTCATGCACGATGCGTCATGCACGATGCGTCATGCACGATGCGTCATGCACGATACGTCATACATCATATCCACAGCATGTGCGATTGAAAACATGCGTTCAAGGAGTATTTTACCATTTTTTGCCGGACCAAACTGTTGTGTCGTGTTGTTTTTTCTGCAGTCCGTCGCTACCCTACATTCATAGCATAGCGTATCCCTGATATGACTAGTTGTTGATACGGTAGTAACAAATTGTGTGGCAACTTCAGAACTCATTATTTCTTTGGCTAATGCGCATTGACCAATCATCAGAGCCCACAGGTCATGCCATGTCATGACCCTAAATCAATCACCAACAAGCCATCATGCCTCTTGCTGAATTGTCATCCCCTTTGCCCTATCCGATCCCACCCGGCATTGACATCCGAATCAGCACACTAAGTGCACTGTGGGCTGGTGATTCATGGACGGGTGAGGGAGGAGGAAGGCGGAGTGAGTGAGGAGGAAGGCGGTGTGAGGGAGGAGGAAGGTGGTGTGAGGGAGGAGGAAGGAGGAGTGAGGGAGGAGGAAGGAGGAGTGAGGGAGGAGGAGAGAGAGGAGGCAACAGCATCCTCCACGTGAATCCCACACTCTGTCTTGTCCGACCCGTCTCTGTTCTTCAGCCCCTGGAACCGCCCCGACCGCTCTCCACCGTACTCGAACCACTTGGCACGTGGAACAGGCAGGGTGGTCTGGATGTCTCCAATGGAGGGGAAGCCGTCTGCATGAAGAGGGTGGGCGGGCACCCCGTGCCTCTCCAGGTAGTCAAAGCAATCCCTGGAGGCGGAGAGGGGGAGGGACGAAAGAGTGGTTGAGCAGGGTGGTCTGGTCTGTACGTCCTTAATGGAGGGAAGCCGTCGTTGTGAAGAGGGTGAGCGGGCACCCCGTGCCTCTCAAGGTAGTCAAAGCAATCCCTGGTGGTGTGCGGGAGGAGTGGGGAACAGGATTACGGAAGCAGGATTGGTGGGGAAGGAAAAGCAGAGGGGTATATGGGGAGGGAAGGTTTAGGGGAGGATTGGGGAGGGGTTGGGAGAGTGACGGGGATAGGGCCGGAGGCATGGAGATGCAGAGAAGGTGACGTGCAGGATGGACGGGTGGTATTGTCACACGTACTCTGGAAATAACATCATCCCTTACAATCAGGGTCCCATCACTGTCACACACCATACCACCAAGCTATAGCATCAGCAACCCCCGTAGCAGCATACCTGAATTCCCAGTATGCAAGGGGCTGGACCTTCACTGGTGTGCCGTCCTCGAATAGCTGTGTGGGGCGAGGCCAAGGGGGATGGGCGGCGGTGGAGGAAAGGGGAGAAGCACTGGACGGGTGGCATGGCGTGAAAATAATGGGACTACGTTGCATGGATCACAGGATGGTGCATGGTATGATGCATGGTGTGCTGCTCGTGGCACGCCATGCAATGGATTGTGCACATCGTAGTACCATGTGGCATGTGGCATCTGGTACCTGGCATGTGGCACAAAACAATACAAGAATCACCACCAGGTGCGACCTCTCACACCAAACAAAATGGAAAGGTGGAGACATTCACCTTCAGGTGCGCGCTCTCACTACAAGATGTGGCCTGTCGTCTCCATGCAACGAAAGACAGCAAGCTCACCTCCAGGTGCGCCCGCTCAGCGCCGTGGTCTCTGCGGCGGCCGTTGATCATGGCGTCCACGTTGAGCGACGTCAGCGCGCGGCTGAACGGCTCCACCTTGCAGATCTGATCGTACTCGTCTATGTCCTGCCATTGGGGGATGGCGGGGGTAAATGGGGCAAATGGAGGAAGGGGGGGGGAGGTAAGCGCGGCTGAGCGGCTCTACCTTGCAGATCTGATCGTACTCGTCTATGTCCTGCCATTGGCGGAGGGGGATGGGGGTGGGTGGGCGTGGGGAATGGGGGTGATGAGGGGGGGCGAGGGATGGTGGAAGAGGGTGTATTAAGCGGGGATGAGACACTCCACCTTGCAGGTCTGATCGTACTCGTAAATGTTTTGCGAGGTAAACGGTGGGGCGTGGAGGGTAGTGGATGGGTGGTGGGATGAAGGGGGGAATCGAGAAAAGGGGGGTAAGTAACTAGTGTGCTTGACCATACCGGTAGGGGAGAGGAGAATTAGAGAGTGCGCAAGGCGTTGGAGGGGTTTGTTTGGATGAAGATTACATTTGAGCCTCAAAACTACTTGTGAGAACTCTTCGTTCCATAACGCTCCTGCGTGGTGAAGAGCAGTGAACCACACACGCGCCTCTAAGCCTACCCGAACGAAGAGGCCCGAGCCGATATTCTTGACGCAATCAAGGTACCGTCGAACGTACATTATAGCCCTTTCGAGACGCCTGGGGGCTTACCAGAATGAAGAGGTCGGATCGGAGCCGTGTTTCTTGACGTAGTCCTCCATGGAGTTGAGCCTCGGAGTCGAGTCCCTCCACCTGAAACACCTCCGCCTTGAACCCAGACCGCCTCTGCGTGGTGAATCCCAGCGAATCACACACGCGCCTCAAAGCTTACCCGGATGAAGAGGTCGGAGCCGTGCTTCTTGACGTACTCCTCCTTGGAGTTGAGTCCCACCGCCTGGAATACTTCCGCCTTAAAGCCCAACCGCTCCTGCACCGCGGAGAACAGGGAAACACGGAACGGAAGGTCGGTCAACAAAGCATGCTGGTCGGAATCACAGCCTTTGGAATAAAGGGCTTGTTGAAACTGAAATTCCTTAAGAGCTGATTTTTCCACAAGGCGGCGCTCTTTCAGACAATCACATAATCAATTATTTTATCTTTGGTATTCGTACATCGCAGTCGTTGAAGACTAATACGTCTCGGGGAAGAGGTGGAACGTGTGCATAAGGTGACCTTGTTCAGAACTCTGGTAGGACTCAGACGCTACGCTACTTTCATTCTGCACCGGGACACACCGCTCGCAGTCACACTGCACCGCAACGTACCTCGCAGTCCTTGAGAAACTGGTACGTCTCCGGGAAGAGGTGGAAGGTGTCGATGAACACGACCTTCACCTTGGGATTGTCGCCCAGCGCGCCGAGCCGGTGCAGCAGGTGGAGGATCACCTGCCGGCGACGAGCGGGTGAACAAAACGAAGAGGAGATTGTTGAGATGAGGGACCACATTGCAAGGAACGCGATGAGGTTGACAAAAGAAAACCAACGTTATTGGTGTAAACGTGCCAAACAGCACTGCAGCACTGGACGAAACTGATCAGATCTGAACTTACCACGTCCCCCGCAATAAGCGCGCACGGGAACGTGGGCCTCTCGAAGGAATCGATGGTCTTCTGAAGCGCGTCCAGCGCTTGACCCTCCAGCTGCTCTTGCCGGACCAGCCGCGCCGCCTTGCTCCATTCCTCCACGTCAGTACTGGTTACCGCCGAAGCTCGAGCCGACCCGGCCGCTGTCCTTCGGAGGGACGCGGCCTGGCGAACGGGATACGATTCCTGAACGAATCTTAAGGAGGTGGTGTCGGTTAGAGTCCTTGCCCCGCGAAGGACAAACGCGCTGGCTTGACGGGAGCTACCGGATCCGCCGAGGCGCGCTCGGCTAAACGACGGCCGTGCAAGAATTACGGGAGACGCGTGCTTCGCAATGGCCGCCATTGCAAACTGACGAGACTAACGAGGGAAGAGGGAGACAAGAGAAACGAATAAAATATCCTGTCAAGGCAAGGAAAGGGAAGGCCGGGCGACGAGGATCCTCCTGCTCTCCTATTAGTATGGAATGACAATCTGGACGATGCGAGCAGTCGCAAGGAGACGTTTGTAAGAATTCTCCAGAAACAAAGCAAGAATTGAGGAGCGTCTGGAGGAGTGGAGATTATTGCTGAAGGTCAGATTCTCTCGTGTGTGGCAGGGGCGGGTGGGATGTGGCGCGCAGGAACCTACGTGGCATGTGCTTTCCCACCGCTTTGGAAAGGGCATCTTTTGCGTTCCCGCACGCGTCGAACTGAAGGCGGTCATTGGTGGACCGCTCCAGCAAGGTCAGATATGCTGTAGGAAATCTGACAAAAGTTGATCTTTCATGCGCTCGACCTTGGGAATTGTCGATGACGAGCCCAAACATTGGGGAAGCAGCTTTTGAAAATCCTGCCCACGTGGAACAAATTGACTCGACGGAAATGCAAGGTTCAAATCATCCATTCCACCTCTCATGTCTCAATATAGACAACTGCGTTATTCTTTTAGTTCTCTCACAGATTCTTGAAGCGAACTCACCTATGTCACTCACGTCTATTTCATTACCCCCCTCCCAAGCAACCTCACCACCACCCTCGTTCTTGCTAATCCGCATGACACCATCACCTCGACAGCCCTGTTCTTCACAAACACTCCTGATTCCCGTACAAAAGTGTTCTCGCCCTTCCCACTGACATGGAGTTACGTTCGACCTCAGACATGGACGTCGATAGAGACCACCAGGATCGCACCAATCATCACGAGAGCAATTCATCTGCGCAACATCAGCAGCCAACCCAGCACGCACACGAGCAACCAGACCTGCACGCTCCACCCTCTTCCATCCCTCCTCAATCCCGAACCTATCCCGAACCTCCTCCGAACCAATCCTCAAATCCCCTCCTGCCGATGGCACAACTAACCCAGGACCAGCAGCAGCGACTGGAGCTATTAGAATTAGAGGAAAAGCGCCTGCAGAACGCAGTCCGGCATCTTATACGCTCGAACGAGGAGCTCCAAGCCGCGGACGTCGCGGAGCCGGATCCCGTGTACCGCGAAGCACTTATGGAGAATCAGGTGGTTGTTCAGAGCCTTCGAGAGAAGATCGCGTTGCTTCAGGCGGAAATTGCAGAGATAAAGGGAAGGGATTCTGGCATGGAAGAGAGGCGTGGAGAAGTAGGGAGGGGGGATTGTGAGGGAGTGGTTGGGGAGGTGGAGGGTGGTGCTGCTGCTGATTCTGCACCAGCAACTGCTGCAGCAGATGAAACAGAGTTAGATAATGGCTGGCTGTGATATGTCTGCACTGCATCGTTATTACAATGTGTTTTCTCCATGTTGATCACTATTGATCAGATGCAAGTATGGCACAGGTGCAAATTGTAGTCCAGATGTTACCGAACAGAGTCCGTCTCAGTAGATGGCGAAAAATAACTCGTGCAATGCCCCAAGCAATGGGCTTCAGGGGCATCATCAACTTACACCAAAACTCGACTAAACAACTGACAAAAACGAGAAAACACCTCCCAAGAATGTTTTCAACCCTTCATTATCCCCATCTCTATTCCCCCATCGTGATCCTCCACAAACCCTCTCCCATTCCCCAAGCCTCCCCCATGCCCGCCGGCCCTACCCTCCCGACCCTCCCGAATCACAGGCAGGGAATGAGCAGGCGACCCGGAATTCCCCATACGGGCAGGTGAAGAAGCAGTAGCGCCCAGTCGGGCAGGCGAACCAGACAAATTACCCCGGGCAGGAGAGCCAGACTGCCCATGTCGGGCAGGTGCAGCAGAGGCGGAGGAGGAGGAAGAGGAGGAGTGGGAGGAGGAGCGGAGGGTGGAGGGGATGAGGGTGCGCGTGTCGTCTTCGCTGTCCTCACTGTCTAGCTGGGTCACGTGCATGTCCGGTGATGCTGGTGATGACCCGTTCCAGTCGTGCCGAACCATGTTGGCTAGCTCCTGTGGCGTTGCACTGCAAAGAAGGGGGTGGGTGGGAGGGAAGAAGGGAGGGTTACACAGACGACAAAAGATTGTGTTTTGCATTGGGAGGTTCTTACATCGTGGAGCAGCATAGAGTGAGGGAGGGGGAGGGGCGTGCAGCGAGCAGCAGAGACGCGGACATGCAAACATGGGGACATGGAGACACGTCCTATGGCATTGAGGAATAACGGGCGAGGAGGGAACTGGAAGGACGTAACGCCAAGATTAACAGGCTTACTGGTCTTGTTTTCTCACTGTCCTGCCATTCATTGCGTGCACTCACTGTCCCCCTCCCTCCCCAGCACTCACTGGTCTTGTTTTCTCACTGTCCTGCCATTCATTGCGTGCACTCACTGTCCCCCTCCCTCCCCAGCACTCACTGGTCTTGTTTTCTCGTGCGCTCCACAAACCACACGAAGGCAGCGAGGGCAGCAAATTACCCCACCATGGCCCACAGGAACCCGTCCACTGTGTAGTCGTCTCTCCCTGTCTCCCCCAGCTCCCCTCCCGGCTCCCCCAGCTCATCATCAGCGGATCTCCATGCTCTTCCCCTCAGCATTCACTGCCCCCCACCCAGCACTCACTGCTCTTGTCATCGCATCCTCTCAGCATTCACTACATGAAAGGTACAGCCTGCCACTCACTGGTCTTGTTTTCTCGTGCGCTCCACAAACCAAACAAAGGCAGCGATGGTGGCGAACCACCCCACCATGGCCCACAGGAACCCGTCCACCGTGTAGTCGTCTCCCCCTGTCTCCCCCAGCTCCATTATGCCTGTTAGCAGCGCCGCCCCTCCTACCAGCAGCGCCCCCCGTCCGATCAATCTGCAGGTAAAATGGGGTGAACGGTACTGATTGCATGTTATTTGGAAGTGTTTTGAGAAACCCATCCACCGTGTAGTCGCCCCCCCCTGTCTCCCCCAGCTCCATTATCCCCGTCAGCAGCGCCGCTGCCCCCACCAGCAGTGCCCCTCGGTTGAATAGTCTGCACATAGAACAGGAAGGGGGGAGAGATTGAAGGGAAGGGCAGGAGAGGGAGCGGTAGAGGGGATTTAAAAACGGGTTGAGAGGCATATTGTAACATATGATAAGGGGAGGGTCATGACGACCAGCCAATGAGAGCCTGGGAAAGCCAACCATGTTGCAGTCGTCCCCTCCCCCTGTTCCCCCAGTCAAATTATCTCTGTCACAAGAGCTGCTGTGCAGGTTGGGGCTTGTGAGATAGAGGGATGGGATTTGTGGTTTGGGGATTGATTGGAAAGTGGTTATGTTTGGCCGAGCAAGAAGATGCAGGAGACGTGGTAAGGATCCATTCCATGGGTGTGACAACTTTTGAGGCGCCTCAAAAGTCCTCACAACATGCACTCACAAGCACACGCTGCCAGATGAAACGCACGGCACGCACATGTATACCCAATTGTTGAGATGAAACGCACTCACATGTGTACCCACTGCCAGATGACCCGTTTCATCTGGGGCCTCTCTCCAGGCGATGGTTTGGGCGGGCGGAAGAATGCATTGATTGGCTGGAAGCAGCCCAGGGCGAATGTTGCCATTCCAATCTTGGCATGATTGGATGAGAGGTCGATGCTGTGAGACAGGGCGAGTAGGAGAGAGAGGAGGGGAGAGGGAAGGAGGGGGGATGGTAGGGGGAGGTGGGAGGAAGACGGAGGTGGGGGGAATGGGAAGAAGAGAGAAATATGGGGTCCCAATTGGAGGATGGGGGCTGATGAGACGGGAAGCAGACATTGAATGTGGAATAAAGAGAGGCAAGCAATCAAAAGAGGGCAATGGGCGTGAGAGATTCAAGGGATGAGAAGGGTGAACGATAAAAAGTCAAGGGATAAGAGAAGCACGGGATAGGAGTGTGACTGGGTCCGACAAGCAAGCGACAAGAGTGACGAGGGCGGGCGGGAGGTCGCAAGGGATAAGGACTCACCCGCCCAGTTCACCGACAGCGAAGAGCAGCCCGAGGAGCATGAGGGCGAGGGCGGAGTACTGCGTGTACTGGTGGATGCTGTTGGGGGGGAAGGAGGTGGTGACGGGAGAGGGGGAACAGGGAACAACGTGACTTATGAGTCGACTGAAAAAGCAGCCCAAGGAGCATGAGAGCAAGGGCGGAGTATTGCGTGTACTGGGAGGGGGGGAAAGAGTGAGGGAGGAGGGAAGGGAGTGCATCGAGGGATAGTGGGTCTTGACGTGCCTCAAGTCTTTGAGCCCATAATGGGCTGAGTACTGCAAGTTCTTCTGGTGGGCGCTACGTCGAGAAAGGGGGAGCGGTGGGGGAGAGCACCAGAAGCTGGTACATGGGTGTCCCCCAGAGAGTTCCAACAGAGCTGAAGAGCTGAGAGTTCCTGAACTCTCAGCTGAAGACCTGCCCATTATGGACAATCTTGAGGGAGGAAGCTTTTGAGTCGACTCAAAAGAAGAGCTGAGAGTTCCCTAGACAATCCTGAAGGAGGAAGCAAGCACTTACGAGAGCCAGTCGTTGTGTTTGAGATATCTCGCGGCCAGCACCCCAAAGGGCATGAGCACAGCCCAAGCCATGGTCATCATGAAGCCGTGCACCACAAACACACACCAGCTGCAGGTGCTGTTTAGCACAACTGGGACCCACTTACGAGAGCCAGTCGTTGTGCTTGAGATATCTCGCGGCCAGCACCCCAAAGGGCATGAGAACAGCCCAAGCCATGGTCATCATGAAGCCATGCACCACAAACACCGGCTGCAGATGCTCCACCGTGCCCTCGCCTGTCTCGAGGTCCAGAATGGTGACGGTGGTGCTCCACACCGTGTGCATGTTCATGTAGGACAGCTTGCCTGGGGGTTGGGGTGGGGATTGGGGCATGAGGCACGGGGCACGGGGACGGGGGAGCAGGCATAAGGGAGACTCAATACTCACACATCCATCCACTGTAAGGAGAGACTTGCTAGCAGTCGCAGTAGGCCCACCTGATGACTTTTGAGAATTCTCAAAAGTGATATCGACTCAATACTCATCCATCCATTCACTGTAAATGGAGACTTGCTAGCAGTCGCAGCAGGCCCACCTGACGTCCAGGAAGGCCCGTACACCCAGATGACTTTGAGGGGCTCTGACAGGTCCAAGCTGACTCACACATAACTTGTGGCCCAATACTCACCCATCCATTCACTGTAAACGGAGACTTGCTAGCAGCAGTCGCACTAGGCCTACCTGACGTCCAAGAAGGCCCGTACGCCCAGATGACCTTGAGGGGCTCTGACGGGTCGATGACACTGCACTTGTCATCGCAGTCCGAATGCGAGGCAGCACCTAGCCCACCCACTCAAAGGCGAGTCAGTACCTGAGGTCCAGGAGCGCCCGTATGCCCAGATGATTTTGAAGGGTGGCTTTTGTAGTCAAACTCAGTAAGACCCACCATCCACGTAGAAAAGAGGCATCACTGGGCCCACCTGAGGTCCAAGAAGGCCCGTACGCCCAGATGACCTTGAGGGGCTCTGAGGGGTCCAAGCCCACCCACCCAAAGGCGAGTGGCAGTAGGCCTACCTGAGGTCCAGGAGGGTCCGTACGCTGTCAAAAGAGGACAGGTGGGCTGCAAAGGCCTTACTTCCTACCTGAGGTCCAGGAGGGCCCGTACGCCCAGATGACCTTGAGGGGCTCTGAGGGGTCCAAGCCCACCCACCCAAAGGCGAGTGGCAGTAGGCCTACCTGAGGTCCAGGAGGGTCCGTACGCTGTCAAAAGAGGACAGGTGGGCTGCAAAGGCCTTACTTCCTACCTGAGGTCCAGGAGGGTCCGTACGCCCAGATGACCTTGAGGGGCTCTGAGGGGTCGATCACACTGCACTTGTCGTCGCAGTCCGAATCGGGCGGCTTGAGCGGACGGCTGAACTCAAACGTCAGCACCCCATCCACCTGTGTGCACGCACACAGAGACACATGCACACACACACACACACACACACACACACACACACACACACACGCACGCACGCACGCACGCACGCACACACACACACGCACACGCACACGCACACGCAGACGCGCACGCGCACGCGCACGCGCACGCGCACGCGCACGCGCACGCGCACGCGCACACACGCACACACGCACACACGCACACACGCACACACGCACACACGCACACATGCACACAAACACATGGAAGAAATCAGGGACATACATTTTGTAAAGGCGTCGCATCGGGGTTGCATCCTTGCCATCGATCCAGTACCTTCGGATGATGTACAGAAACACGCACCCTCACACGCACCCTCACACGCACCCTCACACGCACCCTCATACGCACCCTCACACGCACCCTCACACGCACCCTCACACGCACCCTCACACACACCCTCACACGCACCCTCACACACACCCTCACACGCACTTGCATGCACTTGGACATGTCAAGTGCCTCTCTAGCAGCATGCACGCTGCTGGCATCCTTACCGTCAATCCAGTACAACGCCACCCGCCCCCATCCCATCCCATATCCTGCCTTCCCCCCACCCTTAAATGCCCCACCTGCATGCACTTGCTCATGTCCAGAGCCTCCCGAGCAGCATGCACGCTGCTGGCGTCCTTACCGTCAATCCAGTACAACGCCACCCGCCCCCATCCCATCCCATATCCTGCCTTCCCCCCACCCTTAAATGCCCCACCTGCATGCACTTCCTCATGTCCAGAGCCTCCCGAGCAGCATGCACGCTGCTGGCGTCCTTACCGTCAATCCAGTACAACGCCACCCGCCCCCATCCCATCCCATATCCTGCCTTCCCCCCACCCTTAAATGCCCCACCTGCATGCACTTGCTCATGTCCAGAGCCTCCCGAGCAGCATGCACGCTGCTGGCGTCCTTACCGTCGATCCAGAAGCTGCCCTGCACAAGAGCACTCCCCACCCATCCCCCCCACCCCCCACACATACCCCACCCTCCCCCCTCACACGCACCTGCATGCACTTGCTCATATCAAGCGCCTCCCTGGCTGCATGCACGCTGCTGGCATCCTTGCCATCGATCCAGTAAGAGGCCACCCGCCCCTCCCCGCCCTCCACCCACCCCACATACGCCCACGAGTTCACCATGCCACTGGGAAGGGAAGGGAGGACGGCGAGGAGGATTGAGGAGAAGGAGGGATTTTAGTGGAACAAAGAAATATGAGTCTGTTTGCCCCTCGCCGCCCTCCACCCACCCCACATACGCCCATGAGTTCACCATGCCACTGAGGGTCGGAGGGAGGGAAGGAGGGGGGAGGAGAGTAGGCGGTATACATGGTCTGATTGCAACAACGGGAATGGCACTCTGCTGACAGTCTGCTCACCCCTCCCCGCCCTCCACGGTCCACCCACCCCACATACGCCCACGAGTTCACCATGCCGCTGGGGGGGGTGAAAAGGGGGAGGGGGAGAGGGGGGAGGTGATTGGGTGCAACGAAGGGAGTGAGATGAGCCTGTTCGCCCACTGCTGCCCTCCACCCACCCCACATATGCCTACAGATTCACCATGCAGCTGAGGGGTTTGGGGGAAAGAGGAAGAGGCAGGTAATTGGGTGATTTGACTGCAATGACGGAAACACCACAAGTCTGTTTGCGCCTCATTCCATTCCATCCATCCACCTGCACAACTAACTAATCAACAGCTCGCCTTACCTGCCAGAGGCAACAGCGATGTAAGGCGCTGGTTCCATTTCTCTGATGTAACCAGACGGATGCTCTCCCCTGGACGACACAGAAATGGAAGGCGCAGTCAGAGTCCAGAACATGACGACGAGGCCATTTGCGAGCTGCAAGGGCCTTGCAGAACAGCAATGTATGGAGAGGAGGTCTTGGCCATTTGCGAGGTTTTGAGACGTCTCTTGAAATAAGTGAAGCTTTGAGACATCTCAAAACTTCACTTATTTCACGAGCTGCAAGGGCCTTGCAGAACACCAATGTACGGAAAGGAGAGGAGGTCTTGGCCATTTGCGAGCTGCAAGGCAGCACAAGACAAGACAGCAACGTACCCCCCGAGTCCTGGCAACGGCCATCACGACAGAAGCCTACCTGCCAAAGGCTAACGCAATGTAGCCAGACGGGTGCTCGCCCTGACAGCCACGGATATGGAGGAGGCAGTGAGCGTCCAGAACATGGTGACGAGCCCATCAGCGAGCTGGAAGCTGTGGTTGTACATGCCCATGTCCTTACAGCCTACCCCCCCGGTCCTAGCAACGGCCGTCACAACAGAATCTTACCTCCCAAAGGCTAAGGCAATATAGCCGGATGGATGCTCGCCCCTGACTGCAACAGAGATCGATGAGGCGGTGAGCGTCCAGAACATGGTGACGAGCCCGTCTGCTAGCTGGAAGCTGTGGTTGTACATGTCTGATAGGCCGCCGTCCACCACGTGTATGCGCCACCCCATCTTGGGCTCCGAATAGCACTGCAGGGGTGAGGGGCGAGGGAGGGAGGGGGGATGTTTGCGCGTCCAGAACATGATAGGAAAGAGGAGGAAGGGAGGAGGGTGAAAGCTGTGGTTGTACATGTCTGATAGACCGCCGTCCACCACGTGTATGCGCCACCCCATCTTGGGCTCCGAGTAGCACTGGTGGGGGGCGGAGGGGAGACGGAGGGGAAGGACGGCAGAAAGGAGTGGGAATGAGGGAGGGGAGAATTGCATGTCCAGAAGATGGTAGAGGAAATAGGGGGAAGGAAGGGGGCCCACCACTATCAGTCACCCATACACCAGTCACCCAGTCACTCAATCAACCACCCACCCACCTGATAGTAAACGAGGTCCGGAGTGGAACTAGTGGGTTTCCACAACAGGCTGTACGGATCTGCCGGCACGCCTTTCACCTCCTCCTTGTACCAAATACCAATACCTCAAGTCTCGCCACTACCGATCATCCAATCGCCCACCTGATAGTAAACCAGGTCGGGTGTGGAGCTAGTGGGCTTCCACAGCAGGGTGTACGGGTCCGCCGGCACGCCATGCGCCTCCTCGCCGCCCGCAAATATAATCTCCGATTTGTTAAACCGCCCGCCCACAGGATCCGATGTGATATACACCCCCAAATCGTGCCCAGCTTGTATCGCAAACTGCACCGGAACCCCCCGCTCCACCTTAATTTCCGGAGCCTCGTGCCCGTTCACATAGAAGCTTTTTGTCGAGCCTGGCGGGTTGGGGTAGTGCGTGCTTTTGCCCGATGTGACTGTAATGAGCGTGCCTCTATCGGCCACGACGATTTTCCCCCATCCGCTCCCCACCACCCCCCCCACCCCATCGTCATCATCATCATCGTTATCATCCCCGTTCCCATCCCCACTTCCCCCAGCCCCTCCCGCTCCTCCTCCTCCTGCTCCTCCGCCCCCTCCGCCTGCATTTCCCACACCAACGGCAGGGTTCAGCACACTCTGACAGTCATCGACTGCCAGGCTTAGAGTCAACACCGCCACCCCGAAAAACGACCCCTGGGGAACTCCGTGGTAGGACGGAAAGAGGTGGGCGGGAGGGGCTCGTGCTGCCCCTGCTACTCCCCCTACCACCGAGGGATTAGAGGTGGAAGAGGAAGAGGAGGAGGAGGAGGATGAGGAGGGGGATGGGATGGGCTTTAAGGAGCCCAGCGCCCAGATTACGTTCATCTCGTCCTCTGCGTCGATATCGTGATCAAATCTTTTGTCCGGGCTCACGAGCGGGCGGCGGAAGCGGACGAAGGTGATGCCGTCCACCCGGTGGCCGTAGATAAGATCCACGTTGTCGAGAGACGAGTTGCCGCCGCCCATAAGCTGGTCGGGGCACACGCCCTCTGGTGGTTTTTTCTCCAGATTGCATTCCCCGTATGATGTGATATAGTAATCTTCCACAAACGGTTTCGCCTGGTGAAACGGCCAAGTGGGGACGTGAGATGAATGGGGCAAGGATATTGGAGGGGGGGGTAGAAGGGTTGTGGGAAATGATTGATCCACCATCGCACAGGTTTACAACGGATACACAAAACATTCCTTCCTTCATTCCTCCCATGCTTCTGCCATCTCCTCCCTCCTCTATCCTCCTTCCACTGTCCCCTATCCTCCCTTCCTTCTCTAACGGTTAGCTTTGCTTCTCTCCTCTCCTCTCCCCTTGATCCTCTCCCTTTCTCACCTCGCCCCCTCCCCCCCCCCCTTCTCAACTCACCACTTCATCGATCCATTCCCCCCACAACCGCAACCACTCCCTTCCCTCCCCCCCCCCCCCTCCCAAATCAACTCACGACTTCATCGAACCCTGCAATCACCACGTCAGCAAACCCCATAAACTTGGTCACACTGTCCGGATCCGCCCATCCAAACCCCACCCCAACCACACAATGCGGCCCACTCCCCACAACCGCATCCAACCATCTCCTCCTACTCCAGCTCACCACCTCACCACCTCCCACCCTTTCCACACCCAAACCTCCACTCCCTTCCCTCTCGCCCTTTCCCCCCCTCCCACCCCTCCCAACCCCCCTGCAACTCACCACTTCATCGAATCCCGCGATAACCACGTCAGCAAACCCCATAAACTTGGTCACACTGTCGGGATCCGTCCAGCCAAACCCCAGGTAATGCGGCCCACTCCCCACAACCGCTTCCAACCCCACGTCAACGAACCCTCTCGCCTCGTCCAGCGTCCACCGCACCCTATACCGGTGACTCAGCTGCATACAGTTGTCAAACATCGTTGGCTGCCTCTGCCCCTGCTTCACCCTCGGCTTCACAGGCGGCGGGGGTGCCGGCAACAGCGGGGGCTGCGGAGGGAGTGCGTATGGGGGTTCTGAAGGGAAGGCGGTACCAGGGGAGGGGGTATCTGGGCCGGGAAGAACAGGTTTGGACGGCTCAGGGGAGGAGGCTAGGGCGGAGGGGGAGGGGGACGGGGCGGAGGCGGAGGCGGGGGCGGGGGAGGGTGCGGGGGAAGGGGAGGGCGCTGGGGATGGGGCGGGCGGGGGGGCTGGAGGCTCGATGATCTCGAGGGCTATGTGGCCGTAGTCTGAGGCAGTGGTTCGCGACCACACTGAGAGGAGCTTAAAGTCGCTCCACGTCACGTTTGACGCCAGGCGCACCTGGTTCAGGAGGAATGAGGGGCGGAATGGGGGAAGGGATGGGGAAGGGAGGGAAAAGGGAGTGTTATGAAGGGAAGGGTCAGTTGTTGCTGGGGCTATGTGGCCGTAGTCTGATGCTGTGGTTCGCGACCACACTGAGAGGAGTTTCAAGTCGCTCCACGTCACGTTTGATGCCAGGCGCACCTGGTTAGGGATTTGAGGGAAGAGAGATGGAGGAGAACCCGCCAGTTGGAGGGCCAGAGGGGGTACTGAACCCAGGGGATTGCTTTGCTACCCTGGAGGCTTAGATAGGGAAGGGGATAGTTAGTTTGATATAGGTCATGTTTGCTCTACTTGCTCATGACTGTACCACACGTTCTATATCAATGAAAGGACCATTCGAGGAGGACGAGGCGGTGTCAGGAGGTAGGGGGATGACGGTATGAAGACATGATGCATGATGGCATGACCGCATGATGGCATGAAGGCATGACGGGGTAACAACGACTGTGTGGCTATTTAAGGTGCCGAGCAGTCGTGGGACGTCTCAAAAGAGGCATTTTCAAGAGGCACCGCTACCAACCAAGAGCGTCTGGCTGTTGAAGGCGCCGAGGAGAGGGTTGGGTACAGGTACTGCTAGGGGGCATTGCATTGGTAAGGGGTGCTGCAAAACGGTGTTGCGAAAGAGTGTTGCTAGAGGGCACTGGTACCAACCACGACTGTCTGGCTGTTGAAGGTGCCGAGGAGTTTGGAGGAGACGGGGAAGCCGTGCAGCAGGTCGCTGCGGGACGCGGACGCTGCCAGGAAATAATGGTAAAAAAGTACTGTCAAATGGTGCTGCTAATGAGCACTCCTAAGGGGCACTGGTACCAACCACGACTGTCTGGCTGTTGAAGGTGCCGAGGAGGGGTTTGGGCGAGACGGGAAAGCCGTGTAGCAGGTCGGTGAGGGACGCGGACGCTGCTCCCCACCAGTACACGTCCTTCCCTGGCAGCATGTCAAACCGCGTCACCTGCCAAGAAGATTCGCGGAAGCATCAGGCAGCATCGAAGGGCGATAATTTGAATGCGCATAACGAGTTAACGGAATCAGCACAGCCAGCAGAGAACGACCGGTCCTGATTTCACACGAATCAGAGAGGCGGCTACAATTCGCAATTCAGCAATGGTCACGCGTCACTGATGCAAGAATCAACGGCTGTGCAGGACCAGAACCGTGACACCTGTTACCAAACCTCGACTCCACGCCGCCAAGGCGTTACACTCCACCGACAGCGACAGCCCAAAGACCTACTTACTTTAAACGAGCAGTCGCCTCGAATCTCGACCGTTCGCGGGAGCTGATGCTGCAGCATGCTGAGATGGCAACAAAGCCTATCCCGTTGAAGCACCTCATAATCGAATCACCCACCTTGAACGAGCAATCGTCTAGAATCTCGACCGTTCCGCGAAGCTGATGCTGCAACATGCTGAGATCCGCGACGAATCCCACCCACTCGCTCTCCTTGCCGCACTGGTACCGCTCCTCCCCCGGTATCATCCCCTCCTCCTCTTGACCCTTCACTGCATGATTCGATACAAGAACGCTCGCTAAGAGAACAATTGCTAGCACGAATGGAGTCCATCCTGATTGAGTTGGTAAAATGTGATTATAACGAAGGCGGGTAGGAAGCTTCGTGCGATCTTTCTGCCCGCAGCGGAAATGCCGGGGTTGGTCTTGAGGTCCCCCGCATCGCATGTTAGCTTCGAGCCGCAGCCTACTCGAGCCCCGCACGTGGCTCCAGCCTAAGGAGCTACTACGCTCTCGTTTGAGTCACATCCAACATAGGCGGACCGGCTTGGAGAAACTACCTACCGGCTTGAAAGAAACCACCTAAGCTTTGCTCAAAGCCTTGCGAAGGTCTTCGCGTACATTAGCGTTATGGTACTAACGGCACGAGGCTCAGCAACTAAGAATAGAGAATTCGAGCCGTTTCCTCGACAGCCGCGACGGCACTTTTGTAACCTTTTCCAGAGACGTTATTAGGGCTACAGGCGCTCTGATCTGTCAAGCAGTCACGACAGAAATATACCCGTCAGGCTACGACGCAACGCGATCAGCATTTAGAGATCGGCCATCGGCACTGGTCGAAGGAGCAGCCCACGAAACGTGCAACGGGATTCAACGAATTCGCTTTCGATGTAAGGAGCAGCTGCTACTGACAGCCACCAGCCAAACAGTAATAATATGAGCAATCAATGACCGTCGACACGAGCACGCGTGCAAGCCTTAGTATGTGAGGAACCAGATTCACTCTTGACAATGATCCTTTCCGGAGGAACCTAAGAAAACATTCTCTGTAGTCCCTTCTGATGTTGGCTCGAATAAATTATCTGCTTCCTCACACAGCACGGAAAGCGAGTGACATTATCGAATGGAGATGTTCCCAAGGCTGTGTCAGCGCTGCAGATGCGCGCCACTTTTGGCTAAGGTGTAAGAAATCTCGTTAGATGTAACAGCGGTATACCATATGTGCTTGTGTGAGATCCTTTTACAGCGGTGTGCTGTAACAGGTTTTTTTCCATCATGAAAATAATTTCGTGTAAGATATTTTTAGTTACGTCTCCTCATCACCCGTCCACCATTCAAGACGTCCGCTATCAGCATGTTCTTCTACTCGGATAATTCTCTACTATTGCCTAATTCACTCGTATAAGTAGTCACCAGAAGCTCCAAAGATGCGGAATCATGTGCAGAAACTCTGTATTAACGGTTATTCACAGTAAATAACTGCATGGAAACATTATGCTAGTGCCTTCAATCAGAAGCAATTCCAAGAAGGCCATCAAATCGCACGAATCCCCAGCACCAACCTGCAGCCAAAACCAGCAATAGAGCAGAGAAAATTAATTCACACAACACGTCCCATGGCAACCTCATCAGTGTTGACTAAGCAACCCAAATGAGGCCGAAAAGAGCAGGCAAGAATCTCAAGATTCACACATGTAATCGCCAAAAATTGGCACTCTCAAGCAACGGAAAATGCATTGAGAGCTTCCTATCAGTTGACTGAAAAGTTCACTGTTGGCAATCCTTGGACAGGAGAAACAGACCATGAAAGCCATACTCCCGTGGCAGGAATGCCCAAAACACTTTGTGAAGATGCATACATTCTATCGATGCTCACTCAGGACTTCTTAAAGGTTTAGAAAGGGTACGCATCGGCCTCGAAAGGCCTCATGTACGTGTGATTTCATCACCGTGAGCGTCATTTTGTCACGAACAAATCGTGGTGAAGAGGGTTGAGTAGCTTACCACGGTGAAGACTTATGCAAACCCTTCAGTCGGCGTTAAGTCTTGTGTCAGATACAAGATACAACAGGAAACAAAGAAAGTGCATAGTCAGAAAACGGAAACCCTTGGCTAACGCCATAAACGGGTGTTAGCAAGGTATATGTGAGTTAGCATCGGAACGCATACAAGCGCAAACATGGGAACGAGAGGCGAAATGGAAATGTAGACGTCGCGGGAGAAGGTCGTCGCTTGACAAGAAAAGGTTCGGGGCTTTGAAACTGGTAAAATGCAGCACTGAGGAGAGACATTGGAATTGTGAGGGATGAGAGCAGCTGTAATATACCACCACTTCGGCTTGCAGCTGGCGGCGAGGAAAGGGGAACAAACAATGGCTCGTTAGAAGCTGGCATTGATTAATTAGACTCCCGCCATTTGAGTGTTGTACATTTTCAGCTTAAAAACAGTGATGAGTAAAAACTGTTTGGTTTGGGGGGAAGTCGAATTTCTGCAATTGCGGTTCCAATTTCTGCTTTACAAGCTTTCATCCCACACACATCACGGTTGTCTTCGGTCTGTCGCTCCCAAGAACGGTAACTCGCAAGCACCGTGAGGAACCCGAATTAACCGCATGGGATGCAAATATACCTCTTCCAACTCCACAAAGAATCATGCCAACCATTGAAATTCCATCAATAAACTTCTTTCAACGTTCAGGAAGCAGCTGTCAGGGATCGATCGCGAGCCGTGGTGTTTCTCCATGACCGCGCCTTGACCAGTGGCTAGTGAACCCATTTGGCCTCGTACGTTCTGCATTCACTCCTCTCGCCGTTCGATCTCTGAACCGAACTGCACCGTAACGGCTTATCAGCTTTCCCGGTGAAGAATAACCGACAGTCAGGGAATTGGCACATCAGTCGTGTCAATGTTCGGCGGGGGGACGAGTCGGACGTACGGCGTTAAGTTTCAGGCGCGATGCATCGCGGCGCAAGCCGGCGAGAAGCACCACACGCGATTCCTCGTCGGCACGCTGAGCCTGCGCGAGGAGAATGAGGTGCTGTGTAGGTGACGATGCCGTGGGATGTGAGAGGTGTGACTGCCGAGGATGTCAATGAGAAAGATGTCACTGGGAATTCTTGAGGCCTCTCAATCACGAAACGCGGTTCCTTGTCGGCACGCTGAGCTTGCGCGAGGAGAATGAGGTGCTGCGTAGGTGACGGTGGTGCTATCGGATTGCTGAAGGGGATGGGAGTGATGTTACTAGGAAGGATGTAATTGGGATTCTTGTGGCCTCTCAAAGCACGACACGTGGTTTCTGGTCGGAACGCCGAGCCTGCGCGAGGAGAAAGAGGTGCTGCGTGGAGAGATGTAATTGAGAATGGGGCCACGTGCATCTGATCCAGCTGGCAGACAATGGCTCCTTGGTCACCTGCTGAGGGGCTTTGCCCGCACATGTCGTGTTTGAGAATTCTCAAAAGCTAACCAGACGTCGTAAACCGTCTCGTGTTTTTCCAATCTCCCATTCCACTTCACGCCCCCAGGTGCATCTGATCCAGCTGGCAGACGACGGCTCAGAAGTGACGTGTGAAGGGCTGTACCTGCATCAGCACGAGATCTGGGACCTTGCCACGTGCCCCTTTGACTCAGCACTGCTCTCCACAGTCTACGCCTCCGCCGGCGAATACCATGCCGCCATCTGGCGGATACCGGACAAGGCATTCTCGTACGGCACTGGCGCTCCGTCCTTGCAACTGGCTGCGGAACTCAAGGGACTGGAAGCTCCTGTGAAAAAGCAAGTACTTTCTATCTACTAACTTTTATTTGAAAAAGAGCCGTAATTGTGCAGCTCAAGGTTCCTGAGCTCCCTGTGGAGAAGCAAGGGCTTTATATTTGTGTTTCTGTCAGTTTCCTCGTGGCATCATATCACTCCCCTTTCCCTCGTCACCTGTACCCAACTTGCACCGTCTCATAACAGTGTTCTGTAGTACAGTACAGTACGTCATTTTGTGCAACATTCTGTCCTGACACACCACTATCTCTTCCCTGCAGGATACCGTGGTACGGAGGCAATGTGGCGTTGCACAGAGTGATAACCATCGACGAGGAAGTCTCTTTTTGAGGCGCCTCAAAAGTCATGCTTATACACCCCTTCTGTTCCCTCCCTCTTTCCTTCCTGTGCCCAACAGAGTGCTATGGTACGGGGGTGACGTGGCGCTCCACAGAGTGATCACCATCGACGAGGAGATCATCTGTGCATGGGACCTCGCCTCCAGCACTCGAGCAGCGCAATTCGCCTCGGTAGGCTGTTATTGACTGACTCGTCTCAAATTTGTGACACGTTGCTTTGTGGCCTGGATTCATCTTCAAGAGTACACCACTTGACTTGATTGATGCTTGTCCCATGGCTGACCCCCTTTTCCTATCGTGCATGGATCAACAGGCGAAGCAGCGGGTGACAGGCAGCGGGCTGCAGAGGTGCACGCAGGGGACGTGGGACCCTCACAACGGCCTTGCCCAAATCCTTGTGCTTGCCTTGTTTCCCTTCATCCTCTCCCTCTCCCTCTTCCTATCTTTTATTAAATGTCAGGCGAAGCAGTGGGTGACAGGCAGCGGGCTGCAGAGGCTGCACACAGGGGCGTGGGACCCACCCAACGGCCTTTCCTCTTCACACACTCCTTCCATCCCCCCTCCCAACTTACCCCCTCATCCTATCCCATATCATTCTGT